CTAAATATTTTTGAAGTTTTTCGTCCATGATAGCGAACGTCACACGATCAGTATTTCTCCTGTAAAGGTACACAAAATTTTCCCAATAATAATATAGTAATAATAATAATTTATTGGCATTGTTACACAAAACTGTGTTTGCACAGATCAGTTAGAGTAGAACATAAAAGAGTAAGTAAAAACAACAAACAATACGAAAATAAGACAAACGTAAAACACAAAGTGGCAATAAAAGGTAAAAAAAAACTTGATAAAACCTAGTTTAAAATTTAGATGAACAATGAAATAAGATGGTTAAAAAATTATGAAATAGTAATAATTTTTTCATGCTTGTACTCAAAAGTCCTTACACACGTCTGGAGAACAATAAAATGTAATACAAAAATAACATATAAACAAAAAACACAAACGAAAACAAAGTAATAAAACAAATAGTCAACAATTATGGAACAAAGTCGGTAAATTCATTATTTAAAAACTCATCTATGCTGTAGAAATCTTTCGTCACTAGATATCTTTCCACAGTTGCTTTAAAAATGCTTGAGTTGAGTGTTTGACGAAACCTGGGCAGCGCATTTCACGCTGAAATAATTACTTTCGTGTCAAGTTTTTAATAGTCTTGTGTACTCTGATATTAATTCATTGTTGAACCTTGTGTTATATTTGTGAATCTCTTTCGGAGTTCTGTAATCATCGTAATTATTATTAACGTGGATCAGACATTCCAGTATATACATATGTATATGCATGGCACAGTTAAAATTTTTAGGTCGATAAATGTCGTCTTGCAACCCTGTCTGAAATGTTAGTTTGCTATTATTCTCAAGCATCGTGTCTGAACAGCAAACACCTTCGATACATGACTACTATTCGTTAAAAGTCTCGTCGGTCTTTTAGTCAGTCAGGTCTGGCTACCCAGATACCAAACATGTTTAAGGGGAAAAGGGAAAGAAGGAAAGAAAGGAAGGAAGAAATAGAGCAAAGAAAAGAAGTAAATCATTTGAAATAGCTTAAGCATTATTGCTTTGACTACTCAAATTATTTTGTAACTGCAAAAAATAATTTTGATCGGTTTTGTATACTGAAATAATTTTGGCTGGTCTGAATTTACAATTTAATTTTGATCACAGTGCGTGGCGCGGCCTGAAATGTTTGCGAACTTGCTCGACTGTGTAGACTACTGAATCACGCAACAGAGGGTTGCTGTGCAATTCCGCTTGATTGTAACGCCGCTACGCCTGTTGTATTACGTAATCTCTTAAATATAGGATATCAAGATCTCTGTGAATAGTCTCATTTGACACGTACCAAGGAGCGTTAGTAATTGTGCGTAGGGTTCTGTTTTGCAGGACTTGCAGTCTCTGCATGTGCGTCTTAGCAAGAAAACACCAAGCCGCGCATGCGTAGGTGATTGCGGGTCTTTGACCATTTTATACAGCCGAATCTTGTTGATCAAACTTAATTTTGAATTTCTGCACAACAGGATAAAGCTGCCGAAAGGTAATTTGGAATTTTGTTTTCAAAATATCAGTATGTTTCGGCCAGGTCAATCCCTTGTCAAGATACCTGACAGATGATAAATGCAGGTTGTCTATTGTACTTAGCCATTCAATGGCTGCGGAAAGATCGCCTGCAACGCCTGAGTGACGCTAATTAGGGGACTCATTATTTGTTGAAGGGACCTAAGCGCAGTTGCTAGGTCCACATTCTGCGTGTTCAAAGTGGGTTGAACAGAGGGGGCAGCCGGAGATGTTGAGACGGCTGCTTCCGCGTATGACTTGCTGCGTCTTTGCGCTATGACTTCCAGATTTCGCCTGGGGGAGAATCTGCAAGTGGGACTGTTAGCGGGATGCGCCCCTCCACAGTTCGCACACTTTCGCTCCTCTTGTCCTGTGAGGGGGCATAAATCTGTCATGTGGAAGCACATTTTAAACATTTGGGAGGTGCTGTGCAGTAAGACTGCGCATGACCATACCTTTGCAGCGGTGACACTGCCCAATAAGTCTAGAGTTCTTTTGAACTTCAACTCTGATTGCTAGACCCAGCAGCTCATGTTCATTGAACAGCTGCTGGGACTTTTCAATCTTGGGCAGTATCACGACCACCAAAGGCATGAGTTTGCCACCACTGCGTTTGAGTCGAATAATGTGGAGAGGAGTATATCCCCTCTGTTCTAATTCCCCTTTGATCTCCTGTTCCGAAAACATTGCGGGTATGCCTCTGACTACCGCGTGAATATTTCGTTCTGAAGGAAGAGGGAACGTATGATGGGGCACGTCCTCCTCCCTGAACAGGCGAATGATTCTTCGGTAGTCATTCTCAGTTTTCGGCAAAATCCTGATTTCCGCATCAACGGCAACTGCGCGTTCTATCTTAATGCCTAAGCTTATAAAGGTGTAGTTTAGATGTCGCCACTTGGTCGCATCACGCAAAACAATGGGCGTGATTCGTCCCTGGCGGGGTGTTGTGCTGGTCAACTCACCAGCAACGTGAGATTGTTGAGATAATGCACCGTCAGTCCATGCAGTGGCCAAAGATTGAGAAGATGTGGTCGCTGCATCGACCGTCATAGGACAAGTGGCAGAAGAAGTTGATACGTTTAATGAAGCAGAAGGTTTTGAGGGGACTGTCAACTTGAATTTTGATTTTGCTTTTGGAAGAGGTGGGAAGTCATCCGTCTTATCGGTTTTGTTCGTTTTGTCGATGCGTCTTTTCCTAGACTTGGCCTGGATGAATCCGTCATTCTGTATTTCATCGTCGGTCGATGTCACGTCAGTTAAATTTTCAAGAGGTCTCTTTAAATTTACAGCCTTGTCAGATTTAGAAGTAGAATTTGCATTATTGATTAACTGTGTTACCTGGGTGGTCAGGCAGTCTATTTTACTGTTTTGGTCTCTAACTGTCTCAGTCAGCTCCTTTATTTGCTGGGCCTGGCTTTCGATGATCAGGGTCTGGTGCGGGATGGTTCCGTCCTTTTCGTCTGCTTCAGCTGGTGTCATCAATTCCTTTGATTTCTTGGTAATGTCTGTTCTCTTCTTCTGGCTGGGTACATTCATCATCGGGGACGCTGGGGAATTATTACTTTGACCTCCAGAGTCTATCTCCATGTTTTTAAATTGGATTGTCTATTGAAAAACTTGAAAACTTTCACGAGCAAAAATATGACGTATTGTCAATTTTGATACATGACATGAATGACCCCAAATCAGTTTGCAGTATTGTAAGTTAGATTGGAAGTAAGCATAATAGGCTGTCATTAAAGTCGATTTTGTTACGTAGGTATTTAAACTACGTATCATATATGTTATTTTAGATAACTTCTTTGATGAAGAGGTAATGTGTGATTCCCAAGTTAAGCTTCCATCAATAATCACTCCAAGAAATTTCACGGGTTCTACTAAATTACTTCTATGTGGACGAGTACTGAGTAGAAGAGATTGAGTTTTCGCTATGTTGAGTGACAAACTGTTGTCATTAAACCAGTTTTGAATGTTGTCAAAATGCTGCTGAGAATCGAGTAATACATGGTCAAAGTTGCTATTGGAGGATATTGATGTCGTGTCATTCGCAAATAATTTATAATGATTGATGCTACAGTTTGGCAGATCATTGATGTAAATCAAAAAAAGAATCGGTCACAAGACACTTTCCTTGGGGAGCTTAATATGTACATTGTTAGATAAACAATTTTGAAAACTAACATACTGTCTTCTGTCTGACAAAAAAGATGCAATCAAGGGCAGGCTGTTATTACTAAAACCATATAGCGACAACTTTTGAATCAAAATGTGATAACTCACAAACTTCTATAATGAATAAAAATTTGGGTTTACGTCATTGAAGCAAGAAAGTATATTTTTAACTTCTCATGATGTTATTACTGGTGTTTTATATTAACTTCCCTTCAAGATATTGTTTAAATGTTGTGCAAAAAAAGACTGTCCAACAGAAGTCGAAATTTGTAGTACTATATTTTCTTTCCTAAAAACTATAGATACTTTTGCCTTTCAGTATGATAATTGCACAACATATGGAAAATAAAAGTTTCTCGCTATGATGTAAGATAGCACTTTACCTAAAGAAAATGTTGTTCACTTTGAAATGCAAATACATTTTTTGACCAATTTTTATACAGCCGCGATAAAATTCAGTATTTTTTCTACATCTTGTATAATTTTCAATAATTATGGGGCTTGGTAAATAAGTTAAAAACTATTTTATCAATCAGATGGCTCGAAAATCGCGCATACAAGCAATTACGCGTGGCCTAATGACAGCTGCTAAGAGGATCCCAAAGAAATTTTGTTAATCCGATTTTTGAACTGCCTAAGGTTAATAGAACTGGGGAAAGCTACCTTTTTTGTGACTCAGTATATCTTGGAAAGAGTGTGGCCACAAGTAATGGCAACGATAGCGAGGCAAGTCTCGCATAATTTTTTCTCACTCTTTTTAACGTGCGTCTTGCACGCTTCGCTCTCGTACACATTTTTTTTTTTTTTTTATACTCCAACTACCACGAAGGCCTGAGGCCTAAGCACCCATTGGGTACCGTGGGGCTATGGGGGATACATGGGAAAGGGGGGACGCCACACGGACTCTGGCGAGGGAACACGAACATGCACACATTCTGGCTCCGCCTACGAGAACCGCCGGGTGGTACCTCCGCGTTCGACAGTCAGAGACCATCTACCACCTACGGACAATCACAACATCCATGGCCAAGAGAAACATTTCTCCTGGAGACGGGAATCGAACCCGCACAGCGCACGGCGACTGATCAGGAGACCGAAGAGTCTACTACTGCGGCCACCGCTGCTGCCTAAAACAAACACACAACATCCATGGCGAAGGCGAGATTCGAACTCGCGGCCCGGCCGGCCGGCTGATCAGTAGCACGACACTCTGACCCACGCGGCCAACCGAGGTCCCATATCACAACCATAAATGATTTGCACGGAATATCAATTTACTATTATTGCTGATGATTGCTTTTTTTCCAGTTTCTTCATGGATTGCACGGAACTGCAGAGACTCGACGCTAGCCTGAGACGGACTGACATGCTCAGCGAAAAATTGAGAAGGGCGGGAAGTAACAATGCCCTTCTTTCCGACGATTGATGGACTATTCTAGGAAGACCCTCAAAACATCTCCTCCTCTAAAATCATGTGATGTCACTTCAATGTTGTGTTGTATCTGAATAAAATAATGTGTATGTACAATTTTTTAATCTTAACTTATTATTTTTATTGTTAACGTGTGTGTTATGGTTAAAGCTATATTTAAGACGTATAGGAGAGTATATAATAAATGAGTATTTAAGTATATGTAGGTATATTATTATTTTTTTGTTGTCTGAAAACGTGGAAATATATGGAAAAAATCATTGAGGATACTGTCTTTTAGTATGTTCAATATTAACATAGGTAGATATAACAAGTAATATGGGGTAGGGAAAGGTGGGGTAAGGTGGGGTAACGAGGCAAGATGGGGTACGCGTATTATTCCGCCAATCCAAAGTGTTAAATTCGAGAACTACACATGAAACGACGCCAACGTGTAGCTTATTTCAGTAATCTCTGTTTCAGTAGCTTCTGTATCGTCATTGCAGTAGGTCGTGCTTTTACGACAGCGCGGAATCACGTTTTTTAAGGTTACGTTATTATTTTCGCATTTGTTTACAAGCGTGAAACTGTTACAAAATATTTGTATACAGTGGGAAGTTTGGGTACTGAGGAAGCTTTTGACATTGTAAATTAAGGTGAGTGTTTGTTTTTTTAAATAACTAGATTATTTTTTTGTTGCTTTTATTTTTTTTATATAATGCAGGAAGGGGCATGATGGGCTATCACTCGTGGGGCAAGATAGGGTGGTACCGATTAAGATTTATCCAATATTTTTTAATTTCAGAATGGTGCGAAATTACTTTCGTAAAACCGATAGAGGGAGTTGGACGGAAGGGCAGATGAAGAATGCTGATTTAGCTGTAGTGGAAAATAAAATGGGTTATTACTTAGCTGCAAAATCTTTTGAAGTTCCTCAAACTACGTTGGAATGAAAAGTAAAATTGGCTACAGAAAATATCTATGGACAATTTACAAAAACTAAAAGTACCTCTGGGTCCAAAATCTGGCCATATGATCCTACTGTCTTCACTGAAGACGATTTTATCGCTTCTGAGACCACTAATATAAATTTAGTACAGGATCAATAACCCCAAGCTAATATTTTCCAAAATCCAGCGGAAAGTACAAACCCAAGATTAAATGAGAGCAATCCTAATACATCGGCGCAATCATCAAGCACACAGTCTCAGTCCACCAGTCCTCAGCCAGGTTGTTCATTTTGGAACACAAGTCGAGAGGAACAGATTCATTCGCCAACAAAAAATACGTCATTTACCTACACTAGTTAGTCCTAAGCAGCTACTGCCGTCACCGGTTACCACAAAGAAAAACAGAATCCAAACTAGGAAAAAAGGGAAGACTGCAGTTATAACCTCTTCGCCTTATAAGGAAGAGCTTGAGAAGGAATTACAAGAAAAACGACAGAAGGAGCAACTAAAAGTCAAAAGGAACATGGATAGACAAATGAAGAAAGAAGAAAAACAGAAAATAATCGAGAAAAAACAAAAACTGAAGAAAAACAACAGCAAAATCAGATAAGACAAAAAGGAAAGCGTCCCAGACATGAGTCAACTGACGAAAACGACGATGAGGACGACACCTCATGTCTCTATTCCAGTGGATTATATTCCAAATCTGTAGAAGGCTGGATAAACTATATACAGTGTAATAAATGGGCGCATTGCGGTTGCGCAGACGTTGAGATTGATGACGATGAAGCCAAGCACATCTGTTTCTTGTGTAAACCCAAGAAATAGTTTTTTTGGTACTATGAGCTTCAGTCCCTTTAAGTTTTATTAGGCAATCCAATTTTATTTTAGTTAAATGTTGTTTAATTCCTTTCATTTTGGCATTATATTATAAACCCCATCTTACCCCTCCTATGGGGCAAGACGGAGAAAATCTTACTTTTTCAGTTTTCCCAGTTTAAAAAAAACAAATAAATTTTTAATTTGTTTTCGGCTATTATTTATACACTTATAACCAATGAATACTATAAAATAAAAAATATTCAAAAAAGTGCAAATTTGAGCTATAACTCCAAATCAACCCTTAGCTACCACATCTTGCGCCACCTTCACCTATTAAAAGTGCAAAATGCCACTTTTGGCTCTGCACGAGAAAACTGTTTCAATCAACATTTCAAAAGCGGCTATACTAACTTACCATAATACGGGGGTGTACATGATGAATTACTATATGCAAAAGTTGGGTGTTTCTCGAAGAAAATATATACACCTACCATAGCTCCAAAAAGTAGCCACCCACCCTACATACTATCTAGAGAGCTTTGAACTTATTCATAAAATATCATTTGAGGTTTTTAATAAATAAACGTTCTTCTCATTTGATTTTATTTGGATTTTCGGCGATGCTTTTAGAATGATGAATTTCGAGCAAATTTTTACAAAAATTACTAAAAATGTTTTCAGTAAAAGCAGTGTTTCATAAAACTGTTTGGCCAGGTACCTACCTTAATAACAATTGCTTTGAAGATTAAATAAATATATAAACGGAGTACTTGCCTTTTCAACAAAATAGGCTCAAACACACACACACACCAAGCCACAAACTTTCTTACTCATTCTCACTGTAATTTATATTTCTTTCACAAGTTTTTAGTCAGGAAGTAACTGGGCATAAAAACTCAAAAAGTACAAAACATGTACCGCATCTTTCAGTTTTAAAAATGTACGCACTCTGAGCTGTGAACACCGCATTTTTCATATTTCTGGACATTCTGACATACTGAGCTATCTACAAATGAAAACGTAAACTATGAGTAAGTACAATATTCTTTATTAGATGGCGCAGTGGCATACGACATTTTTTGACACTATGAAATGAAACTGACATTTCGTTAACCTGCAAAAATCTCAAGTTTTTCATTACATTTCGTAAATAAATAAATGTGAAATTAAGATATGTGGAAACATAAAGATAAATTAGTAATCAGTTAGAGCTCTTTATATCACTATAATGGTTACTAAAACAGATGTTAGTCTCAAAAACTTCTTCATCTTCAATTCCACAATTCCCACCAAGGAAGGAGAGGTAAATATTAACTATATTTCCTATATAACAAACATTCATGGTATTTTTTCGTACAGGAACTAAAGAAAATACTCTATTACTACCCCATAACAGATCACGCTGATGTACAAATAAAAAATGTTGGGCTTGTTGAAGGGATCATCAACTTCACAGAGTATGTTTTTGAAAATGGGTGTCTTCAGTGTAACTTACATGATTCTCTTTTAGAACATTCAAACCTAGTTCTCCAGTTAATTCTTTGCATACTAATGATGCCAGACAGCTATATTTTCAACCAGAGAAAAACTTCTGGGTAGTTATGGTAAGATTACAAATAGTGCATTAGTTTATTCAAATGTATGAATGTTAAGAAAGTAACATAACATATCTAAGATGCTTCATCTATTCTAAATAAGATAAAATGGACATCTGATATTTTTGGATGATTATATACCAATTTTCAACTGAATGATATATTCTATCAATTTATCTTTCACATAAAAATACCTTATGTCACACTAACTACTAAAAACACACTAAAACCCTACAGTACAGTGGCATGTTGTATATTGTATATGTAATATGATAGATATTCAACAAAACTGTGAGCATGAATCCTATTATATTTAGTCTCACATTATCACACAAAATACTTAATAGTTGCTATCTAATAACATTTTGGTCCTTTGATTTTAAAAAATGTACTCTTTATTCACGTCAACATACTGTTGAACAAGAGATCAGTTCTTTTAAGATCATGCTTCCCAAAAATACCAGCCATTATTAAACAGGTTGTGAAAAACTAGAAATACTGCAGGAGGGTAAGTTCTTCATTTCAAAGGAAGTATCAGATCAAAAGAGAATCTCAGATTATAAGGATCTGGATCTTTTTTTACTCACTTTATTTATTGTATATTTGTGCGTCTTTTTGATATGCAACAGTAATATTCAGTAATTTTTCAGACATTACATCTGACAAACCTCCCTAAAAATAAGGATGGCTTAAACAACATAGAGCAGATGTTAGAAGATGATATCCAGGACAATGTTTATGAGGCACTGTTAAAGCAATCTTACTATGTTTTTAGATTATTTTGGAACACATTATATAGCTATAAAGATACAGATACTTTGAAAGTTGAATTGGAAAAGTTTTTCAATCCAGTATGTATACCTTCATCTATTTCTGTGAATGAAAATAAGAATGCTACATATTTCTATTCATATTAGAACCAAGAGATGTTTAACAGATTATCTGTTTCAGTATTTGAAGTGTCTTAAACTGGCTCATGCTGACATATTGGACATATTCAATGGTATACAGTATCTACCTCTAGACAAAAATACATTCCTTAAAGTGCAATGTTTTATTAACCACCTAGAGTCTAGTTATCCTGAAATATCTCACACAGCTTTTCTGTATAATGATCATCTCATATGGTAAGTCACCACCGAAAAAACATTGCAAGTAATATCTTGAATATAAAAATATGTTTCAGGAGTGGAATAGAACCAGAAGATATGCAGACTATTTACCAGTACCTTATTGGCACATTGCTGCCTGCAAATGTGGAGACTGAGTTACAAGGTGGTTCAATGCCCAGGAACATTTCATCCCCATTCATGGCATTAAGACATGGCAGGTTTATCACTGGTCCAACTAACTTGAAGCTTGCCAAAACCATGGGAGAAGTACCTGTGCTTTACTTGTTTGGAAGTGATAAGCCTGTTAAGTACTACTTTGTTGTATACAGGGCGCTCAGTGCTACTGTCTGTTTCTTCATCAAAGGTAATGATAATAATTTTTATTGGAATTTATATACATAACAAATATAAAAACGACAACATTCTGGAAGGAAAAAGGATTGGCACTGCCATTTTTCACCTCCCGTGAATAGTTGGTTTCATAAGCATTTATTTAACATCAACAGAGTGGTTAGTATTCACAATTGTGCACAACACTGTATATAATATCATGTAGTCTGAGTGTGGAATATAGTGTAGCAACCACTATAAATTTAATTTATGGATTCAAATCTTTGTACCTGTAGTAGCACTTTTTCCATATCATTTCTGAAGTTTTTGATGGAAGGTGCTTCAAAAAGCTCTAAATAATCGTTTTTAATATAGTTTCAAATATGTTAGACAGAGACAAACATAATTTTATTGTCTAAACAAACTGTATAGCTAATTTGCATGTATCCGACAAATATAGACGATGTTTTCATGTTGCATGATGATGATTTTGACTATACATGATACATTTTCTTGTTTCCGAGATGGAATTGGCCCTCTAAATCAAGTATACCCTATTTCACGAGGATGAATCACGGTAGAATGACAGCTGATTATCTAGTTATATCTCAAAATTCTCTATGTCGGCACAGGACACACAATTCTGACGGATACGTCAACGTCAGGTAGTCAGAGCCGTGTTTTGTTTTGGTTTTTTCTAAGCTACAGATTCATTTTGAGCTTGTTAACAGCTATTTAGAAAAGTTCATTTGCATACAAAAAACAAAACGCTATAAACAGGTTTTACTAGATGTACACCAGATTCATTATGGCCAATGTTGCAGACTAACACAAAAATGTCACTTACTACCTCAGTAGACGTCAAAGCGTAATGGATGCTCGTGAAACACTCCACTGGGTTTGTTTTAATTAGGTTATTTTAAGGCAAAGGTATTTGCGAACTAAGTCACTGACATTCAAGGAAATTCAAGCAAAACCTTTATTTTGATGTCTAATGTGTTTTAGACTGCGTTTCAAAAAAATAGTCGTTCAACCATCATTTAAATATCCCATAGGACTGATTTCATCACTTCCTTTGGATTTCAGGTGACACTATCCTAACCCTAGACTTCTTCAAACAACTCGACGAGGTAGCGAGTCCAAAACTGATTGCTCTAGTGACTGACATTGCAGAGTATTGTGCAAAACAGATAGTCAGTCCTTCTGTTCAATCTGAATCTGCACCAAAGTTCATTTATTTCAATAATTTAAATCTTGCCTACAAAAGTACAGTTCATTTGGACAACAAACGGTCTGGAAACTTGACTTGTACTAAGGAATCCTTGAGGATTATGGCTGATATAGAAGAAAAAAATGGGTTGCTTGGAAAGTCAAATGAGACAATTTTGAAAACGATGAACGATTATTGGGTGGTAGGGAAGTGTTCAAATTCTAGGCAGTTTTATATAGCGTTGCAGCAGAAGAATGCGAGTTTGATTGAGATTAGTGGTAAGCCAAAACATATCCATGTTTATAAAATATGTTCCTGAAACTTTAATAATCAATGTCTCAACTTATTATTACAATATTTTTGTCTCACTATAATCAGCACTTCACTTTTACAAATAAATAATAAAAATATTTGGTGTTACCATAAAAATTACAATTCTAGATTATTGCTTTTATAAACATGTGTGGTGTCAAATGCTGTTTTTTGCATATAGTCGATATTCTTATCTACTATTTTTTTTGCAGATGAGGTTAAAAAACTATGCGACTCTGAGCTTAAAGGAATATTTTTCCATCCTGTGTGATAATATATCTTTGTGATTGATTTTGTATAAAGCAATTGAATGTTGTATAATATATGTATATTTATTATTTACCATAAAAAAAGTTTACATGTAATTGTTTTTATTATCCCGGCTTAGATTAAAGGTATAGCTGTCATGCGCGTGTTTATGGGCACCTAGGTTTTTTTCAGAAGTTTTCTGCTACTCTCGAGTCGTATACGATAAGGTACCCAAAACTAACCGGAATAGCATTGCAGTGGGTGGAGCTTGTGTAGCACATTTCTGCCCCTAGGGGCATACAGCGCAACTCATTAGTTCAGTGCCACCTGAGTTGTCGATCTAGCTTGTTTCGTTCCTCTGTACATTATTTTTGCTAGAGCTGATTCGTGTTTGTTTCGTTTTTTACGATGGCAAGCTTCAGTGAGCAACGTGCAGCTGTAAAATTTTGCTTTCTAATTGGTAAAAATACTGCTGAAACTGTTTTAATCTTGAAAATAGCTTACAAAGATGATGCTATGGGAAAAAATCAGGTGTACTAGTAGTTCGCTCGATTTAAAAATGGCGACATATCGATTGATGACAAACCTCGATCTGGACGTCCATGAACTGCCCGAATCGACGAAAATCTTGAAACAATTCGAGAGCTTGTGCTTGCAGACGGTCGACTGACAATCGATCAACTATCTGTAATTAGTGGGTTGTCCTGGAGTTCGGTTCAGCAAATTTTAACAGAAGATTTCTGAATGAAAAGGGTTGCTGCCAAGTTTGTTCATCGGGCTCTGACTGACTATCAAAAAGAACACCAAGTTGAAACATGTCATGGTTTGAAACAACAGCTTCAATCTGATCCAAATTTTCTGTCAAAGATCATCACTAGTGATGAGACTTGGTGCTACGGTTATGACCCAGATTCGAAGCATCTGTCAGGTCGGCATCGTCACTTTGTCCAAAAAAATGTCGTCAAGTCAAATCAAACGTCAAAACAATGCTGATTTGTTTTTTTGATGCCATAGAACCCACAGAGTCTATGAAAAACCTGCGACCAAAGTCAAGAATGGACACTGCTGGACTGAAACTTATTGAGCACCCTCCCTACAGTCCAGATCTTGCTCCCTACGCCTTTGCACTGTTTCCGCATGTGAAAATGAAGCTAAAAGGATAACGGTTTTCTATCGATGAGGGCTTGGGACCAAGAGTGTGCCGCACTCCCGGGTGAAACTTGGCTGAGCTGGTTTAAGGACTGGTTTTGGCGTATGGAAAAGTGTATTAAATGTGGTGGAAATTACTTTAAACGAAGTCGATAAATAAAGCTGTATTGCAAAACTTTAATAGTACCTTTTGTATTTATGGAAATATTGATCAGAGTCGGACCAGTTTTTGCTATTTTCTCAATCTCTTTGGTACACAAATACACAATAACCTTTTCCTTTAGGTAAAAAATTTTGGAATTCATTATTTGCTACCTGCTTCTTGGAATGAATACATTTCTGCTAATTCCGATTCAGTTGGATTTAAGGTCAATGCGAGAAACTAGTAAATATTGATAACAATCGATATTATTAAATACACCAAAATATAAAAATCTGGTATTTTACGAAAAATGAAATAGGATAAGAAAGAAAAAAGCTCCCCCAGATGGGACAGAATCACCACTAAAAAGTTACGTTTGGCATGTCTCATTTATGTTACGCTTACGATATCTACTACACCACTGCACTTTATATGTAGATATAATCATCACTATCATAGAGTATTATAAAATATTCAGGTAAAATAAGAGTACTTGTTTTTCTAACAAAATGCTCCATAACGGTCAGTTCCAACTATGAAATATTTATCAGGAAGACGATATTTCCGCATCTCTCCGTCTATTTCAAGTGTCATAGGTTGTCAATGTAACTATATTATAACATATCCAAATTCCTCAAAAAGGCGCTGGTTTCCTAAATTTGCTTGTTTTCAACAATCTGACAACTAGGATCGGCAAGATGCTTGAAAGCTTGGCTCCGCTAATTTTTCAAACGATCGCAAAAATTTCTTCGTGTCAAAAAAGTTTGGTAGAAAAGTTATCAGACAATATTGCCCAAAAACACATGGCTCATGACATTAACATACTTCAACTTAATGTGAACACGACATTTGAACTCGATAGCTTTGATATTTTTCGAGAAAGTATGGAAATGAGATTAAAAAAATTGGACCAAAAAAAATTCGTAAATTTTTGAATGAAGTGCGGCCCCAGAAAAACAACATAAAAAACGTGAGCAACCACCTTAAAGTATAATTGAAACACATCATTATAGAAAAATCAAGTTTATTTCTTGCATGAAAACAGTAAACGGTAATAACAAATACAAAATATAAAAAATTTACACACATCTGACGTATTGCTGAAAAAACAATCTACTCTGATCGCTGAACTATCTTTTTACAAAACACATTTCTAAAAACTTCTTCAGTCTCTTTAATAAGCAGCATATTCATAATCTCGTTTGTAATTTTGTCCATGACAAGCTTATTATCCAATTCGGAATTCCTCCACTGTGACTCTTCTTGCAGCGATTCTGTGATCAAAATCTCGTCAATGTGGTTCCGCTTCTTTTTGCACCATTTAATGATTGCGTTCTCCCTGATAATTGGCTTTTCGTAACCATACAATTCGCGCAATTTTTTGGTCATGTGCATTTCTAAGCCTGCTGCGTCTAGGGGTTTCTCAACAACTAGTTTTGGTTTCCCAGTGACTTTCAACCAGCTAGGGCATGTGCTTTCCTCAAACTGCCCGTAGTGCCATCTACAGATTTCTTTGCATAAGTCAAAGACGAACCTGTAAGAGAAAATCATAAGATACATTTAGATCAGTTGATAGAATTCAACAGTAGACAAGTCTTTTAATCATTTACTGGAACTGTGATCCATGGAGCAATGTACTGGGGGTAAAAGTTGAGTTTTTATACCATGTTTTTAAGTTGCGGTCACACGAAAAAAAATTATAAATCATATTTTTGCTGAAAATCTGTCTTCCCTATTTTTCATACCACAACTGATCGTTAATTCAATGGACTGATCAATTTATGGGGCAAAATTACGTTTAATAAAATGTTATTTCACGAGAGATGGAAGTGCTATTACCAAAGAGATACTTTTGGGATTTATTTATTGTCCATCACTGGAGAAAGATTAAACATTTTTGTTAAAATTAAGTTTGTTGTGACTTTCATTTATTCATAAATATTTATCACCCATCTAGTCTAACCGGTATTTACTTTTCATTTCTTCGGATAATCGGGATGTATGTTAAAAACTGTCCTATTCCAAGTTGCCAATCTTGTATATACTTTCGTTTTAAATCACCATTGAGCAGCAACATCATCGACGAGTAAGTAATTTGAAAATTTAAATGTTCTAAATTGCTTGCTATTTTCATATTTGTGTTTTAGCTCCTGAAGATGACGACAGTTTGTCGAAAGCTCGAGATTTCAGTCAAAAGAGTTCTCTACGCTTTAAGTTTTGCCAATTCCCAATAAACAATTTAATTGTATTTTTTGCCCAATGGCAATGGCTACCACTCGCATATATTTAAAAGAACAGGATCATGCGGATAAAGGTATATAACAAATAGAAAAATAATGCGCAAATTCCGCAAAAAGAAGGAAAGTGAATTCGAGCAGAAAATAGGATAGGTAACCCGAGCGATACGTATTTCTGCTTGTTGGCTTCATCAGTCCCGAAATGAATACACATGCAACTACAAAAGTAGATACACATGCCCATACATCCGGATACGGGTGTAACCTGCGGAAACGAAGATGGAGAGGGAGAGAAAATGATACACGAAGTCACAAACAAGAGCCAACATACACATTGTAGCATAAAATGGCTAGAAGACCTTCGAATTTTCATGGCGACATCTAACCACAACTTCGCGGCCGGTTATAACCACTTGCTGAGGTACTTCAGGCCCAAAGGATCTAGAAAAAGAACAGGATCATGCGGATAAAGGTATATAACACTGCGACTCGTACATGGCCAGACAGTCCAGACAAAGGAGCTGGCGGATTGTGCACACGCGAAGAAGCCATAAGGAATAAAGAAGGAGAGCCGTCGGTTTGATGGTTTGCTCATATATGACTCTATTTTTGTTGTGGTCAACCCGTGCCAATTTGAAGGGACAGTCAATGAAAAGGCAAACTTTAAAGGACATTCCGAATAGTGTCTTCTATTGGCTTACCTTCTTTTTGGAATAAATATGGTATCATACATGGAGTAGGAGGCAAATATGTTCATATTTACCTGTAGCGCTCCTTGCTGATAGTGGTGCCTATGAGGTTGAGAGTACTATCAGAAATAGTAACTTTATCCAGCTTGCCAGCCAAATGCGCCTTGTAGAGTATCTTCGAGGTGTATTTGGTGATTTCATCTATTTCTTCCTTCGTGGGTACTATGGACTGCACTGGTGGTGCTGAAGGAGATGAAGATGGAGGCGTATATGGTGGCGGAGGTTTATTCGGTATCTCCCTCACGAATAGGAATGGGAGTTGTTGTTCTTTCTGTTGCTGTTCTGTGATTGCTTTGATCTGGAAGGTGATATTCATATTTTACATTGGTGTACCAGATAAAGGTTCATGGTGAGTTTATTCACAAACCAACTTTAAGCAGACTGTCAGTTTGTGTGTTTTCTATTCAATCAGTGAAGCTCATTCTGGAATGTTACTGTCAATAATTGATATAATCCATTAGTACCGGTTAATGTGAAGTTGAACCAGAAGCTTTTTTTAGTATAGCCAATCTTACGATTTTGCCAGTAATTTCAGCAAACATCAACGATCTACACAAAGTGAAAGTGTAATGACATCATTTAGGAGTGAGCGTATCAGACTGTCGACCCGAAAATTGTTATGGAGAGCCCTTAAAGATCAACAAAAACAAACCCATTTTTATAACAAATCACAAAATTCATTAGCGCAAACCGTCAATAGATGATGAATTGCGACAGAACATATCATATTTCTTCAAACGTTTTTTCTTTAAAAATATTGGATACAAATATATGTTACCCACCTCTTGCTCGATTGCAAGTTGCTTCTTAAAAATCTCTTCTGCTTCTTCGCCAAATATACTGACTGCAGGAGTAGGTTTATTCACATTTATTGGAGATCCTACACAAAACAAAATCAGTGAGATAACTAACTACTTACACTGGTACATAACAAAAATCAGTAGCTTATGGGGTAAAACAGCCATTTAAGTCTTCCGTTGTTACACACTGCTGAAACTCGCAATTCTCAGGTAATCTAGGGCGTTGGATGTCCGTTACAAAATCGTGAATTCCTGTGATTAAATTTGAAAAAAAGGAGAATTGAGATTTCCTGTTGGCCCTAGCGTCAAAGTAGCGTAGGTTTCGGTATCTAAGCAACCAATTTATTTAGAAAAAGGGGTTTTTTGTTGAGATCAGTAGAACTGTAGAATTTAGGGCAACATTTTTATTTGTCTTCCGTTAGCCAATAAAACTGAAAACACTTAGGTAATAGAGGGCGCTGAATTCGTACATGGTCGTTATGAAATTGTGAAGTGTCGTGTGACCCAAGTTGATGTAGAAAATGAGTCATTCGAAACTCATGTAGGTCCTAGCGTTAAATTGACACCTGATTCCGAATCTACGCATCTGATTTACCCAGGAAAATAAATTCGCATCTAGGTTACATATATACACTAGGGTTTTTGGAACTGAACATTTCATACGACTTGTAAGGCGTGTTTATTACCTGACACACTGAATTTTGACATATGAGCTGTCGTCTTAGCAGTGCGAGTGACATTGGGTATACCAAAATTTCGTAAAATCAAAATAGCCTTGTTTAAATTTCAACCTTGGAATACATCACAAAGCGCCATCTATTACCAGAATCGACCACTGCGAAAGTGAAAACAGCAAGCTGCCTATTGGATCCCAGTTCGCACTGTCATCCGGGTAACCACTTTGCCCGCTAGATGCCATCGATTCTGGTGCTATAGCAGATACGATCTACTCGCCGTTGAACAAACTAGTAATATGGCTTTCGTCCGACCACAGGTAGCTAATGATGCGTGCTATTTGGCAACTCCTCAGCATAGTCTAGACTTGGTGGACAGTTGCTTTGCAACATGGAAAAATTTTACTCAAATTCAAAGCTCGATAGTTGTGATGTTCGGGAGGTTCTTGAGCAACTCTTAGAGTACACGTACAGGGTTCGACCGGTATATTTCTTGTATTTATCCACTTATACAGGGCGAGCAAAAGAAGTAATGTTTTTTTAGCAAAGTTTGGGGCTTTGTTTGATTCTCAATTTTTTATCTTGCTTTTGATGTTACGCCACTGGAATACAGCCAATATTAGGAATAGTAACTTGGATTTGTTCATTAAGCTGTTTAATTGCATAATAAAATTTATAAATTTGGTTTAAATTACATAGTGTCAAAGTAGCAATTTTTCACTGCACGCCACTGGAGGAATAATGTTCAATGAGTGCTTCAATCTTTTCTCGGGGGCAAGACATTCCACTTCATGCAACAGTATGAGAAAAATACCCAATATCAAGAGAAACCCCAAAAAAGTCCCTTTTTAGAGGTAAATATGACACTTTTTTGAAATTCTTTAATCTGAATTATAGCCAACTTTCGAAAAATTTGAAAAATCACTTTTCTATGACAGTCCAAAGATCAAAAAGATGCATAGAAAAATGTCCATGATCAAAAATTGAGAATCTGACATATCCCCAAACTTTGTAAAAAATCCTCTTCCTTTGCTGTATAAGTGGATAAATAAAACAAATATACCGGTCGAACCCTGTATGTGTTCTCAAAGAGTTGGCCAGGAATCTCCCGAATACCGTAACTCGATATCTCTTTCCGTTCCAAGAATATCGAGACTTGAATTTGGGCAAAATTTTCCACGTTGTAAATCAACTGTCCACTAGTTTAGTTTAAAGCTTGAAATTCCTATTTTCAAACGGCTCGTAGGATTTTGACATTTGAATGATCTTAGACAGCACGATTGAAAGTTCATTCTTTTCAGTTACTGCAGTCGGACTTTTTGTATTTGTTTCCTGTTATTGAAATCAAATGAAATTTGGCATATTCAAGCAATACGCAGCAATTTATTTGAAATTTCTCTTTAGGATAAAATTTCCATTTCTCTTCCTTTGTACAGGCGAACGAAATCATGTCCAGGTAAATTGGGTCGTTAAAATCAAATATACTGACAAAAACATGGAGCATTATGTGGCTGAAAATGAGGTTGAAATCACCATTTACGTACGCGCGTTAACTTAGAAAAAGAAAACTCAGAAACTTACCATACTCTGGAGAATTGGCCGGGGAAATCAAATCATAAGTAGTGATGTAAATATCCTGCAACCTCGGACTCTTATCACCCCTAGTCAAATTGGCATCAGCCATTATCTCTGAAACGCGTTTCTTCACATCGACACTCTTCACAGGCTTCTGAGACACACTAACCGAATCTTCTTCGATCTCTTGTGACAACGAATCTTGCTCCTTTTCTTCATACGAATTGATTTCTTCTTTGGTTGGAGATGTTTCCACTGCCCCATAGCTCAAATCCAGTATTTCCCTGTTAGAGCTAGACTTTGAGAAAGAGCCATCGCTGATCTCAAGTACTGGAATCGGAGTTGCGATATTTTGCTCTTCGCTGGCATCTAGTGACAGCTCTTCGTCTATATCAGTCTCCAAATGTTCTACAACAGATTTTTGATTCGCTTCATAGCTAGTACACGGCACGTTACTTTCTTTTTCGGTGGATTTTGCTTCTTCTGCTGCAAACAATGAAGTGTTTTAGGCCAGTTGGTATTTCCATACTCAGTCATTATGAACTGGCCATAATTAACGAGATTTTCAATCAATTGACTCAGACTTTCTAGACAATAATGGCTTTTTAATGGAGTATCTTCAATATTAAGTGACATTAAGTATTTGCGAGGATCACCTTGACGATCCCTAACTTGAATTTTATGTGTTTTCCAATCTAACAAAGCCACCGCGGTTTTTGGCGGGTCACAGTCAAACTACAGGAATTACTTTCATACATCCAACAACCTTACACATACATATGCAATCGAATTCCAATTCGCGGATGTTTGTGTGAACTCAAAGACATACAAGGTCTATAAATTGTGATGAGACTGACAACGTCGCGTTCGATCTGACAACATTGGTGGCGCCGGACTTTGAGGGGAGACAGGGGGACATGTGATCCGCCTTCAGTACAAGTTTGAACTCGCTCGGCTGTAACCGACCAGCTGAAGTCTATTCCAGTATCGTACTTCCGACACTGCTACGAGGAGTGGAAGAACCTTCTTCAGCCCCGCGTGGCTTCAGAAAAAAGTTATTTTGAGATTAACAATATAAACTCGTAATTATATTCGAATAAAATATTTAAAAAAAATCAGTCTCATCACTTAACTTACAGACCTCGATCGTGTTTCTGTCTTGCCGCCATGAAAATTTTCCTGTCAACGTACGAGTCTTCCACATGTATGCTTATTATTGTTAGTATGACAACTTGTTTGTTATGAGTGTCTGATTTCTGTTTACCCATAATGAACGATGAAGATATAACTACAATGTCGACAGTCTGTATCAGTATTTTCAGAAAGTGAGTGAAAACAACGGCCCTCTATCTTCCAATTCGTGTGTGTGCAAGAGCGAGTAGCAGCTGCGTTGTTTGCAGTTTTCGTTAGGGAAGTTAAACGACGCACATGGTACTATCAATGGGTGTACTTATAGTATTTCATATGGCATTGTGACGCAGCCGCCAAAAACCGTGAAAAGGAATATAAATAAATTGTCTATTAGAGAGCTAAGACTATGCCATCACATACGGACACCGTAAATGGCTCAAGAAAGACGCAATCTGGAAGAAAGTCCTCCCTACGGGACACAACGATTTCTTATTTTAGTTTATCTAAATGTTTTATACAAAGGGTACTATAAAAGTTTTGCAGTAGGACTTAACAAACGGACCCAGGAGGATGCATGTTACCCATGTTGAGGCATGTTCATGAGTGCATAGTAACCGCCAGCAGCACGTCTGTTCATTTAGATGTTCATTCGTATTGACAGTGTAAAGTGCGGACTATGGCATCTTGGTCACGAAGTGAGATAAGGGCAGTTTTACGGTATAAGTTTACGGATGGTTAGCGTAGACCAGTGCTTAGAAGAAATGTGGCTTGCATAAAAGAATGATTGTCCTTATCGTACGACTATATTCAGGTGGTACAGAGAATTTTCCAAAGGGACAATTTCACTCTCGAGGCGGCTGAGAGAGAAGGGAGGACGCTGAGGGAGAAGGAAAGCCGCGAACGTCAGTAACAGAGGAAAACTAAAAGGAAAACGGTTTTTTAGCGATCAGGACCTTCTGAGCGCTTGGGACAGCGAGTGTGCCGCACTCCTGGGTGAAATTTGGCAGAGCTGGTTTAAGGACTGGTTTTGGCGGATGGAGAAGTACGTTGAATGTGGTGGAAATTACTTTGAACGAAGTCAATAAATAAAGCTGTATTGCAAAACTTTTATATAGGCTATTAATAAAGTACCTAACGCATTGTTCGGAAATACTGCATGTGCAATTTTTTTTTAATGGACTCTATGAAGAATTTATTAAGATTGCTTTCAGTATTACCTGTTTTGGCAAAACGTTCTGATATGGATCGGTCTAGTGTGCTACTGAGGCTAGCTGCACTCTCTAATACTGAAAACAATCCTTCCTTTACTGCGGTGTATATTACATCTTTCAATTCATTCTCACCCAATTCTGCTGTGAAAACTCCTACTTCCGCAGCATTCATTTTTTCATTAGTTTCATCATCTACCTTAGTTGCGATATGTTCCTCAATTTCTTCCGAATCAACCGCCTTCTCCGAAATAAGTTTTTCGCAATTTTCAGATTGTTCTACAATACTTTTCAGTTCACATGGAATGCCTTCTTCGGGCTTGAATTCTTCACCTGCTACCGCTTCCGACGTATCTTCGTTAGACACTGCATAATATTCGTTCAATAACAATAGTTGAGATTCTCCAACTTTCTTTGCCTCTTCACTATATTCTGTCACTGCTTCTGGCAGTCTTCCACTGATCTTGTTTGAGGAAACGTCGGAATTAAGAGCAGAATCCTTGTACAAACCCTCATCTACTCCATATACCTGTCGTAAAGCTTCTGCTACTATTTCGGATATTCTACTTTTAGGAACAACTTCTCCATCATCACTTTCAGATAGACCTTCTATAGAAATAGGAGGTGCTTCTGGGGATAATATTGAGGATCCATGTTCTTCAGGTACTTTTTCTGCAGTTGCTGTTTTGCTAACTTCATCTGACGTTGTTTTCCGAGCATCATTTTCTTCACTTTTATGGAAAATCTCACACTTTGATGTCTCTAAAAACTTTCCTACTTCATCCTCCTCTTTACCATCTATCACCGAGATAATTTCATCAGGTTCTGTAGAACATGCAGTTGCTATAGTTTCAGAGACGAGACCTAATTGCTTTGATCTTGGACTGACGTCTTCTGCTACCTTCGAAGATCTTTCACTTATTTCATCAGAAAAAACTTCAGCAGAACCTGCAGGAGTTATTTCATATGATTGTACGGAATCATTTTCCTTGTTAGTCCTCGAGTTATGCAGACATTCTTCAGACGTATATGAGGTTGCTTTAGTTTCAGAAGAAGCAACAGAAACTTCGATATCTGACAATATGTCAGATGATTTTTTTATAATCTCAGGTACGACAGAAACTTCCTTACTTCCTTTTTTAGACAATGATTTTTGTATAGAAATAATATCTACCACTTCATCGCTAACCACTGATTGAGGTTGGTCTTCAATATTTGTACCCTTAGTTTTTGAAGAATCACTCAAATCTTTGAGTTCCGACAATGATTCGACAACCTTTTCCAAAACATCTACGTTATCACTAACCACTAATTGAGATCTATCTTGAACACTTTTCCTGGCCAGTGCTTTGTCTGAACTCTGTGAAGTTGCCTTTATTCTTGAAGCTTCATTGATTTCTGATGATGAAACAGACTCTCTTTCCAGAGCTTCTGGAGCTTCTTCATTAACAAAAGTATCACTCAACTCCTCAATTCCTGATAACGAACCGGACAGTTTTTCAATCGCTTCAGAGATGACGCAAACTTGGTCAGCACTTTTTTTGGACATTGTGAGCGATGGAGCAGAAGATTTTGATATTTTTGAGATATCGTTTTGCCCTCCCTGTACTGATCTTATTTCTGAGGTAGTATTCTGTCTCTGTAATGACTTCAAGACTTCTTCTGACAACTCAATACTAGTTTTCAATCCATAAGCTAAGTCAGATTTCATAACTCCTGGCTTTTCTGAAACATCTGGCGACATCTCAGCTGAAATGCCTTTCTCATTATTGAGTGGTTCATACACATTTTCTGAAACCACCGTTGTTTCCATAGATGGTAGTAGTTTTTCAGAAACTTCAAGTTCAGAAGTGCTTTTTTCCTCACTCTCGATTGACGAACTAGCAATTTGAGGTACTATAGAACGTTCTTCTCCAGTCGTATATGCTTCAGAAGCTCTCGGACTAACAGATTTCGACAATCTTTCAGATATCTCCGTCGCTACGGGTCCACTAACACTGTTAATCGAAGATATGGTGCCAGCAGAGCTTTTCTTGGATCTCTTAGCTTCTATCACAGAATTTTCCTCCACCTTATTCTCGTCTTCATCAGATTTACTTGACTTTGATATTCCGAGCATGGAGATATTATCTTGGACTTTGCTAAAGCTGCTCATGAGATCCTTTATGTTCTGGTCCACAACGTCTACTATGGACTCAACTTCAAAGTCCGAAGCATAATCAAGGGGCGTTTTGTCTTTGTCTGACGTCTTTGGAATGTTAAGCGGAACTGGAACACTCCAGGTTTTCCTTTTTTTCGTCGCATCGCTCTTTTGACAGATGATGGATTTGGCCATGGATTCCAATTCGATTACCCGTTTTTCCTCTTCCAAAAGCTTCTGGTGGCATTGCAACAGCTCCTCGGCTGCTTTTCTACGTTCGTTCAAGGCAGCTTCTTTCATTAACAGGTTCCTGTAAATATAAAATACCGTTGTAAAAGTATCAACCGATTCATGCACTATCAACGAATTTCAATAAAAATGATCTAGCGAGCGATTTGGTTTAATCTAAAATCAGGAAGCAAGTTCATACTATAAGAGATCAGAAAATTATTATCTTCCTGCGAGTACCCATAGAAGTGCGTACGTTTCCAGACAGTCATAGTGTTCCAGTCAATTGCACAAAATCCATGTGTTAATATATTATAGTCATCAGCGTTGCATAAGTGCATGTACTTTAACATTGGGCTCCCCTACCTGCACAATTTAGAGGTAACTTTGACTTATGAAAACTACTACAATTACATAACATACAAATATTCAGAAAAACAAAACTTGCATCTCTAATAATTTTCCGTCCATGAAATGTTCCCTTTATTAAATTACAACTAGACTTTAATAAAAACAAGGACTATATATGATATGAAATTTTTTATATCCAACCACTGCAATTCCTGTAACATATATTTTATTTTATTGTATTTATTTTCAGACAATATTACTCTCATAGCTTTATTTTGTAGGACCTTTTGAGGATACGTCTTCATTGGCAGTGAACAAGATAGTTGAACAATATGCGGTAGAATAAAATTATTGTATTACACACTATTTTTTGGAATATCTATTAAGACTATGAGGAGCCCTATAAAAGTAATTTGTTTTTTTTGCAATTTTTGAAATAATGCTTTCATAGGGATCTTCAAACTTTAATATCAATATATATGCCCAAATATTCAATTGATTCAACTTTTTTCAATTATTTCACCATTTATCCTAACTGTGATAGTATTTTCATATGACTATTTCCCTACTAACAAACATTTTGTTTCAGAAGCATTCTATTTCAGTTTATTCACATTTTAATATTTTTACTAAGTCAGAATTTAGTATCTTTAAAGCAGTGTCTAAATGTTCATCTGATATTAACGTATCATCTGCAAATATCTGAATTTACAATGTCATTAATGCATAAAATAAATAGTAGTGGACCCAGTTTACTACCTTGCGGTACACCAACAGAAATATTTTTGAGCTGGATAATGTACATGACTTCTGTCAATTAAGCAGTTTTGTAGAAATTTAAATTCAGATCCTTCAAGTCTATATTGATGCAATTTTGTAAGTAATTTATCCATGTCAATAGTTTCAAACGCCCTTTTGAAGTCCAAAAACACTGTCTCTGTATGTTTCCTATTATCCAAACCTCTCCTTCAGCCCTCTAAACCCATTTGTATTGTCGTTTCAGTTGAGTCCAGCTTCAAATTTGATGATGAATTCGATTATCAACTAAAAACAAAGTCATCGGCAAAGCACGCACTTTAAACTATCTCCTGTATTTTTTTCATCCACAAAAAATAGATGAGGTTTTTTGGATGGTTTTCAACTAATGCTTATGCATGTTGTGACTCACAAAAGAAGAAACATGTCTCAAGCGACGTTTTTGTATATTTTTTTTCGTCTACAAAATATCCGCCGGGTTGGATATCGCCAACTCTCTGGATACCGGCAATTAAACGAATTCTCAGTTTTCTTTTCCTGCTTCATGTACATATTATAATCGATTCAAAAAATGATTCCTTGTTAATAAAGGTTTCACCTACTTTTGATGTTTGTCTCAACTATTTATTCACCTCAATCGGCCCATGGGTCACACACTCTAACACCGACGTTACAAAAATACTATACTGAACCAACCACGTGTCAAAAAAAAATCGACAGTTTCAAGAATGGAACAGACACACTACTTTTGATTTATGTACATGTACGCGAGTTGAGACTCATGTAACTGTTGTATGTACGTACGAACTACAACATCTCTGCCTCAATGAAGTGCTGACTTATTTTAAAACTTGTATTTCCTGCGTCGAGGAAGCTTCCTTACGAGAAACGCTCAGCGGCGACTCTTTCGCTTGGGAGTCATCAGAAAATAACGAAAATAGATCGCTACTTGTTTTAACGGGTGCAGACAACTAAAGGCATTGACATATTCGACCAGAAAATACTCAGTTCAATTGAATCGGACATTTCAAAAATCTTATAATATACATCACACAATTTATGATAATAATCAATGGGCTTTGTTTCATATAAAAGTACAAAAATGCGAATTGTCGCTAAGAGTAGCGTTTTTTAACCTTTGAAACAACAAAAAATTATTATATAATTCTGAGCCAATAGAAATGTATGCATATTACTCAATAATAACTAATTAATTAACAACACAAAAATATTGTCAGCATTTTGTGTTCATCATTAGACGTGCAGTTTTAGTTGAGGTCTATTTTCAAAATTAAATAGTGTGTAATTTTGGAACGTAACAGGCAGATATCATTATATAATTTAATAGAGTTGTAACAAAATGACTTTTTGTGTCTACAAAATGTAATTTAGTTTCTAAAACTGTCTAGCTTTAGAAGGTAAGGGTATCAATAACATATTTCTGTTCCTTGTATTTAGTTGATTTATGTAGCTAAATCGTGCTAACTTTTTGTTTCAGGAGATAATAAAAACTCTACCAATGACAGTGAACCAGATTCAAAGACTTAGTTTATACTATTTCAGTTTTAAAACATTGAAATGTGTGATAACCTCCACAGTTTATGAATAATGGCAATTATTGTATGAGCCCGAAAAACAGTTCATCTACGTATATATTGTTTTACCATATGGTTAGTGATATATGACTCAAGCAAAAGAAACATATGTTTTACTAATTATGATTGAAAATTACACTCCTTTTACTCAACATGTCACGTGTTTTAATTTTGCATGCTGTAAAACTTCTAAGGTACATATTGGCAAAATGAACACCCTGGGAAAGCTGAATTACGTTTTACATCTAAACCAGTACAGTACATAGAAATTTCCGACTCTTCAGTAATTGACAATCGATTGTAAAAAATCTCACGTGCTTATTTGACTACCAGAGAGCCAAATATATTTTTCTAACAAGAAAATTGATTTGCAAGATAGCTAGGAATGTGATGTACTGTTTATAAACTAGGTTAACCTACACACCTAATTTGGATACTCACTCGCATAGCATCACAACACACATATTTCCACGGAGTAGGTTGCACTCGGAGGACAGAGATTTGTCAAATGAAAAGGCAATTACCTTCGTGAACAATTATTTTGCAGAGAAAAACGCCGAGTACTATATGGATGAGTTACAGAGATAGGAGCATCGCTGGGAGGAGTGTGTAGAGTTACAAGAAGACTATGTTGAAAAATAAAAACAAAATATCCTCGTATCCTCGTTAGGTCGTAAAATTTTCAGACCACCCCCGTACGTTCTGTAAAGGAAAGTCCCAACTGTGAAAACACCTTGTATAAGAACGCCTCAAGCGAAAGAACAACTACCACCCCAAGTTACCCATTTTCGAGTTCTTACGCTATAGCTACTAGCTACACCAACGATAGATAATAAGGCTTCCCTCACACCCCGCTCAAATAACGTACGGTTACACCAATGAAATTTCACTTTTGGAAGCTTTCCAACAGGATATCTAATATTAGGTAGTTTGTTTTAAATCATTTCTAATTCTCGTAATAACATCCTTAACTACCACACAGTAATTAAAGGGGATATTTTTAGCGCAGGTCCGATTTGTTGACAAACTGTGAATAGACTAAATTTAGGCGCCAGCTCAGCTGAGGCTCTCTCATCTAAGCCGCCTCTGTGAGGTGATGCACTCAGAGGAGCCAGACAGAAAAAACAACTTTGGCGACTACTTCAGTCTGGAGAGTTACTTTTAACACGTACACTTGATACTAATGATGACAGTTTTGTCAGTTGCGCGGCAATATTTTAAATTAACTACCCAAAGTTCTCGCGACATCTAATCGTAATTTTTTGCGGGCGAAAAAATTTCAGTAGATATCTGCATTTGTAATTTAGGTTTTTCGGGCTGTTGAGCCGTGGTCGGGTTGGATTTGGTACGTTTAGTGGTGCCTACGTATACTATACCACAGGAACACGGTATTATGTATACACCGGCACCGCTCAGGGGGTCCCTAGGGTCCATTACCGATGTTAGGAGTCGCTGAATTTTATTTGTCGGCTTGTAGATGGTCTTCACGTTGTGTTTCTGCAGCAACCTTCCTATTCTATCCGTGATGCCTTTAATGTAGGTAGGAAGGAGACTGCCGCAGGTGGTTCCTTGTCTCCTGCAGGCGGTCTGCTTTTTTGTCGTGAAACCCGTTCCCTGCGATAGCCGTTTGCTTGTAAAACCATGTTAACATGATCCAGTTCCGCCTGCAGATATTGAGGTTCACAAATTCGATGTGCCCTGTCTATCATATTTTTAATGACACCTCTTTTTTGCCCAGGATAATGATTGGAGTCCTTGTATAGATATCTGTCAGTGTTTTTTGTTTTACGGTAAACTCTGTGACCCAGCTTTAAGTTATCTCGTCTGACCACCAATACGTCTAGGAAGGCCAGTTGATTTTCCTCTGCTATCTATATTGTGAATTTGATTTTGGGGTGAATGCTGTTTAGGTGATTTAGGAACACTGCTAGTTCTGTTCTTCCGTGGCTCCATACCACGAAGGTATCATCCACATACCGTAGCCAACAGCTGGGACGATTGGGAGCGGTGTTCAGTGCTGTTTCCTTGAACCTTTCCATGTAGAAATTGGCTGTTACCGGGCTTAGCGGACTTCCCATTGCGACGCCGTCAGTTTGTTCATAAAATTGATTGTTCCACTGGAAATATGTAGTTGTTAGGGTGTGTCGAAACAAGGTCAGGATATCCTCTTGAAAGACTTGCTTCAGGTAATCCACTGATGGGTCTAGTTGGACATTTGTGAAAAGTGACACTACATCAAAACTGACCAAAATGTCGTCTGGTGTGAGCCGGATGTTTTGTATCTTTCTTATGAAATCAGTGGAACTCTTGACATACGACTGGCTGTGACCTATTTGAGGCTGTAGCATGTTCGTTATATGTTTCGCTAGTTGATAAGTAGGTGATCTGATCGCACTGACAATGGGTCTAAGGGGGACAGATGGCTTGTGAATTTTTGGTAGACCATGCAATATGGGTAGAAGGGCTTCTGATTTTCATAGCGTTTTTTTCACCTCAGGGGGTAACGACGACTGTTTAATGAGTAATGAGTATACGGATAGAATAGTAAGGTTACTGCAGAAACACAAAAATTACATTAGAATTAGCCGTGAAAGCCTTCATTCTTCAATATCTGCTTTTGTTATGTACATAACAATTTGGATATATACAAAACGCATAGTGATGCACGAAGTAGGTAAATTAAGTAGTGACAATGGCAACGTAGCGCTCGATCTGGCATCACTGGAAGTGCCGGGCTTGTAGAGGAGACGGGGGAAGATGTGATCCGCCTTCAGTACAAGTTTGAACTCGCTCAAGTCATTTGGTCGTTCTTAGCTATTTATTTTCTGAAACAGTTTTTCTTAATGTGTTCTAAAAATGAGTGACATCAACTGTGTGCTATGAGGTTTTGCTTCGGACTTGGGCACAGTGTAACGGAAACTCTTGCTAAACTTCAGCAGGTCCACAGTGATAGTGTTTTGTCAAGAGCCCAGGTTTTTCGGTGGTTTAAGGCATTTTCAGAAGGGAAGGAGTCGATTGAAGATGAACCACGAAGCGAAAGGCCGGGATCTTGTGTATTCAGATCGTCGGATGGCAGTCAGAATGATCGGAGAAGACTTAAATTTGACTCACACCACCGTTCATCAGATGAAGAACAATTGGGTGTTGCATCAGATAATGCTCTTTGTCACACAGCAATGTCAATAAACGAGTTTTTGGCCAGTAAAAACATTCCTGTGGCTCCTAAGCCTCATTCGCCTGCCTTGAGTCCTTGTAACTTTTTTCTCTTCCCGTAGTTTAAAAATCACCTCAAGGGACAGTCTAAAACATTCAAACGGCTGTAACCTACAAGCTGAAGGCTATCTCAGTATCGGAGTTCCAGCACTGCTATGAGGAGTGGAAGAACCGTCTCCAGCGACGTGTGGCTTCAGAAGGAAGTTATTTTGAGGATGACAATATAAAATTGTAATTATATTTGAATAATTTTTTTTAATCAATCTCATTACTACTTGTACATAGTTACAATACACGTAACATGCATAAGTTAGATATTCCTAAACATAGTCTACAAAGAACTAGAAACGGTTCTAACTACTATGGAATCCATTTTATAGTGTGAGTGAGGCACTCAGAATGTATGGCCCCGGCTCAAAGAATCGACAAAGCAAGCACTCGAAAATGGATTTGCTGTGCTTCAAACACGAAAGGCAATTCTGGAGTCACTATTACCGTTAGTTGCCCTTATGACTTCTGAGGCAATTATGTAGTATTTCCCACAGATTAATATAAATTTATTTAAAATTATAAGCGAAATATGACAACTACTTGATTTTGACTGCCTCAACCGATATATTTTGTTTACTGTGCGCTGCGCCAAAAAGTTCAAAAGCGTAGAATAAGATTTTTTAAACAATTTCAATTATCCTCAAATTGAATCCGAAAATGATCATAAAATCTGTAATGTCAATAGTGAAGCTTGGAATGTCTTAATATCCTTATTTCTTCATATAATGTTACGTCAAAATATCAACAGGCACCCGAAAAACAAAGTTTGGGGTTGCTATGAAATGTTTCATTTGTCGCTGCCACTAGACCAATTTTCAAAATCTCGTTTTCGTCTTTGACGTTGTACCAATCTTGTGCAAAAATTTTATCAAAATCTGAGTAGTACGTTCAAAGTTATAGAGAGGCCAAGATTACCAGGACACACGACAGATTTACAGACGAAAATGAATGATTATTTCTGAAAAAAACATACTCTTCTGAAAATATATACTTACTTTCTTAAAGAAGCCAATCTATTCTCAACTTCCGATTCTATCGCTCTTGATGAAACTTCAATCTCCGAAAATTCTGACACCCTGCTAACAATCGATTGGTGCGATGCTATACTGTACACTTCTTTATCTCTATCTGTTGAACTCTTCCTTGACATTGAAGTTTCTGAACGTATTGACTCGGTTTTACTCTGTAATACCTGAAAACATGTGCAATATCATTTTCCGAAAAGGTAGACGTCACCTTATTTGACATTCAAGTCAATGGTTTATGAACATTATTTCACGAGCATCCATCACGTTTTGACGTCTACTGAGGTGAACAGCAAGTGACATCGTTGTTTTAGTCTGCAACGTTGGCAATAATGAATCGGTAAGAAATCTAGTAAAACTTGCTTGTAGCAACTGGACTTTCCTAAATAATAGGGTTGTTAGCAAGTACCAAAAACCAAGACAAATTACGGCTCTGTCTACCTGGTGTGGACGGATCCGTTAGAATTGTGCATTTGTCGATATGGGGAATTTTGAAATATTACTAGATAATCTGCATTTATGGATTCTCGGAAAAATACCATATGCGGAGTATATCAAATTAGAGGTTAAGGTTAACGTTCGCGTATGCCGTATTTGTCATTGCAAAGATGTCCAACCCTTTGCTTCTTGCTTCTTTGATCTCAACAAACAATTTCCGTCGTCTCATACATGATGACAGATAACAGTAACATAAAAACAGATACAATTTTTCTTTAAAAAAAATCCTTAAACATGACTTCAACTTTTCACAGAATGGTGACCCTCAACCTGCCTCGTAATTATTTCCAAGATTTCGAGTGTTCAGAATTTTTCAACGACGGAAAAGGAACTTCCATATACGTTATAGTGGTAGCTAGCAGTCCGGGAGGTGCATCGTTGATACTACGAGCCCTAACACAAAACTGTTCAGACATCTAATTTTAGCTAAAAGTTTGTTAATTTTTTAAGGTTAAAAATTAATTGTTTTGACAATGAAATATATTGTTTTAAATAATATGATATTTAAAAATGAGATCAAAGTAATATTTATAACATTTTACTTGATAATAATTTTGTTAATATGATGACCAAACAATAATCAAATTCAAGCGAATTAGCGAATGAAAGTGGTATTTATCATTTTGGATTGGTATTTACCGATTCGTTCAAGCGAGTGTGGTTATCAATTTGGTTATAAGATCCGGGACGTCATGAATAAGCTGTTATATATGTCATAGTTATCACCGCAAAATTGTGGTATTTACCCAACCCAGGAGTAGTTTTATATTTCTGGTTATTATTTGAAATGTGACAAGTTAGAATTTTACCGGGTATTGTACATTTTTGAGGTACTTCAGCTTCATTTTTGGGAAACTTGATACAGGCTGTCTTCAGTTGTAGCATAAAGTAGAGCACCTTATTTATTAGTTATACTCGTTACTGTTGTTTGGGACACTTTAAATCTAGTTCCTATGCTTAACAAAGTATCCTGTGAAGAAATATACCACAAGAATATTAAAATCTAAACTCACTGGATAATGTCCACCTGTATACGGTTTTGCTATTGCTAAATGTTTTCTATGTCATGCGGAAAAGTTTAGAGAATTGAAAGTTATCATAGCTACAAAGCCATGGTTCCATCATTAAAAATTATTTTTTGAAAAAAAAAACATTTCTCCCATTAATGTTATGAAAGTTTTCTTTTTTAAACTTTCCATACACTGTTGTAGACGAAAAAGCACCGGTTACTAAGTGATAATAAAAATAATCAGAAATTATATAGGCGCCTTTTTAAAATAAACAACCTGCAACACAACCGCGGTCAAAAACCAAATCATTCAAGCGATTCGAGTAACTGAGGTCATGAACCCATGTGTCATCTTAAACCATATTATAACCGCGGTACACAACACAGAAATTTTGGTTATTCGCTTGGATTTGATTAATATATTTCAATGTCTGATTTTTGAGTGTGGGCTCGGTAGATAACTCAGTTAACACGCATTGTATCTAAAAAAAATGAATTACAATGATTATTGTATCTACCAGTATACTAGTTGGAAAATATTTTCATCGTACAGGAAGACGCCATCATGCACCTCATTTATGGGGAAAAAAGATAAAATGATGGTGCTGCAGCTAGGCTTTATAATAAGAAGTACCCAAATGCTGCTCGTCATCCCGATCATCGACGTCTTATGAATGTGCACCGCTTACTCACAGAGGGTCGATTCCCAAATCAAGCACAAGGTGAAGATATAATTTCCTTTCCTCACGAGGACGTCGCAATAAAAGCAGTCGAAGAAGACCCGAATACTTCAGAACCTCAATTAGAAGCAAGCCCGTTAGTGCTCAAAAGTACAGCACACCCAATCTTGCGAGCTCCACCAGTACCACGTACAGCGTGTACATTATCTTTCAAGAGTTGAGCTTTGCCAAACAATTTTACAGAGACACCGGGAAGTCAACATTAAGTTAATAAGATGGATCTACCCAACTTACACGAGTGGCATGTAGAAAATCCACATTTTATGAGTCAAGATGGATCACAGTATCATTTTAAAGTGAACCGGGAATCTAAATGGGAGAATCATTGTACCCTTTGAGCCGCCTGAGTTCTTGAATGGCTAAATTTATTTAGACTTTTTACAAAATCATTTACCAAATTTATTGGAAGAAGTGCCACTAAGCATTTTCAGACACATGTGGTACCAGCAAGACACGTAGAGAATATCTTTTGATGTGGAATACCCGAGCAGATGGATAGGGAACGGAAGATTATCCCGTCTGATAACCTGATCATTTTTAAAAGGATGTCAAGCTTGCATTGCTGCTGAAGGAAAGCAGTTTGAACATTTATTGTGAATTTAATCAATGCATTCACGGATTAATAAAAGTGGCGTTACAATCTGTCTTGCTGTCACTAAGTAGAATGACACCATCCGTCACTCTCAGAAAAAAATTGAAATTTGTAGTAATGGGAACTAAAAGATCATCACAAAGTGCAGATTTTTCCGATTTTTTTAAAGCCTATAATTTGAAAAGTACACGACTTGGATTTTTATATTTTTCTGATAACTATTACGACTTGGCCTATCCACCGTTTCCGGCTTCATGTACTCATATATACATAATATAATGTTATACCTTTATTGGACCTGACAACCGTCTTTCCCTTGAGGTATTTATTTTCATCTTAGACATCATATTAGTTGTTACCAGTTGCTGCCTTAGCTGACTAGATTGTTCTTTTAAAGCCGTTTTTCTTTTTGCTGAAGCTGCTTTTTGCATTTGTTTTAACCTACAATTAATAAGAGTTTTTTCCTGAACTTTTATCAATTCCTAAATTAAAATAAAAATACACTCACCTTTGCATCTCATTCTTTTCTTTCTGGAGATTCAATATTATTCCTCTCTGCTTCTTTTTAATGGTAGATGCTTCTTGAAGTTTTCCCGTTTCTTTTAGATGCCTGAAAAAATTCAATGCAATTTTTAGTTGCACAGCATACTGACATGATTATTCTTAGGATAGAACAGGTTAACGACAGCACTGTTTGAAAATAATTCCAATTACGCACTATTTTTACTGGACATAATAGAATTTTCAGGTTCACTGTTACTACATACGTACACGTTAAGGTTAACATATAATCAATTAACTTCTTATGACTTAAATGTTACATGTGTGGTATTTGTGATTGCCAAAACTGTAATTCCCATACGTATAGGTATATCACATTTTGAGTGAAAATGTTAAATATTATGTATATAATGTACAGAATCATAACTATAACACTCACTTCCTCTGAATCTCTAACCAGGCCAATTCTCCTTTAGTTCTGTCCAGTAGGGCTTTTTCACGAATTTTCAAAATCGTCTTCAAATTTTCAAGCCGTGTATCTTCGTCTTTTATCAGCTGTTCGAACTAAATTAAAACAAACCATTGGAATCACGAACTATAAACTTTATCAGAATTATGAATAATTTTCTGTTATCTACAAGGTTAATATTGTTTTTGGAATTCCTTTCGTGATACGTATCTGGTATCTAGTGAGCAAATAACAATAGCATGAATAGTATTTTATACAGGAGCGTTTATGTTCATAAACTGGTGAGCATAACTATAGCGCTACCGACAACTTTCGGCTTTCTTTCGTTTGGTTCAATTGTAACCTAATACAACTTATAATAGTCTACTCATTTTAGACGAAAATACTCCTGGTTTGCGAAATTACTGTTAAGTCTGGTTTTATTGGAGTAAGTTGTTCAAGGGGGTATTTTAAATATGGACGCATAAAATGGGTACACCAATTTTTGTGGGAAAACTTTTTATTCGACAAGAAATTGAAATATTGCAGTATCTGTTGATCTCCCATACAAGTGTATGAAATAAATTACAGTCATTCATAAATTCTACTAATCTTTTACTGATGCCTAACTCAAATAATTTTGAAAAACCCATTCAAATATTAATTGGCCTATAATTTTCTAATTGCTCTGGATAACCTTTTTTAAAAATCGGTAGGATAACAGCTATTTTCAAATTCTCTGGAAATGTTCCTTGTCTAAAAGCATCATTAATGAGTGTTGAGTTTTGTCAAACAATGTTACAGAAACACCGGGAAGATCCGCGATTTTTATATATCTCCATCTCCCTGATACATACACATGCAACCTACCCCTGTGTGTGAACGTTTGTTCAGTAAGTTCAAAGACATTGTGTGTCTGCGTCTCGAAAACTTTGTCGTTACGTATGAGTGCCCTTCAATCATGTAGTATTTGTCAAAGTGACAACTTACTTGATATCGGCGTGCAATTCGAGCTGTCCTGTGATCAATCTTCAACATAAAATTGTACCATACAAGGTAATACAGCTCGTGCTAAATTTATTAGAGTATTTTCAAGAAGAAAATAGAGTAGCAGATGCGCCGAAGATTAAGATCCACCCATGGTACCGAGACTCGATCTGTTTACTTATTTCATATGTCGTTGATGACGTAACCGCCAAGAACGGTGACTACAACTATAGCTGAATTTGTTAATAACGGAAGATTCGTCCGTCTGATAACCCGATCATTTTTAAGAAAATGTCAAGCGTGCATTGCTGCTGAAGGAAAGCAGTTTGAACCTTTATTGTGAAATTAATGTATATTATAATGAGTCGAAGTAAACTGAAGGTTCAAGTGGCCGCGTCCGGACCACAAACTGCAGGAGTAGGAGGGGTTTGCTACTAGTAGTGTTCAGTGTGCAGCTGCTAACAAATTGAAAATGGGATACTCACGAGATTCAGCGACATCTTCGTGAAATGATCATCTACGTTGTTTTTCAAATTGACCAACTCCACAGAGCTCCTTATAGTCGAAGATTTTTGGCTAATTTCCATATTTGACAGTTCAAGACCGGTCAAAACTAAACTGCTATCACTGCTTTCTAATGCAGAATTCACAGGAGCCTCACTTAGTGAACCCCTGGAGTAATTAACACTAGATATGACGCTATTCTCTTTGTTATACTGTTCAGAACTATCCAAAGACTTGGCAGAGGTATAAGTGTCCTTTGTTGCCGCCAGGTATTTCTTAGAGACACTGTCGTTTTTTAGTGTTTCAAAAGCCTGGAACAACTGATTGGTAAACACAAAATCTAAATATGTAATGCAGTGTTACCTTTTCAACTTCAGCTAATTGCCTAAGAGATTCATTGAAGTCATTGAGAAGATGAATTTCAGCCTCAAATTTCAGATGTATCTCGTTGGGATTCTACAAAATAATAATAAAGCTTGATGACATGTGAATGAAAATTTTTAATACCTACCTCATTTTGTTTGTTAGTCCTGATGCATATATTCTTTAGCACTCTAGATTTGTTACAGTCATGGTTATTTCTACTTTCATCATTAATGTTTAGAGAAGCAGTAGGTTTTTCAAGAGGCATTATTTTAGCAGCCCCACCAATATCCAAATTTGTTTCTGCACTTGTAGTCTTGATATTGGTTGATTCACATTTGGTCTGGTGTACTTGGGATATCTCTGTACTGACATATGAATCTGTGAGGAGAGCTTCAGGTTGTCCAATCCTTGAAACTAAATCATCGGACGCTATGTAGGAACCACTTCCACTTTTTGTGTTTACAAAATCATCTCGAGTAAGCAAATTTTGGGTAGTAGGCTCTTTGAGAGGCATTAATTTAGCAGCCCCATTTTTATTTAAATTTGGTTCTGCACTTGTAGTTTCAATACTTAATTCACTTTTGGTCTGGTTTGCTTGGGATATATCAATGCTGACATCTGATTCTCTTACTAGGGTTTTAGGTTGCTCAAATTTGAAAACCACATCATCAAAGACAGAAGAACCACTTCCTCTTTTGGCATTTACAAATCTATCTGGCCTTTGCAGGTTCTGTGCTGGGTCAACTTTCCTCAACTCTGAACTTTTGTGTCCCTTACTGCTTGTTTTACTTATCTGAGGTGAGGGCTTTTCACTAAGCTCATTATTATGTTTAGGTGTAGTTTTACTACTCTTAGAACCTCCTGCATGCTCTTTAAAGCTGCCCTTACTTAGACGAGGTGGAGATTCTTGACTAGGACTCCTATTACTACTATCACTAAATTGAGCTTTAGCTCCAGGTTTGATGCATGGAATGTTTTTGGAATGTATGGGTGTTTGACTTGAGTGAGGACCAGATGAGCCTGGAATTTTTTTGGAATGTGCTGGGGTTAACTGGGGATCAGTCTTTATACTACTTGATGATTTATTTACAGAGTGTCTGAATCCTTGGCCATCTGGACTCCCTGTAAAAAAATTGTGAATACTTAGTATCAAAAATGTGAGACTTTCTTAGATTGGAATCAATATGCCTTGGGATGTATTTTAAATAAATTAGCAAAGAAATACATACTACAAAATTGTGGGTAGGAGATCACAAAAAAGTGTACTTTGTGACTGTCAGCTGTTGCAATTAGCTATAACTATCACAGATAAGTTGCACTGGACCACTGTGGCGTTTACAAGTTCCAATTAGCCATAATTACCAGGTAGAAGATACAATTAGCTATAATTGTCAATTACAAGTAGCAATTATAACTACCAGTTCCAAGTTGCAATTAGCTATAATTATCAGTTACTTGTTTTAATTACTTTTAATAGCAGGCTTAAGATTCAATAATGCAAGTTGCAATTAGCTATAATTGTCAGTTACATTTAGCTATTATTGTCAGTTAAAAGTATCAATTAGTTATAATTATAATTAACTATAACTGACAATATAACTAATTGCAACTTCTGATTAATAATTATAGTACATTAACTGACAGTTATACTTGATTGCAGTTTGTAACTGATATAACTACAACCTGTAATTGACAAGTATAGTTAACTGCATGTAGCTGACAATTACAGCTAATTGTAGCTTACAACTGACAATTATACAATTTTGTTAATTTGTGCTTTTGGGTAATTCTACAAAAAATGGGTAACTCAATGTCATCAAGCAATAGATTATTAAATTTTGTTTATATTTAATTTTATTTTAAAACAACTTTTATTTGGTCGCCCAATTGCAGCGATTTATTTTGTATACAAGTTTTTGAAACAATACAAAAAATCCTCAAAACGTCAGTCCTTTGGCATGTCACAATCCCAAAATCGTACAATCAAGTGGCCCTCTATCAAACATCACCATCAATTTAAGAAAACTTGCGTTAGTTATGAAAAATTAAGAAATGTTGTGTTTAGTTCCATTCGTCAGTCTGTTGTGTGTTGTTCAAATATAAAATTATCGCCAAATATCACCGACTCGAGATTGCATCCCGGTTAAATTTTAACGTCGGTAGTGCAGAAAGCTGCAGACTGTGCCATTTGACAGCTGCCCATACTAAGCCAGTACTGTGGTGAGGAGGTGTTTCTTTACAAACAACAGTTATATTTTGATTCATATGTAGTTAACCACCACTTTTATTACTGCACTAAAACAAAAAGTCATAAAGAAAAAAGAAACAGTTCAAACAAAACTGTATCTGGAAATGTGATGTGGAGAATACAAAACAGAGCAGTGACTTACAAAAAGACTGGACATAAGCTTGCAAAAGAAAAAATAATTAAAGTGCAACATTTGGATTATTTGTCAATTTTGATACAACAATGCTAACAGTCATCAAGCAGCTGGAAAGAAAGAATGAATGTTTTATAATATATAATACCATGCAGCAAGTGTATATATATTTGCTGGATGGTATGAAAAATCTTTGTGAAAAGTTTTTGAATACTGTTCCATTTGTGACCAGATATTCCCTATATTTACTTATTGTTAATACTTAGTACTATAACTATGAGATGTGCAGTTATTAGATGAGAAGATACTTGTTCAAAGTTTTAATAGATTCCATATCTTTTCTATGAAATCTATCTACATCTATCTATATATCTCAAAATCTACTCATAAAATTGACTGGCCCTATATATTCATTAGATTATCTGTCTAAAATACCGGAATTTGTAGACATTTCACTTGAAAACTATAGTAAACAAAATATGTGTAAAAGTTATATCCAATTTTTGAATATTCAGTGTTTTATATCCCATGACAAAAACTAACATATGAGTTAGATCAGCAATATAAAGATTACCTAAACTAATGATAGACTTTTTCCTTTCTTCTAGCCTTTGATGGTCAAAAGAATAATCATCTTCATCTGTTATAATGATAGCAGGCAGGTCTGACTGAATATTGATGGCTCCTCCTTTTTTAAGTTGCATACTATCAATATTATATGTGTTGATGGAAAAATTAACATCAGAGAATACATTTTTTTTAACAGATTCTGTCTTTTTCTTTGGGATAGCACCACTCTCACTAGATATCTCAGGAATGTTTTTAGACGTATCTGACTCACTACCAGAAAGATTGGACACACTTGGAGCTACAGAGGGTTTTAGTTCAAGGTGTTCTACAGTTTTTGGATCTAAATTAAACTTTGTTGGTGATTCAGGCATTTCAAGTGGAAGAAGATCTGGTGGAGTTGAGGGTCGTTCAATTTTAAAATCTGGACACCTAGTACCAGGCCTAGCACCAAAAGTAAGCTTACTCCTGAAAGCATTGATCACATTATGTGGAGTAGCAGCAGCAGATGATTCTAGGAGCCATCTTGGAAATGGAGTGCAAGGGTCAATAGGTGTCTGTGTTTCTTTTGTTGAAGTTTCATAAACATTGAAATCAAATAATTCAATATTTTGCAGTATATTTATTTTTTTATTGTCTTTAGTTTTTATTGCATGTTGTTCTTTTACTGAACTTTGCTGCATTTCTTTTGAAGACTGTCCTGCTTCTATATTTTTTACTGATGACACCCTAGAAGCAGACTTACTCCTTAGAAAGTGATCTGTGTCTGGTCTAACATAATCAGCCCTATCTCTAGATTTGGGTCTTTTCTTAGCCCCTAAATTTTTTTGTACTAATTCTGTAGCCTTTTTATGAAGCTCTTGTAACTTTTTTTGCTTAATTTCTAATGAAACTTTTTTATCCTCAGCACTTAGCTTTCGTTCTTCTAGACGTTTCTGTTTTTGTTTCTTTATATATTCTCTAGCTTCTTCTACATTGTATGTTTTGCCTTTTTTTGATGTTTCTTTGGAATGATCTTGTGATATTTTCTTTTTTCCAGGCATTTGACTTGGTGCATTGTATACTTCATCAATCTGAACTTTTTGTACTGAAGGATCTTTCACTTCTATATTTCCCAATTCTTGTTGCTGCACTTTTGTTTTTCCCAAACCTGCATTAATCAATGCCTGAAGTTCGTCTCCAAGTTTTTCGGTCTCCTTTCTGTTTTTTAAAATACGCTTATTTATATCTTGCGTTTCCTCCATGATTTCGTTATTTTATGGGAAAGTTTAATTTTAGTTAGCTCCTTAAAACAACGGACATAAAACCACTAGAACCTACTGAGTGAAGAAGGTAGACAAAATATATAAACCACAACAAAAACTCTACTTTATTTGAAAAAATTAAACCCAAACCCAACAGACAACTTTTGACATTTGAAAAATTATAGTGACAAGTGACAGTTACTCCCTGTTCAAAGTATATGTTTTGTGCCTTTTTCACGATCCTCTTGCACCGGGTTGCGTAATTGGTCGATAAAGAGGAGAATTTTCAATAATAATGGCTTTCACGTGACTAACTATCTCTCTGATGATTGCCTATTTTGACTATTGTTTACTTTTCTCCGTCTACTTTTCTCCTCGACTTCTTGAGGTGTTTCCTCAAGTTCTTGTTCTGTCTTTCAATGGTTGATGTGTTGATGATCGACGAAGGAAATCCTCGAATTTGTTGATGTTGACAGAGGCAGTTTCTGAATCGTCGTTTTATTCCAGTTATATTTCATTTACAGTAAAATGTCCGCGTAATTAATACAGTTTAGCGTAAATAAAGGCTTCCCAATTATAGTAAGTATACGGGTCTGACACCGCCAGTACAGATGGGTGTCCTATTGTCTATTGTTAAAGGCGCGAAAAAAACCATTGGATTCTTCTGCAACATCAGCGTAGATATACACGATTTCTATCAATAGAACGTTTTTATTCAATCTTATAATCTCAATATAACGTACATCTGTAGTCAGCAAGTTTCTTCGCGTAATGCACCAATCATTTCTGTCACATAATAACGATTGGGGATCATTGGCTATTACTGGAAATAGAAAGGCCGCTGAGATTCACCCATGTTGCATAAAGAACCTACTCTATCAATTTAAACTCCAATTATCTTTTTCAGGACTTATGAACAATGTCGAAGAATGATGAAGTTGTTACTAGCATATTGGAATATTTTTCCACTCTGAAGATATTTATTAAAGAAATTGACAAACTAGAGACGCGTTTGACAAAATCCAAAGGGAATAAGAAGAGACAGAATGAGGATTTGGTTATTGAGGATATTGTAAATGTTGTCGATAAGATCCATGAACACAATACCAAAATTAAAGAAAAGCTGGATGTTCATCCTGTTGTCAAGAATAAGGTACGATTTTAAGAATCATCTGTTTTGCTAGGGCAACTATAATATTAGAAACTTTGGAAAATAATCTATGTAATAAAAAAAATCTATGTAAATAAAAAAATTACATACCACAAAAAAATAGTTATGCAGCTTAAGTTGCATTTTAATGCTCATGCAAGCTTATGAAAATTGGCTTGTTGCAGTCAATTGGTATTATAACATCTGAAACTTATCTTGTGGTTTTCATGTTGGTAATCTCCCATATTTTTCTGTCCAATCGAAACCACATGTGTTGAAAGAATCTTCTTTATTATCGAAGTCATTGAACTGAAGGTAGGATTACAATAAAGAATATTTTTTTCAACAAATGTTATTTTGATTAGTTAGAGAAATATGGGAGCAATATTTCTGTTGGTAACCACAAGGTAGTAAACTAGGTCCACTACTATTTATTTTATACATTCATGACATTTGTAATATTTTAGATTATTGTAAACTTCAGATATTTGCAGATGATACATTAATATACATATCAGATGAAAATATAGACACTGCTTTAAAAATGCTAAATTCTGACTTGGCAAAAATCATAAATTGGTTAAATGTAAATAAACTAAAATTGAATACTTCTAAAACAAAATGTATGCTAATAGGGCAATACCTACATGAAAATACTATCAGAGTTAGGATAAATAGAGAAATAATTGAAAATGTTGAATCAATTAAATATTTAGGTATATATATTGATAGTAAACTAAAGTTTGTGGATCACTATGAATACATTATTTCAAAAATTACCAAACTTTTATAGGGCTTTTCATAGTCTTGGTACCTATTCCAAGAAAATAGTTTATAATGCAATTATTCTACCGCATTTACTATATTGTTCAACTATCTTATTCACTGCCAATGAAGCTGTATTCTCAAAATTACATGTCTTGCAAAATAAAGCTATGAGAATAATATTGAATAAAAATAAGTACACCAAAATAGAATCTATGTTACAAGAATTGCAGTGGTTGAATATACAAAATTTCATATCATATTTGGTTGTTATTTTTATATTTGATATAAAAAATCCTCTTTTGCCAGAACATTTAGAACACTACATAGAATTGAATAACCATTACCACAATTATTATACAAGAGGAAATATAGATTTTCATTTACGAAATTGCAATAATAATATAACTAGGAAATCAATATTTCAGAAAGGATTACTTGAATTTAATAAACTAAATAATGATATAAAATCTACTTGTAATTTAAAGATACTGAAAAGAAAATTAAAGGAATATTCCATGGACAATGAAAATTAGAGATGCAATTTTTTTTTCTGAATGTGTATGTTATGTAATTGTTTAGTTTTTTAGAAGAATGTAATTGTAGCCATCATGCTAAATAAATCTTGAACAAACAAACTTTTGCAAGCCAAAAAGTAGGGGTTCTAAATATGTGTACCAGGGTTGAATGAATGAAACATGAGATTAGAGGCATACTGCCAACAAAAGGAGACAGCACATAGGACTCTTAGACAGGCCTTTATGCACCTCTACAGCCCTTAGACCTTAAGCCTCGCTATTCCAGCAAAGTTGAGTATGGCCTTGAGTCCAAGCTCCTTAATGCCCTAGAGGTCCAAAGTGATGGACCCTAGTGTAGACTGCCTATAGTATCTGAGAGCCTCACAGCAACACAGAACGTGCGCCAAGGTCTCTTCCTCTACCCCGCAGCGCTCATACAAGGAATCCTCAGCCACCCCGATCTCATGCAGGTGACACCTTAACGTGTAATGGCCAGACAACAGTCCCACCAACAACCTTAGGTTGGCTCTATCCAAAGATAAGCAGAAACGTCCATGCCTTGCAATCCACTTCTCCATTTTCCTCCTGACTCTTTGCCCAGGCATACTGTAACCGTCTCACATGGTTTTTTTCAAAATTCAAAATAGAGCGATTGACATAAAAACACTTCAAAGTTGCATAACATTTTTTTTTAAGATAGACGAAATATGCTCCTTAAACTGTAAAGTATAATCAATAATCAACCCCAAATTTTTTGTAGTATTTATGACAGTTAGATGCTCCTCATCGATTTTTATATCAAGAGAATTCAATAAAGTGTTACGTTTGACAGCAGGACAAAAAAGCATCACTGAGCACTTATCCTTATTGAGCTTGAATTAATGAATGAATGTTGAAATTAGAGGCATTCCGGCCACCATAAGGATCCAGTGCATAGGCCACCTCTACATTCCTTAGATGACAAGCCTCGCCCTTTTAGCGAAGTTGAGAATAGTTTTGAAAACACACTACAATTTAAACGAGACAGGATAGGAAATACTAATACACAATTTACGAACAACGTATGGGCCGACTAGGTGAAGAAATGATCCGTCGCGCTCAACCGCTAATGATAAAGGCGAACAAACTTTCTTATTTCGACAGGCACACGCACGATATGCCAACACGATTTTTCTATATCGCCGAGGAGGTTTTCTTACTATAAATCTAGATAATAAATATGTTTTGGCATATAGAGAAAAACAATGAAAATGAGTTATTTACAAGTTCATTATTGCCATATTTAAGAAAAAAATCAGTACAAATTGAAAAAAAATCACGATTTAATCGAAAAAAAAAAATCAGCCTTTTTGATTTCTTCAAAAAAATCGTGATTTTTTGCGCCACTGATGTGTACCAATATTGGCAGGCACAAATACTTCCGCAAGCTTGCAAGAGCATTAAAACTCGCATATAGATGAATAATTGTGGGTGAAATGATGTAGGTTTGCAACTGCTAGGTGTATGTTTCTCACTTAATATTTCAGCAGCTACCTTGTTCAGTTATATTGAAACCATATTTTGGCAATACATATTTGGAACATTTGCTTTTGATATGTTTTTAATTTTTTATTTTTACAAGAGAAGGACATTTGTAAGATATTCCAAATGTATATGCTCAACATCTTAACTGCTTGATGTTGCACCAGGATTAATTCAGATGTAATGGTTTGTTTTGCAGAAATTAGGAAACTCGTTCACAGTGTATTCTGATTATTGCTGCTTTTTGTTTTTTGAGTGTTCGTAAGAAAGATAAAAGTTTCAGTAGAATCTGTAATTCTTTGACTTAACAAGTGGTGTGTTTTGCATTCAGACTGAATAGTCACCTGGCTGAGTAATTTAAACCTCTGCAAAATTGGGTACTTGATAAAATTCCCAGTAGCTGTACAAACCAAATACTCAGTGCATCCCTAAAGATGTTTCTGGGAATTGATTAAATAGGCTTTCTATTGCTAGTATATTTATTGTAACAAAGGGTTTTTATTAATGTTTTTAGATTTTGGTTAAAATCAGTTTTTAATCAAATTATATAACAGCTTGTGCATTGTCCAGTGCAAGAAAAAACCTGATAATTGATGAGATAGCTATTCTAGTTTGACTCTGTGTTATAGCTCTGACTAACCTATCCTCCAAGAAGATGCCTAACCCTATACTGTATTTGGATGTTCACAATTTCTATTGTCACAGACATGATTTCAAGCATGATCACAATAATTGCCTTAGTACTAATAAAAACAGACTCCATTTAACTAAAGAAAATTGTTTATTCACAAACCTTTCAAGAAAATGCCATTCCTCTACCCTCCCATTATTACTTCCAAAATTTTGTATTCTCAGAATTGCTCAACAATGGGAAATGAAATCTTACTAACCCTTTTATAACTGGGGAGATGTGAACCAAACACCATTTACTTCATAACTTATTTCTGTCTAACTGGCTGACAAAAAACATACAAACATAAATACCGGTTCATTTCTGAACTTTACAAACTCCCAGTGACATTTCAAAGGTGGCAAACCTAAACATGGTTGACAATGCATAAACAGTTGCAAGTGCTATGGTACATATGCTTATTTTCGCTTGGACACAGCTTTTAATTGGATTGGGTATCTTCTGGTGAATATGTTAACTAGTGCAGTCAAATTCTACTCGACCCTTACAGGGTGTTTACATGCCTGAGAAATTTAATAGATTTTGTTGGATTTTGGTATTTATTTCAGTATTAAATTTATATGTTTCAGAAGAAAAAGAAAATTAAGGATTCTACTAAAAATACAGTGGATGATATATGTGAAAAAGAGACCACCGAGGATCAGATAGATGAACATGAGCAAACCGATGAAAAAGAAATTGATAATGCAACTAATGATGATAATAGTTCAGAAAAATCAGACCCACTTGAAACTACTGAAAATGGAAATAAAACCAAAAGCAATGAGGCACCAACTGTAGGAGAGAAGACTGTGTCTGATGATGAAAAAAGGAAAGATCTAGCTGGACAGGAAAAGTTACATAATGGGACAAGAAAGAGTGAGGGACATAGTAATGAAAGTAAAAAAAAATCTGACAATGAGACCTCTACCAAAAATGATGAACAGAGCAAAAATATGGATGTTGATGAGAATAATGACAGTGGTAGTGATAGTGATCCTCTTAGAAAATCAAAGGCTCCTGTCCCTGGTGACAGTGACAAGAATGAAGATCCAAAAGCAGAAGAATCCACTAGTTCTCCAAAGAAAGAACCTGAAGATATCAAACCACAAATACGTTTGGTTGATTTAAACAAATTATTGGACCCTAAACCAAAAAAATCTGTGAAATTTGACAGTTCTTTGATAATAATCAGTTCTGATGAAGAACACTCACCAAAACGACAGAGTAAAGATAGCAATGGAAAGTTGAAATCTGCTCTAAAAAATTCACCCACAAATATAAACTTGAAAGCAGAATGCAACATCAGTGAAAAAATTGAAGAAGGGCTTAAAAACAAAAAAAAGGGGGGTCTCAAGGATGATCTAAAAGTAGTAATTTCTAGCAGTGATAGTGATGATAAAGCTGCATGTGATGATAGTGAAAATGGAAACAGAATAAGATCTTCCAGAAGAATACAAAAAAATAAATCTAAGGTAGAAAAAAGGCAAGAAAAGCTGAAAACAATTTTCAAGCGTAAAGGTACCAAAGACGGCAATACTTCCTTTGAAATTGTTGACAGTTCAAAGAAAATCAAGCTGAAAGAATTAATGCTGAAATTGTCTTCAGAAAGTTCAAACTCTGAAGCTGATTCAGAAGAAGATACCGAAGAGAAGACATCAAGAAGAAATAGAAGAAAAGGAAAGCAATCTTCAAATACAAAAGCAGAAAATAAAAATCGCAGAAAATTGTATGTTCCATTGCCTAAAATTGAATGTGAAAAACTGAAAGAGATTTATTTGAGAAACAAAGAAATATTAGAAATCAAAAGGTTTGTTATAGTGGTGCCTAAATTATAATAATAATAATGATCACACTATGTATTAAGATCAAAAATTAAGAAAAAGAACTTTGATTTTCTTGAAAACATCTTTCCATTTAACTTTCTGTGTTCATCTCATTTAAGTCTTTAAGCTCTTGCATGACTAACAAATAGATGTAGAATCAATTTTTTTATTTTCCAACCTACTAAATATCTTGCCTAGATATTTAAATGATGAGTTTATTAACAATTCAATTTAAATAGTAGTATATTAGAATTTATTTTACCTAACACTATATACATTGAAAACTAAATTTGTCTCGCGGCTTGATATCGATGTGTACGAGAGAGAAGTCTGTATAGACACATTATAGAAAGAGATAGAAGCCTGCTGGATAGCAAAACTCATCGACTGGTTGGCGTTTGTTAGCAACGCCGACACGTCAATCTGTCGCATCGCCAATATGCTTCACCAGTTCCTTGAATTAAGATGCATATTAAAAAAATGCTTAGTTTTTTCTTTACGCTCAAGTAATGGTTTTATTTTTGAGCACACAACATTTTTGAATTTTGTCGAATCTGTGCTGTTCTCCATTTTAAGTCGAAATAAAAGGTCAGATCGCCATAAAGTCTACAATATTGCATCATTGTTTCGTTTGACAACACCGCATTTTGTACATTCGAAGGCAAGGTGTCCACCTCCATAGTTGAGCGATTTTGGTCAGTACCCATCTAGCGCCCGTAGGGTTGTGTCTTCCTGGTTTGAAATGGCTTTCATCTGCGTGCACGCAGGCAGTGCTAATTTGTATTGCGTAACATTTTTTGTTACCTTTTTGCGACCACGTTGTCGCATAATGTAACAATAACTCAGGATGTGTTGATTTTATCACCCTCGGTGGAAATCAAAGATAATTCTAAAATGAATTGAAGCACTAAGTCGCATCAAAATTGCAATAGATAATTCTAATCAGAATGAAAACAAAATATTAAATTAAATGTTCGAACAGACCTCCATCTTGAGTTTGACAATAATCTAACCCCTTGTAGAAGCCTGTGCGAACATTTTCTGGTGTAACATGTTGGCAACGTGGCAGATTTCACTACCTTCTGCATCACGGTTGCTAGGCAATGTGGTGACCTTCGTTGACCAGCCGGCTTCTATCTCTTTCTAACACACTTATCGCGCTTCTCTCTCCTACACATTAAACTGAAGCCGTCAGACAAATTTGTTTTTCCGTCCTTTGGCAAAAAAATGTTTTTATACATGTTACATTACCCATTGGATATACAGTAGCGAACAAAAGTTTGAAAATATTCTTAGTGCTTTTTAGAAAGTGTGCTAATTTTGTATACTTTATTATTAAGGACTTTTTTTTTCATATGTTTTGCTTACAATCTTGAGGTTACAAATGACAATTTGTTTTTGCTGTAGTACTACAGACTAGCATCAAAATACCTTCATATTATTTTATGACCGAAAATGAGACGACAAAAGTCTGGAAACTTATTTGTTATCACAAAATTAAATACAATAAAAAGATTTGAAAAATAATGTTCAGCTAATATTTGGTAGCTTAGCCTATAGCATTTAACACTGCCTGACATCTGCTGCTCATAGAAGACAACAATTTTTTCTATAGGGTTTAAGTTCGGGAATTGCGAAGGCCATGTAAGAACATTATACATATTTCTTAGTCTTAACCAGTCCTTTAAGAACTTTTTGGTATTGCATGGGGTCATTATCTTGCTGGAATGTCCATCGTAAAGGCATTTCTTCTTCAACAACAGCATGGGTTTACTAAGAATATCTTTGTAAAGTTTTAGATCCATTTGCCGCACAATTGTAACAATTGGACCCGTTCCAGAACTATACAAATAGCCAAACAGCCTCCACTGTGCTTAACTGTTGGCAACTGATACTTTTTCTCGAACCTTTTTCTTATTGGACTCTCATATGCCGTACCGGCAGATCCAAACATGTTGAATTTGCTTTCATCGCTCTATAAAACTGTATTATTATTAGTTTTAGCAAACTCAAGCCTACGAAAAAGCCCAAAATCTACCAAGCGTCTCTGCATTCTTCTGACAGAACGATTCTCGGGACCCTCTTCTGCGATTCTTGTGAAAATCTGTGTGGCTGGCATTCGAGTATCTTCATGAGACAAACGTTTAATGTAGCGATCCAAAACATGATCGGTTTTTTTCGGTCTTCCGTACCTGGGCCGCGTTGCCGTTGATCCATATTCTTGACATTTACTAATAATTTTCGAAATCGTCCGTTTTCAAATCTTCAATCTTTGAAAAATGTTAACGTTTCTGACACTTCTGAATAATTCAATTACTTTGTCTTTTACATTTTTTGAAAATTCTTTTACTTTTGCCATTCTCACTGATGTTAATATTTACCGCACGCAATATCAGAGCATCGCAGAACGAATAAATACGGCAAAACTGAAATGTTTCCATACGTTTTTCGTTACAAAAACTGGTATTTAAAAAAATGAGTGTCTTTATTTTCTGATAATTCGAATATTGATCAGATAAACCTTGTACTAGTGCGGGAGCCAAAGGTAGACTTTAATATTTATATTATTTGTTCCTTCTCAATTTTAAGTTAGGTATATGACGTAGTTCATGATAATGTTAATATTTGTTTCCAAACTTTTGTCCGCTACTGTATGTATTTCACAAATAATGCAAAGGGGTATCCAATAAATGCAGTATTAACATGTAACAGTTTGTGTATCTTGAATCCTGTCAAGGGGCATACTGCCATATTAGTCGAATTACAAAGGGAAGGCCCCGTCCTTCTAAGCAGGGGTGATCGTGTTACCCCTAAATATCGCTTCAACCGCAAGTTTATTGTGGAGTATCCAACGAGGGAGGAGTGGATACACCACCATATTCCAGGCGGAAATCTTTGCGATTCTGGCTTGTGTATCTCACATTCTGGAGGAGGGTGGGCCTAGGAGAAGAATAACAATCTTATCCGACAGCCAGGCTGCAATGAAAGCACTAAGTGCCTGTAAGATTACTTCGAGTCTTGTATTGCAATGCAGGGAGGCTCTGGATTGCCTCGCAGCGAGGCATCCGGTATCGTTAATATGGGTACCGGGGCACGCTGGGATAAGGGGCAATGAGACGGCGGACACTCTGGCGAAGACAGGATCAGCCAGCAAGCTCGTTGGTCCTGAGCCAGCTCTAGGAGTGACCGCGCATAAAGCTAGGAGGAAAATGGAGACGTGGGTTGCAAGACAACACTCTCAGAAATGGAGAAGTATCTCCAGGCATCTCCGCCAGGCACGAGAACTCATTGAAGGGCCCAGTGCTAAGGATGGACGCTTCTACCTATCTCTGGATAGAGCCAACCTAAGGTTGCTGGTGGGACTGTTGTCTGGCCATAACACGTTAAGGCGTCACCGGCACGTGATGGGGGTGGTTGAGGATCCCTTGTGTGAACGCTGCGGAGTAGAGGAAGAGACCTCGGCGCACGTTTTGTGTCGCTGTGAAGCTCTGAGCTACTATAGGCAGACTATACTGGGGTCCATTACTTTGGACCCTCAGGACGTCAAGGAGCTTGGACTCAAGGCGATTCTCAACTTCGCTAAAAGGGCTAGGCTTGTGATCTAAGGATTGTAGAGGTGCCTAAGGGCCCGCTTAAGCGGCCTATGCACTGGCGCCTTGTGGTGGCCGGAATGCCTCTAATTTCAAGATTCATTCATTCATTCATTGTGTATAAGTTATCAACAGCACTGTTTTTTATAATTTGCATGTGTATTGAATTTGACATCATTTAAATATCTATTACGACTTCGCACAGTGGATTGCAGGCTTTTCGCCAGAGAACATGGGCTCATTTCTCGAAAATAAGAGAGGAAAATAACCAATGAAAGTGTAATACTACCCCTTTTGGCATCTGCTTTTACGTGTATTAATTTAAATTTTCCATCAGAAAGTTAACCTAATCTTCATAGATAGACTTGAGAACGACGGTAACTACTTCCTTTTAAGGAAAAACCCGGGGTCTGGGTTTTCTATCAATGTTAAAAAATACAGTTTACCAAAAGCTAGTGGAGTCTCACACCCACTTTCTATTATTTTCAAGAATTGATCCCCTGCGCTCGAATGCTCTTCCTAACCAATTCACGTTATCTCCTACGAGTCTGTATATAACGTTTAGTAACTTTATCATAAGAAGTTACGGATCACTGGCAATAATTGATTGATGCCTTTTAAGTCAACATGCTTTAAACCATCAAAATTCCACCGGATCTACACGACTGAGTCATTGATTTGATCCTGTTGGGCCGGTGACTATGTTAAGCCGCGGCGAACAGTTGAACGATATTCTATAAATAATTTTTCGATTCCAGACTAACATCTCTGAGTATGCTCAAGAAGAAAAGACGACCATCATTGACCGAATCAGAAAATTCAGATAGCAATGGGGATTCTGGGAAACCAACAACAAAAAAATCAAAAATCGCCTCAAACGCAGGAAAGAAAAAAAAGGAATGTTTAGATGAAAAACATAGCTCAGATGATGATGATGATACTCTTGCTGAGACTTTTACCAAGTCATTGGAAAAACCACAAGAATCTGAAATAGATGTTGAAAAGGCTGGCGATGAGGTTTTAGCAGAAATTGCAATGGTATGTCTTGATTTTCTACACAGTCATATATGAAAATTATTAGAATCTCTTTTTATCTGATTGAAGAATAATTATTTTTAGGAAACGTTGGAAAAGACTGAGGAAGGTGAACAAGACGAATCTAAGAACAGCAGCGATTCAGATGCTCCTTTGACAAATAAAGATAAAAAAGGAAAAAAGGCCAATGAGAAAACAAGTAAACAGAAGGACGATAAAGAAAAGGATGTAGAAAAAGAAGATACCAAAGAAAAGAAAAAAGGAAAAAACGAGGAAGATCCAGAAGCTGACAGTGGCGATGAAACAGGTGATAAATTGGACAAAGTTGCAGATAAAGAAGAAGAACATGATGTAGATAGTAAAGCAAATGATAAGGATAAGAAGAAGAAAGATGATACAAAAGCATCAGATGATGAGCAAGAAGCCACCACAGAGCAGATTATTGATGAAAGCTTGTTAGATGAACATAATGACCAGTCAAGTTTGAATAAGGGGGAAGAAAGCTTAGAAAAAAATGAAGATGAAACTTCCAAAGATGACAACGGAAAAAATGATGCAAGTAGTGAAGAAAATGAAAAAGAAAGTGCTAATAACAAGAGTAAGGAGGATGAAGAAAGTGATGATGATGACAGTGGTACAAAGAAGAAAACAAAAAGTGGTGAAAAGAAAAAGAAGGTGGCTGAGAGTGAAGATGAAAGTGATAATGATACTGAGAACAAAGGAAAGGAAAATGATGAGGAGAACGAAAGTGATGATGAGAAGGAAAATAAGAAAAAGAAAAGTGATTCGGTGAGTAACGTTGATTCCATTACTTAAAATTAAATATTATATTTCTATCAAACCTACATTACCCAATGAGATTGAATATTACAGGATGAAGAAGATAGTGACGAGGCAAAGAAGAAAGAGAAGAAAAAATGGAGAAACGATAAATTATTGAGAGAAAAAATTGACAGTACGGATTCAGAAGAAGAAACAAAAAAGTTTACCAATAAGAAAAAAAAGAAAGAAAAGAACAACTCCGACAGGTATTAAGACAATTTGCAGCTCACTGTCAGAGAAACATGTTTTTAGACTTATTATTACTACGACTTGTTTGTTTTGAATAAAGTGAAGATCGGAATTAATTTTCCAAATTCGTTCTTTTAAGATTTGACTGCAACTTTATTTCTATTTTCCAGTGATGACGACGAGCCTGTTGTTAAGAAAACAACAAAAGGGTAAGGATGCCATAATATCTAAAAGATGAAATACAACCATTATTTTTTAGTAAGTCAAAACGCAAAGTTAAGAAACCTGTCCTATCAGACTCTGATGAGTCTGGCAAAGAAAAAAAAGATAAAGATAGTACTGATGATGAGAGTGAAGAAAAATCTGATTCCAGTAACGATGAGGATGATAAAAAGAAAGAAGAAGAGGAAGAGTCCAAAAAGTAAGTTTATTGTAGTTTTTTCATTCACTAGGTTTCCCATAACTTATATAGTTTCAGCATTAATCGTTATCCTCATTTGTTGTTACTAGTATACCGATATTTACAGAAAACCAAACAAAAGACGGATCAAGCAAGTTAAAGATAGCAGTAGTGATGAAGACGAAGATAAATCAACGAGAAAACATATAAGAAAGGTAATATGATGAAGTGAACTAAACGACAGACAATGCAACACCGACTAGGAGGGCTGTAATTTTGAGCACGCTTTACGAAGTTTTAGGTCTACTGATAATTGGAAAGTGATTGAAATTTTAATGCGTTGAAACTCCGCTGATTAGGTGACTGATGTCTTCTTGGTGTATTGTATATATATAAGCCGTCTGAATTTGGTTTCTTAGAGCTTCCAATGTTTCTGGAGGGTGCGGTGAATTTTGCAACCTTCTTACCATCATGTCCCATACATGTTCGATGGGGGAAAGGTCTGGAGATCGAGGAGGCCGCTGAATCAGATTTACTCTGGACGCTTCTAAACAGTCTAAACCAGGCCTCTGCAACTCAGGTGCCACCAGTGCAGCGCCGAGCACCGCTCGCATCACAGTGCTGCGAGGTGACTCCGTGAAGGTGGGGGAGGGATGAGGCAGCGGCATACGCATCGCGAGGAAGGTGTGCTAAACGTAGCACCCTGCGAATAGAAATGACCCGGGAGCTGGTGGCATTGAGTATACCTTCATCGCGGATTCGACTAAATTTAGTAATAATATGTAGTTTTTAAGTAAATGAACAAGAAGAGCTCCATCCTGCCAGACGTACCTGTCATACCGACTTAAAGATACAACGTGACAAGAGAATTTCACCGTCCTCACCGAATCCAATGAAGCCTACAAGGTTTGATGGAAATTTTAGGCTCATTTGGAAAAACATGGTATGACAAACTGATTTCCGCCAGAAGTTTCTGTCGTACCGACTGAAAGCTATAGCAGGCAGTGCAAATAGAGTATATGTAAAATGCTTATGAAACGTCATGACCGTCGATATACGTATAGGTTATGGTAAAATGCTACCGTCACGTTGTATCTTCAAGTCGATATGACAGGTACTTTCATCGGCATACCAAGTCCTTTTTGTTAATTTACTTAAAAACTACATATTACTAAGTTTAGTCGAATCCGCGATAAGATTTAATTTCGCCGGCTCAAAGCCCCAATGGAAAATGAGTGTAGTGACATTCGTATTGGCATTTGAATTGGTCTGATCAAGTCAACGCGCGGGTGATAAAATAATGTTCATAATTTCGACGTAAATACATTTATTCTTAAGAAGATCTTCGACAGTTTTTAGTTTTGTTCAAATTCATTAAAGAAAACATCTGCTCGCAGAAGTATATTGTACCGAACATGGAGCAAGTTTCCAAGGCCAGTGCAAGAATTTTGGGAAAATCTTGCTGCTTAACACCTTGATAAAACGAAATTAAAATACTATTGTAGTGGTAGTATCTATCCTTAGGGATCGTTTCGCATTGAAGCTTAATTAGATCTATTTGGAACTGCGACGGTTCTGTTTCGAAAAACACTGAAGATTGCGTCGTAAAAATCACATTTGCATAAACATCTCAACGTCGTCAATGATTTCAAAAAAAAATCTTTTATCACTTTTGCGCAGCTTAACCAGCGCATAACACAATAAACGAGTATGTCACCGTAAGTTGCTTCCAGGTCTTTTAAAACTGCTTCAAACTGCCGTGGTTGAGACCTTGCTTTCTGCAGAAATTGACACGTTATTACTAAATCCATAATAGATTTGAAATTACGGAAGGTTTTTGCACATAGTTGTCCCTGATGTAATATGCAGTGTACCGATGATATCGGAGGTGGCCCAGCGTCGCGTACTTTTATTTTCATTCGCCCAGTAAAACCTTGTGCTTCCGATAACATTGCTGGCGCTCCATCAGTAACAACACTATGCAAATTTTTGAGTAGTATACCCATGTCATTCATTGTGTATTCCACAGCATCAAAAATATCTTCTACGGCCATTGTATCTTTGAGCGGGATAACGTCTAGTAGTTCGTCGGTGATAGTAAAGACTATTTCGACACCTCTAACGAAAACAGCTAATTATGCTGTGTCAGAAATGTCTTTGCTTTCATCAAGAGCTATGGAATACTGCACAAAATGGGCACATTGTCCCGCAGTTGTTCTTTTAAATCTGCACCAAGTTCAAGTATCCGACGAGAAATTGTTTGCTGGGACATACTAATTGTCTCAAAGTTGCTTACAGGAGATGGGCACAATATTTCTGCATACTCCACTAAGCATTCAAGTCTACCGTCAGTAAACGGTCTTCCACTTTTTGCGATTTTCAAAGCAACAATATAAGTTGCATTACGACACCATTAATACTAATCAACTACGACCAAATTAATAATTACCTCTTCAGAACTTAGAAGGGCTGGTCTCAATACCGTGTGACAAATTAAACATTTTGCTTTTCCATCAGTATTTACAAAAAATAGGCTTCTATTAAGAAATGGCCCGCGCCCGAGAGACAGTTGGCTAATATGTTTCTCTCTGACGTTCCGACAGCATCAAACCACTGGTTCGCAACTGCCCTTGTTGTGGAAAATCGATCTCTTAGTGCTAGTCGCCTAAAATAACGATCCTGTCGCTGTAGTCTATCTTCCAGTACCTCTAACTCGTCGATTTCAGCCTTCTTGGAACCTACGCTCGGCAACATTTCGTTACAGTAGCTTCGTTTAGATTCACCCGATTAGCGATTTCTCTAAAAGAAACCGGCTTCACATATCCCGATTATTCGACCCCCCTCAAACTCGGAAAGTTGAGTGAAATTATCGCGTCTGCGAACTCTAGGCATGATAATGCAATGAAACAGTTGGAACCAACACAGAAAAATCACTGAATATCAAGTTAATATGTTCATATTGTTCGGATCCTTGTATGACAAAAAAAGCCGTTACAAAAAAGTACGGCTCGGAATTTTATCAGCATATACTTTCATGATAGCAAATATGTTTTTATCAAAATCAATAAACAATTCTGGGTGTTGCATTTGATATGCCTCTTAGTATGGGTGTTTCAGTTTATTGTTGCATAACTTTAAGATTCGATAGAACTTTTAAAATTAATGCATAAACTCTATATAAACATGGGTCGTAAAATGCGTGGCTTCCGAAATACAGGGTGTTTAAATTTACTTTCTAAAATACATAGTTTTTTTTTAAATATTTCGAACAATATTTGATGTATAACAGTGAAAATTGGTATACGGTCTTTTGGTACGAAAAAACGAACCATGGGCATAGTTTTACTGTAGTCGCTAGAGGGCGCTCTCTACTGTACCTGTAGTGTATTAAAATGACCGAAATTTTTTTCTTAGTGCAATTTTTTGCTTTTTGAATAAAAAAACTGATTCTTCGCACTTTTCAACATAAAAAAGCTCTCCTGTGAGTTTTCGTTATAGTTAGCCGTTTTTGAGATATTTCGATTTTTAAGGTTCGATGCATTTTTAATTATTTATGATAAAATAACGTTAAAAAGTCAGTATCTCGATAATTTTTAGAAGTACGCTGTGCCTGTAAATATTTTTGAAATTGAAAGCAGAATAAGGTTAAACGTCAATTAGTTGACAGTTAGTTTTGTTGTCTGTTGAAACCTGAAACGCTTTTTTGCAATTGTGACTGCACAAATTGTGACCGATGAGTCATGCTTCACTAGACGTGGAGTGGTAAATTTTCATAATCAACATATTTGGTCGCATGAAAATCCGCATGCAGTTCGGGAAAGAAATTTTCAGCATGCTTTTAGTGTGAACGTGTGGATTGGTATCTACCGTAATCGACTATTTGGACCCTACCTTTTGCCTGCAAGGTTAAATGCTGCGACCTTCTTGGAATTTTTAAAGGCTGAACATGCAAATATGTGGGATGATGTTATGTTAGATTTAAGAAGATTGACCTGGTTCCAGCTTGATGGTTGTCCAGCTCATTATTCGAGAATAGTTAGAAACTGGCTGGACGAAAATTCTCCAGAAAGATGGATCGGTCGCCTGGCCTCCACGATCCCCTGACCTAAATCCATTAGATTTCTTTGTGTGGGGATTTCTAAAATAAAAAGTGTACCAGACTTCCGTAACCACAAGAGATATGCTAATAGACAGAATCAGGAATGCATGTGATGAAATAAGGCCTTATTTGAATAATGCTATACCACGTTCGATCATTCGTAGATGTGAATTGTGTATTGAACAATTGGGTTTACATTTCGAGCAACTACTTTAGATTTTGTATGTTTTTCCTAACTGTCCAATAGCACTTTAGTTGTAAATAATTAATTTAATTTGTTAAAAGTAATATTGGAAAATTAAACAAATTAATATTCTGTTTTTTGTGTTTATTTGGAGTTAGGAATTATTGCTGTGTTTAAAAACACAATCTAAACGATCATCTTAATTACTTGTAATGCCCAAATCGAAAATGTAAAAAAAATATTATTTTCCCACAAATAATTAAAAATGCATCGAACCTTAAAAATCAAAATATCTCAAAACCGCTAACTATAACGAAAACTCACAGGAGAGCTTTTTTATGTTGAAAAATGCGAAGAATCAGTTTTTTTATTCAAAAATCAAAAAATTGCACTAAGAAAAAATTTTCGGTCATTTTAATACACTGCAGGTACAGTAGAGAGCGCCCTCTAGCGACTACAGTAAAACTATGCCCATGGTTCGTTTTGTCGTACCAAAAAACCCTTGTATACCGATTTTCACTGTTTTACATCAAATATTGTTCGAAATATTTAAAAAAAAACTATTTTAGAAAGTAAATTTAAACACCCTGCATTTCGGAAGCCACTCATTTTTCGACCCATGTTTATATAGACTTTATGCATTAATTTTAAAAGTTCTATCGAATCTTAAAGTTATGCAACAATAAACTGAAACACCCTGTATAATTGGCATTATTGATTACTGTAATTTCAGGTAATCGATCGTTCGTCCCTGCAAGAAAGTACGATAAAAGCTGAAGCGGAAGAAAAGAAAAGGAAAGCTCGTATCGCCGAGAAACAAAAGAAAGTAAGTACTTGTTTCACACGCTTGCACGCCTAGGCTCATCACTTGAATCTTGAACTGAATCTAAGGTTTTTTTGACATTCGATACTGGTTTCAGTACAACGCTATCCTCGAAGACGTTCAAAACTCGAAAATAGAACAACTGCTACTTGAGTATGATGAAAAAAATAAGAAAGATCTGCTACCAGTTCATAAACATTTCATATCGAAACTAAAACCTCATCAGGCGAATGGTGTGAGGTTTATGTGGGATGCCTGCTTCGAATCTCTTGACAGGTGCGACAAGGAAGGATCTGGGTGTATATTGGCTCATTGTATGGGCTTAGGAAAAACACTACAGGTACTTTAGAATATCTTTGCTTGTAACCATTGATTGACATATTTCACCAGACGGTACTCAACCCATTAGAAAGCTATGCTTCTTGAATAAGAAGTTTCAAACAAAAGTCGGAGGGCTTCGAGGAGGCAAAATGATAGTGACCTTGATTACGATCTTTGAGGTCCGTTCAAGATCAAGTTAATATGTTCAAAGGAAACTTCCAAATGTTCATATCGGAATTAAAAAGAGAAGCAAATTTTACGTCCATGAGCGTCCGAAGGGACTTTTCTCATGTGGGGCCAATCATGGGCAATAGCATTTTTTTTAATGAGCTGGCGGACCGGCAATCCTGAGATTCTCAAAATTTTACACACATACACGATGCTAAATATCCAAATTTTAAGATGCAACCGGTTTGCTCTGGCAAAAATGTTTGACAGCACAGTTCTGAGATTTATGACGTTCACGGTCAAGTCAAAATTTTCAAAGGAACCCTCTTATTTTTATGTCACAAACCCAGTGCTGCACGGCATATGCGACCGATAGGCGATTGGTGTACTGAAAATGTTTTTCTAAATTTCATTGGCAAATGTACTGATTTACTAAAATCCAAAAATTGCGATACAACCGCCCACCTCTAACAAAATTTTCAAAAATGATCGAAATCCTCTGATACCGTAAAAAGAAAGAAGAAAGAGGAAGTTTGAGCGATTTTTATTTTTTTGTTTTTCGCTAGTAGAACTGCCGCCACTGAACCAATTGTCAAACTCTACAAAGCTTTTTCGCCTATGGCATAGTAGTAACCTTGTGTGAAAGTCTCCTCAAATACCGAGTGGTACTTTCCAAGTGGTCCAAAAATTAGCTGATAGACGGTAATAAGTGACATCGCTTTTAACATCCAAAAAACATATCTCATTTTCGACATTTCTCGGGATTACAATACTTCCTCTGGGAATATAAACAATTTTCGGCTTTAAACGGAAAATGGAGTGTTTTTTATTGCTAATGAACTACTGCGAACGTCCAAATACAGCATAGATGATTGATTTAAGACGGTGATAGACAAAATGCTGTGGAAATATTTCGTTTGCAGCATTATTTACAAACAAAACCGTTTTTTAGGTAATAACATTATCCCACACACTGTTGACACACAGTAAGAAAACAGGTGTGAGCAGAGTGATGGTAGTATGTCCGATCAACACAGTACTGAACTGGAAGGCAGAATTTAAACAGTGGGTGCCAAAAAACACTCCTTTTGAGGTGTATGAGCTGACCAGCTGCAGGTTGAACTCTGAGCGACAGTACTATATCAAAGAATGGTTCGACGAAGGTGGAGTACTAATAATAGGTTACACTATGTTCAGAATGTTGAGTAATCCTGATAATAAGAAGATTAGTAAAAAGATCAGAGCCGTTTTTCAAGAAGGATTAGTCAATCCAGGTAAGTTTACTTATAGTTTTTTTTATTCAAGTATGATTTGAATCCAAGCCTCTTAAATTCATTGATTTTCAGGACCTGATTTGGTAGTGTGTGATGAAGGTCATCTACTGAAAAACGAAAAAACCAATCTCAGTATTGCCATGAACAGAATTAGAACAAAAAGAAGAATCGTATTGACAGGCACACCATTACAAAATAATCTTAAGGAATATTGGTGCATGGTACAATTTATCAAGCCCAACCTTTTAGGAACATACAAGGAGTATCTCAATAGGTGAGATTGCGACATTCAATAGTCTAAAATTAAATTTTGCTTCCGTCGTCGATCCAACCGCATACTACATCGTTTTATCCTCAATGGGAATCATCAGTTATATATAGCTTGGCTTGTTTTTTAGGTTTGTGAATCCTATAACAAACGGTCAATATACAGACTCTACACAGCATGATATAGTCATAATGAGAAAACGTTCTCATGTATTGCACAAATTGCTAGATGGCGTTGTGCAACGACGAGATTATTCGGTGTTAGAGCCTTATCTGCCACCTAAACATGAGTTTGTTTTGTTTGTTAAATTGAGCGAAGTACAAGTTAAGATTTACAAGCATTATATGGAAAGGTGAGTGATTATAATGATAATTTTCAGCCTGTAGATTTGTAGGGCAAATTTTCTATGTTCGCCCTACATTGTTACAAGACACTTCAAAAAACAATACGCCATTTTTTTAGGTACGCCCGACGAGGCGACGGCGTCAGCAACAAAACTTCATTCCTATTCACCGACTTCCAAAACTTGCAGCGCATCTGCACGCACCCGCGCGCCTTAGGCGACAGGAACTACGACAAGTCGAACAAGGTATCATATACGATTAAAATATAGTTATACTAGACAAAAATACCCCTGGCTTGCGAAATGTTTGTAAAGTCTAGTTTTATTGTCGCAAGTTGTTTAAGGGGGTATTTGAAACATGAACGCATAAAATGGTTACATCAATTTTTATTCGACAAGAAAAAGAAAACGTGTTTTTTTTTGGAATTCAATCAAAAGTGTTGGTAGGCACGAAAAAACTCTTCAAATAAGATTTTTAGGTATTTACAAGACAAAATGAGACCACACGTAAAAAGATCCGACTATTAGTAAAAAAAAGTATGTCCTAAAACCGAAGCAAAATGCAGGTTTTGGCACTTGTTGCTAATGCGACGATAATTCCAGCCGCTACTTGAAATTCAAAAATCCGTAGACTTCATACTTCTAAATAATCACGACAAAATTGGAGTCGATTGGTCAAGTAGTTTTTGAGAATATCTAATTGTTTATCCCAAAAAACACCTGTTTTCCGTCCATCACCAGTAGTTTATTGAGCAATATACACGATTAGTTCAAAGGGAATTTTATAGCAAAACACACTAGTTTACCTTGCCGACATGAATCACCAACCCTTCCGAAAGATAATTGTTATTATTGTGTGGAAAACGAAGGATTAAGTTTTTTTCTTCTAAACAAATTCAAACATTCCGTATTTGTGGGTAATTGAACAGATTCGCTACGATATTCGACAAACATACGTTATTGTACACATTTTAAAACAAAGCGGACGTGTCTATCACCTTTTGTTGCGAATAAAACAATTTTTTTCCAAGGTTTCTTCATACTCGTGTGTATACATATTTAGAGCTGAAATTTTTTAATGGTCACAGATGAGTTTTACAGTTTATAAAAAAAATATTTCATACTGAAATGCGATGGACTGTTTATGAAGTTAGCACGCAAACTGAAGACACAATTATGTTTCAAACTGTCTTAGACTAGTTAGTTTGTAGCATGTGCTAAATGGCTGCATTATTGATGACTGCATGACTAAGTAGGTCACGTAATCCAGTTTCTGGACCTTTTTCCTTAAAGTATTAATACATACAGTCTTTTTTCGAAATCTGGAACGATTAAAACGATTGCTAGTTGAAAATGTTGAAAAATAAACTCGAGAAAACGAAAAAACAGAATACAAATATCAACCATCTGAAAAATTAGGCAAAATGCTCGCTCGGTATTAGTCCATAATACATTATTTAAAGTTTCAGCAACGTTGGCTTGACATTTATGAGTGTCAAGGTGTAGTGGTATAAAGAGTAAACCAAGAGGCGTAGTAGTGTATTCGGAATGAGTACTGATTGCAGGACGGAGGCTCGAATCCACAAAAAATTTTTGTTCAGTTATTTTTTTTTTTAATTTGGAGAAATAAATGCTTAAATGTTTTAAGTACCCCCTTGAACAAGTTGCATGAATAAAACCAGACTTACCAATTATTTCGGGAAAATTTGCTAATATGATTAGACTATACTGAAAAGCTCAAAAACCAGAACAATGAAATTTGTGGAAGTGTTAAGACTTTATATTGAACCACGATTGGAAATGACACCAAATGTTAACATATTTAAGAACCAGATAAGGGCTTTAGATTTTAAATTGAACAGATATATGATTCTGTGTGTTCAAGTACATTTGCAATTGTAATATTGTAGAGTATTTTTCACGCTACTTCATTAAGTAAAACGTAACAGCAAATAACAGCTGATTGTCTAGAAAGATTCAAACAAAGAATACAGAGTTACCAGTAGAAGAAGCACTCAGTTGAGAAAACATTCTGCCGCATTGGCTGAGATGATAAATCTGGTGGCTGCCTGCCATTTGGATGTGATAACCCATTCTTTACCTGCGGTAATAATCCAGAAAAAGTATTGATTAGGTTCTTTGCACAACCTTACTAAAAAAAGAAAAACAATATTTGACGCAATTTTAGATCTGGCAACATGCAAATTCGTTAAAAGAGGTCTTTTTTTAATGAGATTATGCGAAAAAACAATCTAAATATTTTTCTAAGCAGATGCAGATTCTTTCTATACTATAAAGCATGAACCCAAACAAATGAAAAAGTACCATACTCGGGTAGTCGATGGCCAGCACAGGATCCTGTCGGAACTGGGTCGCGTCTCGGTTGGATGTGTACAGGACGATTCGCTATGACAAGGTGGTGCTGCGTGTCTGGATGCAAAACAAAGGAGGGAAATGGTTTTCCGATGTTTCATGGTCTTGTTAATGATTTTAAGCAAGAATTGTTACTCCAACATGCACATATTTGGAATCCGTTTTTTCATACAGGAACTCAGGTCGAGGTGTAATTGACGAAGGAGATCCATCCAAAAATTCACTATGATTCATGAGTGTACTAGTGTCAAAAATGTGATGTGTAGTTTTACTTCTGTTAACAATAATTTCCAAAAAAAACCAAGATCAATTTGGAGCTTCATTGAATATGTTACGGAATTGGAGGAAATATTTACAAAGAAATTCGTTGCTAGCTTATGTCGACAACATAGGAAAACGACTGAAAACTGAAGTCTTGGGCATCAGTTTCACTCACCCTAGTGAACAGTCTTCTGCTGATCATTTTTTTCACCTTATATACAAGTCCGCATTCATATTCAATTCAAATATGTCAACCGGGATATAGCCAGTACTAGGCTAATCCTAGATTTATTGAGGAAAGTTACTATTCGTACTTGTACACTTCCTGCAGCGGCATTCATAACATATTCTTTGAATTTTATAGAAGTCCCCTTTTATTTCTTTCACGTTAACAAACAATTTTCTGACAACAGCACTCCCCTGTATAAAGCAATAAAAGAAGTGCGGAAAGTCTTCAAGTGAGGCACCTAAAAAAAATGATCCGAGTTCTTAGAAAAATGTCGGCATCTTTGGAAGCCATAAGATCAAAGGCTTTTTCGCGAGTGCCCCTTCTACTGGTAACTTTGTATACTTTGCATCTAAAGTATCCCACGTCGACAAATGACATACGATTTTGACGGATCCGTCAATGCCAGATCCGTAAACATAGTCGTATTTTGTTTTTTTTACGCCACGGATTCATACTTTCTAACCACGCTTTAGAATAGCTCCTACAAACAAAAGAAAAACGATGCAATCAGTATGGTTGTTTATGGTCATTACTACATTTTAAGGCAACTATGGTAACCGTCTCTACTCTCTGAACACGGTCCTGAGTTTCACCAAATTCATTATTACTAACACAAAGATGTCACGTCTTGATCATCTCAATAGACGTCAAAACCTTTTGAAGTATCAGCTTCAAACTAAATAATCTTCTATTCTAAGGACTATGACGACGAAGAGTCTGAGGGCTCATTGAAAGACTTCATTGATGATGATGGCGCAACACCGTCATCTTCGTCCGATTCCTCTTCGGAATCTGGTTCGGACTCGAGAGGATCCAAGTCGGGTAGCGATAAAGACGGCAAGTCTAAGAAAAAGTACCAGCAAAGAAGTAGAGTTACCAGGGCGCTCGCTGCTCAAAGTAAGTAACATCACATTACTGACACTCACGAGCAATCACGCGAATTCACGAGCTTTAATGTGGACTCACAATAAGCGGAACCCTACTTATGCAAAGAAGGATATGTAATGGAATTCCCAATACGCACTTTGGGATTTAAATGTGGGGCTATTTTCCATTTCACATAACAATAAAGACGTTTTATTTAGGGATCGACCGATACCGATATATGATATCGGCATATCGGCGATATCGGCCTTTTTGACCGATATGCGTATCGGCCGATATGGCCGCCCATATGCCGATATAGGTTGGCCGATATAAAATAAGTTAACATTGTTGAATGAAACAGACAAAAGCTAGAAAAACATTCACTTTATTTAAATGAATTAAAGTAACATTTGTCTCTAACATATATCTATAAAAAACGAAACGTAACAGCCATATTCAGTCTTATTTTTTTTGAAAATTTAAGGAAAATGAGTAAATAAAAATTAAACATGAAAAATACTGCTTGATCTTTAAGAAAGGTGTAAATTAAGATAATTAATACTTAAAATTTAACTTAGGCAAATTGTTGTGTACAAATAATAAAGCTTCCGCCCTATCAGGTGTTAACCTGCTTCGTCTGGCATCATAAATGTTGCCTGCCTCAGAAAAAACTTGTTCACTCGCTACACTCCCAGCTGGTGCCGACAAATATATGGCAGCTAGTGGGAAAAGTTTGGCAAATCGCAATTTATTATCATTCCACCACTGAACAGGATTGTCAAATCTTGCAATCACTGGTAGATTGGTATACGCATTAATTTCCTTGTCTAGTGTATTTACTGATTGGTGCTCCCGTTTACGTTGGGAATTTCCAGATGTCCCTTCACCTGCAAAATGTTCATACGTCTGCCAGAACATATCTCGTGAGGTATTCGGTGTTTCTGCAGTTGTCTCCTGTATTAGCATTTTTAATGGAATATCATCATCCTCACTTGCACTGTCAGCAACAGTTGTGCTTCCTCCCTCTAACTCACGAATTTTGTTTTTGAGTACTTCATACATCTGTTGCTTTTCTGTGCTGTCAAAAAAATTATTTTTGAAGCGTGGATCCAACAGAGTGGCCACTGTAAAGTATTCGTCACTAAAAATGTGGCTAAACCGCTTTTCTAAATTTTTTTCAAGGGCGCCTCTAAGTGCGTCTACACCACAAAATATATCTTTAGAGTTGTTGCTTAAATAAGAAATCAAAGTTTTTACCAAAGGAATTACTTCTGATAAACAGCATTCTCTTTTGCTTGCAAGATTTATCAACTCTTCAAACGGTTGTAAAAGATTTATAACATCTTTTGTCAGCTCCCATTGCTGATAAGTTAAATCAGATAAATCTGGATAGTCCAGGATGTACATACTTATAGCTGTTTTTAGCTCAAGTAATCGTTCCAGCATGTAGTATGTCGAGTTCCATCTTGTTGTTATATCTTGGATAAGTCTTTTTGACGGGAGATTCATCTGATCTTGTATTTTCTTCAGTTTATCACAGGCAGTCGAAGAGTGATTAAAGTGAGATACAATTCTTCTTGCTTTGATGATAATATCTGTCACTGATCTTTGGCAATCAAGAGAATATTTTATTGTCAATTGTAAAGTGTGAACAAAACAACTCTGGTATTTTATTCGTGCATCAGACAATCCTTTTTTCATATTTGCAGCGTTATCAGCAAGAATTATATGAATTTGGTCTTTATCTAGCTTCCATTGCTCTAGTAAAAGTTTAACCATCTCGGATATATTGTCAGCTGTATGACTGCCTGGGAAACTCCTACATGCCAGAACGAATGATTCTCTATGGGTAGATACGTATTTATTCCAAAAATGAGCAGTCAAAGAAATAAAGGAGAAGTTGTTGTATTGGCAGGTCCATATATCTGATGTTAGTGACATTTTTCCAATCATTTGATCTATTTTCTTCTGCACGCACGCTTTGCATCGTTGAAATATATCAGGAATAACAGTTTCACGAAAATACTTATCTGATGGTAGTTCATAAGAAGGGAATGCTTTTTTCAGTAAACGAGTGAAACCAATATCAGTAGTAAGGGAAAATGGTTGGTTGTCCACTGCTATCATCTCGCCAATCAGGTAATGGATTTCCTTTGGCTTTGCTGAATTCAAGTCCCATTTATGAAGTCTCTCCAAAGCTGCTGAAATTTTTGGTTGATGGGATGGCCTATCGCTGTGATGCTTCAATGTAAATGGTTCAGAGTTTCTTCTTTCCTGCATCTTCGAACTTTCCAGATCCACAAGTCCACCTATAAAATTTTATCTTTGTTATAATTGGATAATTATTTTGGATATAAAATTTAGAAACTCTTGAATAGACATACACATAAGTTTTGAACGAAAACTAGAAAACATTCTTACCTGTGTTATTTAAGGTCTGCATTTTTGAATACTCGTCTTTGTGATGTTTAGATAAATGATACTTCATATTTGAAGTGTTGGCTGTTTTCCCTCTGCCGCCCAAGGAAACCTGTTTTTTACATATCACGCATATAACACTATCAGATTCGTTAGTCCTCCGATCGGAAACTCTATCAAAATATTTCCAAAGAACGCTACTTTTCCTCATGTTTGACATTTTTTGTAGAGAGACTTGCATAGACGTGCTTGTCGCCTACGTGCTTCGCCCAAGGGTACCGAACCGAAACACACCCGATGGTGCGCGGAAACAGACGAACGGCCGATAGGCCGATATGGCCGATATATCGGCCTGCGACATATCGGTATCGGCCGATATATCGGTATCGGTGAAAATCCTATATCGGTCGATCCCTAGTTTTATTGTTATTGTAGCGTTTTTCTGGGTTCTACCAACTTAACGCCATTTTTTTATAAGATTTATGGCACATTACTTCCACTGTTACATATTATATTTTGTATCTCAGTGAGCTTAATTATACAGGGTGTCCGCAAAGTTGGGGTTTTCCTTTACACGACGTGTAGATCTTGAAAACATAAGCAATTTTTCTTAGTACCATATACACCAATGTCTTAACGGAACCGAGATAAAGGGCTCTGCAACATCAAAAATATCTGAGTACCGTCCTGTAGCCGCGACCCGCGACATCACCGAGTGGTACAAGGTCACTGGCTCAACCCGACGACAGAACTGGGTCGGGGTCAGTGTGTCAGGTCAGTATGCAACCTTCAACCGACGGTTACGGTCACGCGTGTAGAGGTAATCGCGTAGACGAGAATCTCTAGAGACGTGGCTAGAGAAGTGCAAGTATCAAAAACTAAAGTGTGGCAAACGCTGCGTGAAGAGGGGCTCTATCCGTTTCACGTCCAACGTGTACAAGCCCTTCAACCTGACGATTTTCCAGTAAGAGTGCGGTTTTGTGAGTGGTTGTTGCATCAACATGACAATAATCCGGACTTTTTGAAGTGCATATTGGTGACAGACGAATCTACGTTCACGCGTAATGGGGTGAATAACTTTCGCAACACTCATGTTTGGTCAGTAGAAAATCCGCACGCTGTCCGTCGGGCACATTTTCAACAAACATTTTCGGTGAATGTTTGGGCTGGCATGGTGAACGGTATGCTCATTGGACCATTTATTCTCCCAAATCGATTGGACGGGATGCAATACCTAGACTTTTTACGCAACATTTTGCCTTCCTTGTTAGAAGATGTGCCATTAAGTGTAAGACAATCAATGTGGTTTCTGCACGATGGTGCACCGCCCCATTTTAGACGCGAAGTGCGTGAGTTTTTGAATGAATTATTTCCGAATAGGTGGATCGGACGTAATGGACCCGTAGCGTGGTCTCCGCGATCTCCAGACTTAATACCATGTGATTTTTTCTTTGGGGAGAAATGAAACGCTTAGTGTACAAAACTGAAGGGCATACTGTTGACGAACTTCGTCTCAGAATTGAACAAGCTGGTGCTTTCATTCGGGGGAGGGACTCCATTCTCAAAGCCTGCACCGATGCTTGGCTACGTCGTGCACGCACCTGTGTTTTTGAATCAAACGGCGATAACTTCGAACAATACCTATAAAGTACGTTTACCTAAAAACTGAAAACGCGGCAACGCCGTCATATTTGTTACCTCTGTTCGTGGTCTGCACCACCCCCTGCGTCTGCTCGGTAGCGCATCAGCTGATTTCATTTTCTGTTGGAGCGGTATGATTTCGGGCAGAGACGTACTTAGCCCTTCTCGTCAACTGGAGAGTGAGTACTTTTTCCTTTATTTTTTTTTACTTGGTCGCCCTCGTTTCACTACACATTACCTTTGTTATTTCAAGGGTAGTTGTTTCTGAAAAGGAAAACCCCAACTTTGCCGACACCCTGTAGATTTGAAGTAGGAAGTTTTGTGACCATGCACTCAGTAATTTTAACATTCTAAAATACGTTAATTTGGAATAAAGGTGCCATAATTCTGGCGTATCTTGTGCTTCCAATGCAAAAAATTAATATATGCAAACAACTTAAAACTTGAGCTATTTTTTTTTTTTTTTGAGGAATGGACGTATTATGTAGAATCTCCCATACTTCGAAATTCTGATAAATATGCATGATATATTAGCAATTATTGTATAATTGCAGGGAGAGAAAATAACGAGGATAGTGACCCTGAACTAGAAGAGATTAAAGAAGTTAAAAAAGAATGGTGGCAAGAATTCTGTGACGACGAAGGATTAGAAAACATTAATAACAGTGGTAAATTGTTCCTACTTTTCCAAATTCTCAAAGAATGCGAGGAAATAGGAGATAAAGTTTTGGTGTTTTCTCAATCTTTGTTCACATTAAATTGTATAGAATACTTTTTGGAAAAGGTAGACGAAGCAACACAGAATGGAGAAACTGAAAAAATTGGTGGACTTAGCGGGTCCTGGGCTTTAGGTAAGTAACTCTTTGTTTTGAACGTGGAATGTTTCAACCATAGCCTACGTCTCAGCAGCACACCTGGGCAAGGTTATAGTGAAGAGCCTCGTTTTACGTGATCCTTTTCTGCCTCGAACATGTGAAGATTTTTGGTGTTTGTATAAATTCGGGGATTAAACTACGAGGCGAAAACATTGTAAATTTTCCGAGTAAATTTTTTACCCAAAATTATGTGAAAGTATTTGCTGATCCGGTTAATATGCAGCAAAAACAATCATGCCAAAACAAAAATATACGACCAACGCTGCGGAGTGCCACAGGGACCTATACTCGGACACTACCTGTAGAACCTATACGTTACTGGTCTACCAGTAGAAAACATTGCAGGACAAACGATGTCACAATACGCAGATGTGCTAAATGAATCCAAACAGTAAAACACAGCCACCATGCGAGCAAAGTGGGCAATGAAATATTTGACCTCTATGATCGGTGGGGGCTTACTTGTAATAAGCAGAAAAAAGGGTGCTTTGTATTTGGACTAGCACGAACGTTCTCAAACAGATCAAGTTTTGCGGGACTGGGGAGCGAACAGTCGTAACCCCGTTCCTCGATCAAATACGAAAATAATCGAAGCATGCGTCTACCCGGTTCCAACATATGGACTTTTTGCTGTGTTCCCACGCATAAGTAAAAGTGCCTTTCTTAAATTAGAGAGGTACCTTAAAAAGATATATAAAACAGCTTGGCTGTTCCCCTACTGCATCATAGATGAAATACTTTGGGAGATGTTACTAAGGCCCGTATCGTCAGTAGTCCCTACAATTGTAGGGCGCGTTTATGGTCTCCTTGATTGTCATACTCGTTTCTCTCCTTCAAAAATTTCTAGATTACACTTGTCCCGTGTCAGCGTCAGCGCTCTCCTATTGTGAAGATATGTTTTCTTTTTAAATTGTAGGAAATTTCAGGCTGATAAAACATGGTATAGCTCAAAAGCAAGCACAATTTGATGCAAATAGATGTTTGTGACATAACCTCAAAATAGAGCGCTGACACGGAGAAGTAGAAAACTATGACAATCAATGAGGCCATAAAGGCGCCCTACAATTGTAGGGACGACTGACGATACGGGCCTAAAGGAAAGTGTGGCAACACGTCTGGCCCAAACGCATAAGAAGTTTCTTAAAAATACCGAGGAAGACAAATCAGTGAATCCGATTTTGACCAAGGCAGCCAAGCCAGCGATGTCAAATGTAGTCTCCAAAATTCAAGCATCCTCGGCACTATATCTCACATGATAATAACACTTTGTAAGAAGGTTTTATCCTACGTCCCATATCCTCCTCCTATTTTACCCCTTTCCTAAGAGGTATACATTTTGAATATATGCAGAAGCAAAGTATCTTTTTTTTTATTATTTATGTATAAGCCAAAGCCATCATATATAACATAACCTATATAAAAAAGGGTTTCAAAATGATTGTTTGATTTTTTCCATGTTTCACGGTTGTTGGATGGCCCGTAACATGAATCAAGAGTTTTTTCAACAAATTAGATAAAATGATTGTCGCTCTGGTTTTTATAATCTTTCTAAGAAAGTCCTTAGTAATGTTTCTTAAAGTTAACCGTTTTCGAGTTTTGAGTGATCTCATGTCTCAAAAAACCTAAAAATGATTATTTACTATGTTTCAAAACTGACCGAGTTTTTTGGTCCAAACCTCCAGCAAGCCCCGAAAACATGTTGGGCTTAGTTTATTTTAAAACTTTATTTAGTAATTGCTAATAACGTTCCATTGTTACATAATCTCAAAACTGATATTTTTTTGAATTTTTTGCAACTTTTGGATTAGATTTTACCGGGGTAACTGCCCAGCGACTTTTTGATTCGTTTTAAGAGGCATCTAACAAACGTGATTATGGAAAAAATCGACTAGGAACATTTCACCATTCTATCTCAATAGGTGACAGGAAATTACCAAAAGAAATGGGAAAGAGTAGTGGGAAACATTATGCCCAACATAGTGTGTGGAGTCCCTTCAGGCTGCAATATAACAGCTCTAATATCGACTATGAAAGAGCTGAGGAGTGGTTGGATTTTTGACTCCACAAAAAACACTTGAATAGTTTTTGAAAAAGCTCGTTTTTTAGGTTTGGACTACTTCCGCTTAGATGGTTCGTCCAGTTGTGATAATAGGGCCACATGGTGCAATTCCTTCAACGATCCTGAGAATACGAGAGCTCGGCTGTTCTTGATCTCCACAAAAGCTGGCGGATTGGGTATAAATCTTGTAGCAGCGAACAGAGTGATCATTTTTGATGTCTCCTGGAATCCTTCTCATGATATCCAGAGTATATACAGGTATGTGAAATAGAATACTGGGAAAATTTGTCTGATGACTCAAGCCGTCAAACAAATTTGGTTTTCCCTGTAGACAGGTTTATCAGCTCAAATTTCACTGAATCTTGTGTTTCAGGGTATACCGATTCGGCCAAACAAAACCATGTTATATCTATAGATTTGTGACATTTGGAGCCATGGAAATGAAAATCTATGAGCGACAAGTTACCAAGCAAGCTATTTCTAAAAGGGTTATTGACGAACAACAAATTGACAGGTACGTTATCTTCAGATTATTTTCAAGCATTTACTCCGTACAATTCCTGCTGGAGCATTAGCGAAAGATAGTGAGGTTATGTAAAATGCTTAATTGAAAGTGTCAATCAAACAGATCTACACCAATGCATTCCTTGTCGTTGCTATACTTTATCCATATCTCATGTACACCGCGTCAGAATAAACGTGATCCCTCGATCAGCACTTCTATTCGCTTGTCTCTGTCTGCTCAGGCACTTTTTATAACTTGCTGGCCAATAAGAGCGAGCGAATTTGAATACGACGGGGAGTAAATGAGATTTGATTACCGTTTAGTTGAGCATTATGGAACTCCGTCCATTTTACCAGGTTGCCAGTTGTACTTTTCACCTTATAGAAACGTCCAAAGACAGCATCCAGTGATCATTGTAAAAAAATGTTTTGTTCCATATCTACAGGGTGGCCAATATATAACTGACTGATTTAAATTGCGCGCCATTTTTTATACACGCATTTCAGTAGGTGGCGCCATAGTAGTTGTTTCAAGCGCATGTGTCCAATTCATCGTGGAGCGCTACACGGTCCCACAATGCGTCCGTATTGTTAAAACGTTTTACTTAAATAATGAGTCGATTGTTGCAACGATTCGGAAGCTACGACAAGATCTCGGTCAAAATAATGTGCCCAGCAACAACACCATTCGTCATTCGGTGCGGAAATTTGAACCATCAGGTGAAGTTAAAGACTTGCCAAGGTAGAACTGATCGTAGTCCGGAAAATGTCGAGAGAGTTCGTGAAATTGTAGTGGAGCGCCCTGAGACGTCTACCAGACATCGTTCTCAAGAAGTAGGTATTCGTCGCCCGTCATTATGCACTATGTATTTAAAAAAAAGACTTACATTTGCGGCCATAAAAAATTCAGTTATCCGAACGACTACACACTAGTGACACGTTTGCGAACAATAATTCCGGGACGTTTAATTTCTCGATTTGGTGATGTCAGCCGGCCACCAAGGCCACTGGCTTTTTATGGGGATTTTCGAAAAATAGGGTTTATGCCAACAAACCAAATACTGTAGAGCAGCTGGAAAACAATATTACGGAAGCGGTTGAAAATATTCCTCAAGAAACCTTCCAAAATGTGATAGAAAATGTAATCAAGAAGGCTCAGGTTTGCGCAGCTTCTAGAGGCGGTCATTTGTCTGATATCATTTTTCATACATAATTTCTAAGTTTCAATAAAATAGTAAGATGAAAAAAAATGGACGTATTTTATTTCATTTCACAAATATTCAAGATACGAACCAGTCAGTTACATATCCACCACCCTGTATATGATTGACTTTTAGGCATTACAATCAGAACGACCTCCAAGAATTATACAAGTGCGAAGTGGAGCCTGAAGAAGATCGTCCCATCCCATTGGTACCAAAGGATGTTCTTCTGGGAGAACTCCTCCAGAAACTCGATAAGACCATATACAAATATCACATGCACCAATCGTTGTTGGAAAACAAGACCGACGAGGGCTTGAACGAGGAGGAACGAAAAGCTGCATGGGAGGAGTTTGAAAGCGAGAAGGTTCGTGGTGCGGCAATTCAATTCCGAGAATTTGGTGATAACTTGAAAATTGGCATCTGCCTAGGATGGAGATTATTCCATTTCGAGTAGTTTCATTCATAGGTCGATAGCACGTGTGGGTCATGGTTTATGCGTATTTTTCTCTGAAAATTTGCATGTCGAAAACGCGAATATTTGAATGGGCGAGGTGCTTCAAGAAGGGGCGTGAATCAAGAGAAAAGGATCCAGGCGGAGTTGTTGAACTTGTCGTGTGCAGGCGCCTAAGCATTCATAGATGGTGTTACGTGTTAAACATCAACAAAGCAACCGTTTGCAATATTGCATGATAATTTGACGTGTAAAAGATTTTTGAAAAGATGGCGCTAAAAGTTTTCGGCCCATTTTTGGTTCATTATACAAAACTTTTTGGTGAAAAAATGAATTCCCTGTTAATCTGAGAAGCTAGAAAGACATGACGCTAATAAGGTCAACGGCCTAGGGTTATAAACAGCTTAAGGCGAGGTTCGCAGGGTATTCGAAAAGGAAAGAGAATTGTCAGTGTGATATCCAAATTTTTAATAACCTCAAATACCCTACGGACCTTGCTTTAATCCATTGAATGTCTCTTCCCCATATATTTTCATCATGAAAATCACGTTGGAATCATTGCGTAAGGTTAAAGGGTTGTGAAGATCGATGATAAAATTTTGCACGAAACTTATTTGCAGTGAGACAATGAAATTATAACCATGCTTTGATTTGTGCAGGTCCTGAGGAAGACAACTTCGACCTGGAACGCAATGGGAGCCAGCATGGGTCTGCCTCAACTTCCAATGAACGCCCAAACCATAGCAGCTGCCTTAACTAACATAGTTAGAAAGGACAATCCTGGTTGGAACGAGGTCCAAATAAAGGGAATCATCCCGGCACTTGTGCGACAGCTCCAGGTTCAAATGTCCGAAAATGACATGTCGGTAAGTGACAGAATGATGGGACCTATATACCAGGAGAAAATATGCTGTAAAAAGCGACCCCGAAACTTGTCGCCCTGGAATACCAGCGTTGCTTTGACAGGGTTGCCATGTTGGGGGACCTTGTGGAATTTTTTGGGGATATAATGTTCTGGGAGAAATCACACGTTTTAAGTAGTAATTCTGATTGGATTTTCGTGCTTGTTCTGGGGAAATTCTTCCTGACCAACAAACGGATTGACATTTGGTTCATTGTAAATTAACTCAACAATTTTTGCTTATTTTTTTGTAAATCCTGGGTGTCGGAAATCTGATGGATACTGTTATTGTTAGTTATTTGTGAGCTGTTGAAAAACCTCCCTTTGTGCGGTGACGAATTGTTTTGCGAAGGGGAACAGTAACATATTCATTGTTTGGAATACCTAGTATTCTCCAAAATGATAGTGCAAAATTCAATCTTTTGTCCAAAGATTAAGACATTAAACATGGGGCTCCTTGATAGAATATCCAAAATATGCAAGACGTGAATATGCAGGTGTTTTAGAAAGTGTGAGGTTCTGAGTGAGTTATATAGCTATGAAAACAGAAGTTATTCCTAAAATCTAAGGTGACACCTAGCTGATTAGCTTTTAGGATATAACGGGGGATATTTCACAATTTAGTTTAGTATCAGAGTGTGATATTAGCACATGTCAATTTGAAATTAAATTTTTTTCTAACCTCAGGCGCAGTTGTTGGTACATACTCAGATCACTGCGACTACAGTCAGCGTCAAGGTTTGGGGTCGTTTTTTTTTATTGTGCCGGTTCTCCTGATATATAGGGTCCATGGTAGTGAAAGTGAGAAGGATTAGGAAAGCAGACTACATGACAAGGACAAGTTTGTGAAGAAGAGTTATATTATTATTGCTTTACAGATGTACACAAGGGTCTTACAGGAGATCGAAGTTATGCAGGCTGCCATGCGTAATCAAATGACAGAAGCCATGTATCAGCAACACGTGATGCGGGCCATGCAAGAGCAGCAGAGGAGAAATATGATGATGGGTATTCCTCAACGTGCTGCATTCCCAGGGTAAGGTTATTTTTTATCTTACTTGATTCTTAAAATGGAAGAATAGGTATTAAATCGCACTTTGGAAAACCGGGAAGGAAACTGGTCAGTAGTACGATTCTATGTATCTTCTGTTTCTTAGAACCGTTCGAGCCATGTAGGCATTGTATACCACTCCATGAAGGGTATCTCAATAGAATGTTCCTGTTTTAAATTCAACTACTCAAACATTTTACATTGCGCATGTGTCTTAGAGTCCGGCACGAGTATCGCGTATCTTGAAAAGTGCCGATTTTTTTTTGACATGCTGGTTTTTTTGACATTATGTAGGTTTTTCTACAACAAATTAACTTAGCACTTAGTTGTACGTGTTGCCTTGTTATCAATCTTTGATTCTGATGTGATGTAAAATCTGCTTCTGGGATGGCATTACTGGAGGTCTAAGCTGTAAGTTGTATGTGTTGATGATAATTACATTGGGTTCTTGTCTCAAATACACTTAATTGAGATTCAAAGCTAGAAATTAGTTGCGCATCCACTTTTTCTTATCCATTCTGGAAATTACATATACAAATTTGCAGAATTTCAAAAATGAGAGAGATAAGAAATAATCATATTCACTGTACACTGTCGAATTACAAGCCATATACATGCTAACAGTAATTACTCACAACGCGGGCGCGGTGATGATTTCCCGTAATGCTCCTCAGTTTTTCGTAATTTATAAGTTTGAACATAACCTCTCTTCAGAAAGCACAACATAAAAATAACCCGTCGGGCAGTGATTTTATACACATGCAGACCAATACACATAATCATCCAGATGCGATCTTGCTATTCAACCAACTTTCTTCTCAGAGATAAAAACTACAGACAAGGACCATTTGGCCTCGCAATACATATGCAACCAATAATGCGTTTAGTTTAGTTGAGTGATTCCTCCTTAGATGGACGTTCACAACGATCCTAGTGAGCAAACGTGGAATGACTATGTGTGCCCTAAAAACTACCTAGTTTGCAAGATGACATCTTATAGGTTTTTTACATGATACCCATGCCGGAAATCTGATTCTGGAATCAGAACGCGATGGTAGTATCTTTCTACCTGCTCGGAAAAATATGCTATTCTATTTTTTTAAACGATCTTATTCAAAAAGGACCCTACTCACCAGTCTGCATGTTGCAGGTCCAAATTTGCATAAAAAATACAATTTTTAGCCAATTTCCAAAAATCGTTTTTTCCACTGCATACATTTTTTTTTTTAGGTTTATTGGGTCATTCTGTACACATAGGGTTCTTACGAACTTTTCGCGAAACTTGATAGTTTTTGAGGAATGGCGATTTAATATAAAAAATCAAAGATTATGTTTCCAAGGTTCCTAAACATTCATCGAACATCCATCAAAAAATCCCGAAGCATTTTAGGGGGTATTGTTTTTGTATACCTTTTTTTGTTTTTTTGTTAATCAATCACGCGATATGTATTTATCGTAAATAGCTCGGGCAGAGTATACACTGTACACGCGCTTATAAACAATTAAACAACAATACTCCCTAAAATTCTTCAGGTTTCAGGTTTCAACAGACAACAAAACTAACTGTCAACTAATTGACGTTTAACCTTATTCTGCTTTCAATTTCAAAAATATTTGCAGGCACAGCCTACTTCTAAAAATTATCGAGATACTGACTTTTTAACATTATTTTATCATAAATAATTAAAAATGCATCGAACCTTAAAAATCAAAAAGCAAAAAATTGCACTAAGATAAAATTTTCGGTCATTTTAATACACTACAGGTACAGTAGAGAGCGCCCTCTAGCGGCTAGAGTAAAACTATGCCCATGGTTCGTTTTGTCGTACCGAAAAACCCTTGTATACCAATTTTCACTGTTATACATCAAATATTGTTCGAAATATTAAAAAAAAAACTATTTTAAAAAGTAAATTTAAACACCCTGTATTTCGGAAGCCACGCATTTTTCGACCCATGTTTATATAGACTTTATGCATTAATTTTAAAAGTTCTATCGAGTCTTAAAGTTATGCAACAATAAACTGAAACACCCTGTATAATATGCACCTCGACAATATGCTCATTCTTCCACTGCCCCTGTGGACATTTTTATATGGGTTCCTCGGATATAAAGTCTATTCAAACAATCCGCATAAGATTGTTTAATCGAAGGAAAGCAAGCATTTCTCAAGTTATTGGTGAAATCGGGCCTCAGTTGCACCAAAAAGGTTACTGGAATTCTGAAGAGTGGTTGTCCATAAAAACAGCTGAGGAAATTTGAGAAATTTAATTTAAATATAAGCCTCACCTGCTAACATAAACATGTTTTTTTCAAAATTGTTGGCTATATACCCGCAAAAAATAGCAAATGACATTGTGATAAAGACCTGTTGGATGTCAGAGAATAGTGATACTGGGTCTCCTAGGTTTCTTAGAGTTTTACACATTCATAGGTATTATTTCTTAGTTTTTGTGATATTTCACGTCTCATTCATTAGTTTTATGTCATTTGTACTAAAATGGTGTTTTGGAAATTACAAGATTCTTGTATTGTTGCAGTAACATCATCAATACGAGTCATCTACAAAACTACTTGCAGAGACCAGCCGCGCCAGCTAGTACAAGTAACAACGTCGTTATCGAATTGAACGATTGATCTTAAGTTTCGCTTGGAGTAAGTTGATTTGATATATACACACACATATTTTTAAAGAGTTAAAAACCGGATTCACATTTTCTACTTGTTTGTTCTATCTATGATTTTGTATTTATATGATAATATTTAGTAGTCGTTGTTTTGTAAATGTCTAAAAGAGATTCAAAATTATTTGACATAATTGTATTTCACATTATTTATTAAAAAGAAAAAGAAAACATTTGTAAATCTTATTTTAACCAACATAAGTGCCTCTTTTCGTAGCCATTTCGCGTCTGTTGTATTCGTCTAGCATCGAGGAAATTTCCATCCTTTCTTCGGCGATATGTTGTATGTTCGCCAAAAGGTCGGGGTAGGGGTTTATAGCTTTCACGAAATCTTTCTGGTCCAGCCGATAGATTTCCGACACTTCCACAGCTATGACCGAAGCTATCCGAAATGTGTCTTTGATCAGTAGCGCTATCTCGCCAAAGTGGGCTCCATCTTCTAAATGGCAAACCTTGAACCAAGAGTATAGTGACTATACGGAAAATTTGGGAAGTCTCGCACTTCGGTTGGAAAATACTTTTTTCACTGCCAACCTGAGAAATCACCATTATTCTCCTCCAAGAAGTTACATTTTCCCTTAGGCAAATAAATATATTACATGAATCTGTGCATTCTTTGGCTTGCTGAGCATAGAATTGTCACTGTTATTAAATCCTTTATCTATTTTTGAATGTTTCTAATAATAAGTGTTTACTTCAAATCAATACAGAGTATTTTATAACTGAAATTATTGTTGTTGGTTGTATTTGTTCAATGTAAAATCTGAAAATTATCCTGTGGTTTTCATGTCGATAATCCCCTTGTGTTTGTCTTGCCAATCAAACCACTTGTATTTAGAGTTCCAATTTTTTGTAGTATTTGTGTCCATCACAATTGTGACCTGTTGGTTGTCATGTTGTTTGAAATTCAACACGTCGAAGTTTTACTTCGCCATCTCAAGGCTAAACTGATGTGTCTTATATTATTTTCTCACAAGACAAATCACATAGTTCCTTTTAAATGTTGTACTCTCGCATTCCAGATCCTTAAACAATGCAATTTCAACATTTCAGTCGAAGATTGCATTACAGTTAACCAGTGTGTTACAACAATACTGCGTGCGTTTTCGCGTTTTTTTTTTATACAGAAACGTATAATACAATAAAAAAGAATTTTAAACACATGTGGTTTGATGGGTCAGACAAACTTGTATTTGTTTATCTCATTGTTTTGAAAGACCAAGCTTCTTGATAAATTGGAGTATTTAAAAATGAGGAACGAATGATGTGTCGACGTACATGCCATCTCGTATCTTTGTCAGACTTAACGTGTAGCAGCAGCGTCTCTCTACGCAACGTTCTGTCATCCAGACATTACGTGTGCTTTATTCGGGCAGTATTGAAGATTGAAAATTCTCAAACATGGTATATTTAAAAATCTAATCAATTTAAATGCGGTGACATATCATGGTTAGTAGTGAAAACATTCTATACATATACTAAGTGACATATAAATCCGAACACCCAGTTTAAATGGTTTTATTTTGATAAAAGTTGGTGAATGTATTTATCTTACTGTAAATAACAAGTGAAAAAATTTTCAGCCTTATCAGTTGGACATTCCGGTTTTTATACTGCTTTTTTTTAATTCACTAACGCTCTAAAAATGAATATTTCAGCCGCAGTAAAGAATCAACGTTGGCAGATTTTGGTTCTTGACATCCTTTACGATCGGTTACGATGCCTAGAGTACGGAGACCTGTACGATTTCGCCAACTTAGTGAATTTGATAGGGGCCGTATAGTGGGACTTCGGGAAGCTGGACCTTCTTTTCGGGCAATTGCAGTTAGATTGCAAAGAAGTGTAGACACTGTGGTTAGGTGTTGTCAGGCATGGCTTCGAGAAGGCCGTACGCAAAGAGCAAGGGGCACTGGACGCCGCCGTAGAACAACAGACCGTGAAGATCGTCGCCTAAGATTATTGGCCTTAAGGGACCGTTTCTCCACTACCAGGTCCATTGCAAATGAATGGTTTGCAGAACACGGAAGACCTATTGGCATGCGAAGTGTTTACCGACGAATGAGAAGTTTTGGCTTGTTTTCATACCGGCCACACTGGGTCCTCCCTTTAACTCGAGAACACCGACGTAATCGCCTTGAGTGGTGCAGACAACGGTCACTCTGGGATCAGGAATGGAACAGTATTGTCTTTAGTGACGAGTCTCGATTTTATTTAGGCATGCGCGATGGTCGTGCCAGGGTTAGACGGCGACGTGGTGAAAGGAGGAATCCACAGTTTTTTGTTGAAAGACATGTTCATCACACTGTTGGAGTTATGGTTTGGGGTGCTATAGCTTATGGTTCCAGGTCACCTTTAATCTTCATCAGAGGTAACATGATCGCGCAGCGTTATATCCACGAAGTTCTAGAACCCCATCTTTTACCCTATCTTGACACCCTGGCAGATCCAACTTTCCAAGAAGATAATGCCCGACCATATGTTGCAAGAGTCGCAATAGACTTCTTTCAACATAATGATGTCACATTGCTACCATGGCCACCAAGATCTCCCGACTTATCCCCAATTGAGCACGTGTGGGATATGATGGGTAGGAGATTGCTCAATTTGCAACGTCCTCTTCAGACTCTAGAAGCACTTCGAGAGGAGTTGGTGGTTGCCTGGAATGAGATACCACAGGAGGACATTGACCACCTGATCAGAAGCATGCCTAGGCGCGTTGGAGAATGCGTAGCACATCAGGGTGCATCCACACATTATTAAAGGTCAAAGGGCTTTAAAGCAGTGCAATCATTTTGAAATTTTTATCATTTACTTATTATGCTTCATTAAGTACTTATACAAAATTTTATTAAAATAAAACCATTTAAACTGGGTGTTCGGATTTATATGTCACTTAGTATAGTTCCCTTTAAATGTTGTACTCTCGCATTCCAGATCCTTAAACAATGCAATTTCAACATTTCAGTCGAAGATTGCATTACAGTTAACCAGTGGGTTACAAAAATACTGCGTGCGTTTTTGCGATTTTTTTTATACAGAAACGTATAATACGGTATATTTAAAAATCTAATCAATTTAAATGCGGTGACATATCATGGTTAGGAGTGAAAACATTCTATACATACTTCGGTGGAGAAGGCAATTATATTCCTCGGCGCCATGCTTGGCCAACAATGCTACTCGTCTCCACCAAAGTATGCAATGTACTATTTTTCTTCCAGAACCACTTTTCAATTTTTCATAGTCGGCTTCATTATCTTAGTTTACATCACATGTTCAAAAATTACGTAAAAAGTTATACTTTACGATTATTATTTTTTGTTCAAAAGTGGATCATTCAAGTCACAACTATTAAAATAAATGGTTGTGTATTAACCTCTTTTCCTGACTTGGTGTAAATAGCCACTGTTCCAGTTGATATAAAGTACATACTAGCTCCAGGAGTGTTGGCGCGTATGATCACATCGTTTACCAGGAAGACTTCTATCCTTAGACACGAGATTATGCGTACCAGGAGATTCAGCGGCAGATTTCGAAAAAATATCACGTTTTCCACTAGTTTGCGACAAGCATGCATGTTCATTTCCTAAAATCAGCTTATCTCAGAGACAAAAAGCTCCAATACCCTATTTAAATGTCATTTCAGCTTCTGTTTCACAAGTAAGGTAAGTCTAGTTAAAACAGTACCTGTCGAAGTTGTTCCGATATAGTAGCTAGGATCTCGTTCTCCCTGAAATATCGTTTTTGGAATTTGAATTCGTAATATGTTAGTATTCTGCTCCTCATATAGGTTGGTAACTGCTTATGGCGCATGTATTCTCTCAGTTGCTTCTCCATTTCATCGTATTTGTGGGCTGACGAAGTCCTGCCAGTATTTATTTCCATAATCATGGCTAAAAGATAATGTATTCAAAGAGGGTAAAGAAATACAAAAGTACGCTAATATTGTTTATTCCACGAGTATCCATTGTGGTAGAATAAGAGCTGATTATCTAGTAATAATTCAAAATTCTCCAGGTAGACAGAACCGTATTTGTTGTTTGTTTGGTGACAAATAGTTTTTGTCCTTGTTAATCAGCTCTACTTTTTAAAACTTGAAACACTACATGCTTTTAAATGGCAATGAAACGGAATTACGTTACACTGATGACGGTCAAATAAGCAGAAACACGTGTCTGTATTATTTTTATATGTAAAATTACAGCTACTGGAAAGGACAACAGTGTTTTATTGACTTACCTTGTAATCAATAAATCCCAGATGTACTATAATAATTTTACCTAATAAACTTGTATCTATGAGAACAACAGCTCTGAACATGCTCACTTCAGTAGATGTCAAAACGTAATGGATACTCGTGAGATGGGGTTTACAAAATAGATTTCATCCAAACTATAAAATGCATACCTAATATGTATATGCAAAACAGACTCGATCCATACCAGACAGAATAGATGAGAACAATTTCCAGTTCGCTTTGAGGTAATTCTTTTCCATAACCCGAGTTGTATAGTAATAATGATTTGTGATGGAGCGCGTTGAAATATCTGACCCACACTCTGTTCTCTGGGTCGTCCGTGATACCACTCCACCTAAAATTATATAGTTGCGGATACAGTCACGTTGATCATACAGTAAAATGAATGTTGAAGGTTAAACTTCGTACATTTTTATGAATCTCGCACTGCTTAGGTAGCCAGAGCATCAGTAAAGTTCGTTTCATATATTTTCAACTATTGGTCAGTCTATTACCCATTTCAATAATGACTACCATAACGTTTACACCCTGTATACAGTATGTTCAAAAAGTATGAATAGGTCAAAATTGCTCGAAAAATACGTTTTTTAAAAAAACGCTGTAGAACAAAGTTGTAAGGTGTGAAAACGTGCATCTAATGGTGATCTTGAACGTGACCTTGACTATGACCTTCAAAGTCATTTGATGGTCAAGACCGTTTTCTTGGCTGAAACCCCTTATTTTTGACACCAGGAATGTCAAGAATATGAAAATTTACATTGAAGTATGTCTTTGCTCATAACCTTCATCGATATTTGAGGGTGATCAGAAAGTAGGGAAGGGACAAAATATCTCGGAAGATACGTTTCATAAGAAAGATGTTATGTAATGAAGTTGTAAGATTTGGTGAGATTCATCTATTGGGAGACTTCAACGGGAATATAACTTTCAAGCTCATTTGAAGGTCGAGAAGTTGTCTTAACTGGAAACCTGTATTTTTGACACCAGAAATAAAAAGTGAAAGAAACTTTGTGTTAAAGTATGTCTATTACCTTGACACTATGACTAACAAGGTCATTTGAAGATAAAATGAATTTTTAACAGGAAACATTAATTAACCTTACTCCTAAGTTTTGTCGAGTTTATAAAAAGGCGAAACATTAAAATTAATTCATTGGTGCATTAAAACGTTGTATAAAAATGTCCATTGCTGAAATAACGACGTTAAGCCGGAAACGAGGGATAGGCCAAGTCATAATAGTTATCAGAAAAAATATAAAAAAGTTAAAGTACACGAGATTTTTTTTATATTTTTTGCTATTATGACTGCAACTTCAGTATTCAAAAAACCACCACATCATTCATATACAGAACTCCAAAAGGCGCCAATATTATACATTATCAGCAACATCCTAATTTAGTTTTAAATGTGTTTTGTAATTCATGCAGTAAAACGTAAAATTCACACGTTCACGTATACATCAAATGAAAAAGTGGTACTTACGTTCTTTGCTTTGTATTCACGTCGAATAACTGTGTTGAAGGGCAGTAGTGAAGTATGTTGGTCCTTATGAATCCTATAGCACAGCACATTACATGCCAGAATATTACTGTGTAAAACACCACTAGAGTTGTCATGTAATTATAGTGTTCGATATTGTAATACTGAAACATATTATATCGTTAAGTTGCACGCCCACTAAGGAGAAGCGACACGACATTCGTCATTGCTAGTGACAAATCGCTCCCCCTTGCGTCGCTCCACTTCCGAGTTCTGATTTAATTGTGTGTGAAAGAATCCTGTGAAAGAGTTTAGTTTCAATTGGCGCGCACCTTAATACAGCTATGAAAAATTTCACAAAACTGATGTATTTGGAAGAACTGTCTAATTAAAACACGAAATACAGATGGAAACTTACAATATACTTACATCAGCTACCAACTTTGAATATTTGTTGAATGGAATGACTAACAAAAACCTAAAAAATGCCAGCCATAAACTTAGCGATAATGTGTCTTTGCTGACGTTAAAAAATATTTCCCAATATATAGGTAACGCAGTTAACATATCTAGTATGAAAGTCTTTTTCAGATAATTGCTGAAACACAAAATCATCTTTGTTATTTCCCATAATGCCAACGAAATCGTAAAATGTCGAGCATTCAATGGTTATTGACATTGTCACACGATCAGTACCTACTGGTGGTCCATGCCATCTGTATTTATCAACGAATAGATGCCGATATGTTTACATTGCATTGTTTGTGGCCAAAATTGTGCAGTTTTAGTGCTTACTTTTGACTCATTTGTTCACCATTGCCTACCAAAGTGCCAGGCCAATACATCTGCGTACATTTTTTTCTCTGGGGAGATAATCAGGTAGCCAATCTTACTGGGTGTACTCACGTTTAGCAGGGCAGAAATACTATTTGTGTAGCGATGTTGTTGATATTTTAAATACTGGGACATCGTGCTTGATTTCTACTCGGATTTTATAAATCTAAACAGTTGTTGTGATCCGAAAATCTTAGATACCCAGATAAGTTTTGGAATCTACTGAGCTTCCTCACCAGAATCTCGTGGCAATGAGATCGCAAAATTGCTATTTCTAACGTGGAAGTAAAGACTTCCTAAGATCTTTTAGATACAAGATGAGACTCAGTCTTAAAGTTTCAGTTGAACTTTTTCAGTATCTATCAAAAAATATTGCCTCAAATATTTTGATTTTTGAATGTTGTTAGGTATACAATCCTGTTAACAAACCTTAAATTCGAACGGAACGCTCAAAGAAACACAAGTGGACTGAAATAAATCAAAATTATCTCACAACTATCCTTGTAAAACCTCAACTTTGAGGTAAAGTGCTTTCGCAACGCCAATGACGATAATACATTAACACTTATCGACCGATTACTTAGTTTAAACGGCTTTTTACATTGCGCATAATCTTTCACCATTTTCTACAATTATCTGGAACACTACTGTATGGAACCCACACGCGCTTTTATATAAATTACAAATTTCAGGTGAAGTGTCAACAACTGTCAAACTGGTGGCTTAAGCCTGATCGACTGTCTTTGATCCTGACTACAGACTATCTGGTTTTGGAGACAACCTAGTCTGAATTCGTTGGTATTTACTGATGAGTCCGTTAGTGTCAGTGGATTTCTGCGTAACCTTATACGTCAATAACACTGACATTCAATGAATATGAGATTACTTGATAAATACTTATGGATCGCACTAAATACTAATCGTGTGCCATTCAATTTAATTATTGTTTTTCTTGCGTTTTGTAATTTTTCGTTTTCATGTATGTACTTACATTAAAATTAGCTTCAAATCCAGAACCACTTTTTGCATCGGTTCGTCATAGTATCCTGTCATAGCATTAATCACAATATTCATTAATAAGAAACTGTTGAAAAATAACCGAATGCTCAGCCATATCATATCCGATACAAAAGGGTGTATTTCCGGTGTGAAGTCAAATAAAAGGTAATGGAATGGTAAACAGACGAGTTCGTCTAATATCACAAAAATCATTATTAGTGCCCATACCACCCTGTAAAAAAGAACATAACACTTGATCTTGTAACGACGGCAGGATATCAAGCACACAGCAGAGAAACCATCTAAGATGCGAAGGACTCGCACATCCGTTTTGTTTAGTTAAGTAAGTGAACACTTTTGACCTAACAACAATTCTATTACGGATAACTTTGATTTTGTTTTTTTGTTACGGTATTTATAATTATGTAGTTAAATATTATATGTAGAACGACAATTCTTGAAACAATTTTGCAACTTGCTGCTACATAAGTTTTCTCTGCGATATTTTCATATCTGCGTCCGTTTACCAGATAAAGCTTTTTTTGAAGCTGTCATTAGACCATACGGTACATGCTTGTGAGTGGGATTTTCGAGCCATCTGACTGATACAGGTACAATAATGTTTTGAGCTATTTACAAAACCTCAACGTGAATGTACTAAAATTGCTCCAAAAGTTCATATTGCGGAGAAATCGTATAGAACTTCTCACACAGTAGCCTTCCACCACTTACGTGTCAGGATGGAACTATTGTATTCGACTCAAAGGCCAAGGCGGAAGTGCTAGCCAAGATCTTTGCTGCCAACTCCACCATGGACGTCCCCACCAACGCCCAAGTGCCGTCAATTCAAAGGGTTCCCCACACTATGCGGGAGGTAACATTCAGGCATAAGACCGTAAGACGAGTGCTCTTGTCGCTCGACATCAACAAAGCTTCTGGTCCGGACTTGATTCCTGCCATTGTACTGAAGAGATGTGCAGCTGAGCTTGCTCCAGTTCTTTCGCGTCTCTTCCAGATATCTTATGAATCCGGCACCTTCCCAGAAAACTGGAAATTTGCTCACGTACAGCCCATCCCAAAAAAAGGATCTAAAACCGACCCTTACAACTACAGGCCTATAGCTCTGCTTTCTGTTATAAGTAAAGTGATGGAGAGGTGCATAAATCGCGAGCTTCTGGACTACCTCGAACGTCACAGCTTGATTAGCGACAGGCAGTATGGTTTCCGGCACCAACGATCCACAGGGGACCTCCTAGCTTACGTCACGCAACTGTGGAGTAAACTCATCCAGTCTCATGGTGAGGCTCATGTCGTTGCTCTTGACATCACGAAAGCGTTCGATCAGCTGTGGCACGCTGCCCTCTTGAGCAAACTTCCATCCTACGGCCTCCCAGAAAAGCTTTGCAGATGGGTGGCTGACTTTATCTCTGGCCGCCAGATATCCGTCGTAATTGACGGATTCTCCTCTTCATCCCACAACGTCAACGCGGGTGTTCCCCAGGGATCGGTCTTGGCTCCAACACTGTTTCTCTTACATATCAACGACCTCCTTTCCTGCACGATCAACCCAATCCACAGCTTCGCTGATGACAGCACTCTACATGCAGGAATTCAGAGTGACAAGCCGATCTCTGCCGCTGAGCTGGAAAAAAGAAGACTAGCGACGACTTCTTCTCTGACAAGAGACCTGGAGGCTATCACTGCTTGGGGACGCAACAATCTTGTACAGTTCAATGCTTCCAAAACACAGTACTGTACTTTGACGAACAACAAGCGTCCTAGCGCTCATACAGTTTCGATGGACGGTCGAGTTCTACCAAAGAGCCATTCATTTCGGCTGGTCGGAGTCCAGATCACCGAGGACCTGATCTGGCACGAACACATCTCTTCAATAGCTGCAGCTGCTGGGAAAAAGCTAGGCTATTTGTTTAGGGCTAAGAAGTACTTTTCTCCGCATGACCTTCTCACTCTATACAAGGCCCAGATAAGGCCCAGCCTCGAGTATTGCTCACACATTTGGGGTGCTGCCGCCCCGACTACATTGTCCATGCTCGATGCTGTCCAGAGGAGGGCGGTCCGACTGATCGATGACTCTTCTCTAACAGACAGTCTCGGGACTCTTTCGCACCGGCGGGCCGTCGGCGATCTAGCTCTTTTCTATCGCTACACCAACGGGCTTTGCTCCTCAGAGCTCTCTTCCATGATGCCGCCGCGCGATGTGCCTGCCAGACAGACCCGCCTGACTTCGGCGTCCCATCCTAACCGTGTCAAACTTCGTACATCCAGAACTGGCCGATACGACCGCTCCTTTGTCCCGAGGGTGTCTAGATTGTGGAACAATCTACGGGAGGAAGCGTTTCCCTGTTCTACTAACCTTAGGCAGTTCAAAAATCGTATTAACAAAATTTATTTGGGATCATCATAGCAGCCGCGGTGTTCCGGCATTTAGGCTTCTGCCTGCGCGGCTGTTTCGATATAAAAAAAAAAGAAATGGATTTAAAAGTAAGAACATATTTTTTTTAGGTTGAATGCTACTGTTGGGCATAAATCTGTTTTCAATCATCATAGCGAAGAAAAAAACACATTTTTGATAGAAACATGTATATCACTAAAACATGTTAGCTTTTTTGACTCATTATTTTCAAGCAAACTTTCTAGACATTATTTAACGATATCTTGAACCGAAGTAGATATAAAACATCAATAATAACAGCATGAGGAGCTGGAAATATACTTCCTTACAAAAAATGACAATATTTTGGTGAAACCCGTAAATCTTTTTCCAGTGTGAACGGTTTCGGGTGATAACTTGAGAGAAATGTTTCCTGAAAACATTGCGCCTTTTCAGGTTATATGTCTGGCTCAGAGGTAATAATAGAAAGCATTCACAAAGACGCAGAAAACCTGATAATGCGCTCTCACCGGCAGATTATACTTTTACTACGGTATTCTTGTATTCTTCCTTTCAAAATAAAAATGGACCGCACTCAAGAACATCAGTGTGACCTTTTTTGCAAGTTTTTGACCCTCTTACTCCCTTACGTATTTTTCAACATTTGAATTCTAACTAACCTTGTCTTAATCTGACGTGCGCGATAGTTTTAACGATCGATAATATTATCATTCTGGTCGACTGCCCTAGGCGCACACACCAACATAAAGAACCTTTATGAATGTAACAGGATGTGCAAGGTACCCTCCGTTATATATTTTAGTATGCCGCGCTTAACCTTCCAGTACTCGCGCGGGGTATCCAAATACCCCACTAGTAATATCTCTATCTATACTGGAGTGGGGGAAATGACGATCGGCATATAGTTTCGTCTATTCCTCGAGTGTAGTATACGCAGGCTGGTGTTAAGAGTTGGCTGCAGTCGAGATCACGTGGTGCGTAAGCTACGAGTCAAATTTGATTGGGGTATTTAGATACCCCTCGCGAGCATCGGAGTAACAAGGAAGTAAGGGTATTTTTGTTTGTTTTTTGAGGTTTTTTGCAATTTATTGGTATTATTGCAGGTAAAAATATGGCAAATTTATCAAGTAGAGACCGACAGCAATGGCTGAAATGGTATAATGAAATGCTTGACAGTGACGACGAAGAAGTTTATGGTGAAGATGATCCATCGGAGCAAGAAACAGATAACTTGGAAGTACAAGGTGAATGTTCAGATACGGAGCAACAGTCTGAAGAGGGAGCTGATATTTCGAATATAACTGAAGGAGATTCTGTAGAAAACGGTCCATATCTTTTGGGAAAGGATAAATAAACTAAATGGAGTAAAAACAAACCACCAACGTCAAGAACAAAGGCTCATAATCTTATATTGAAAGTTCCAGGGCCAGTAGGCAACGCAAAAAACGCCAAATCCTCGATGGACTGTCTTAGCCAATTTATTGATGATTCAATGATTGAAATCGTTGTGAAATGTGCCAATCTATACATTGCAAAGATTCAAGCAAATTTCGATAGAGAACGTGATGCTAGATTGACTGACGTATGTGAGATAAGATCTTTTATAGGAGTACTTTATTTGGCGGGATCTTTGAGATCTGGGAGGCAGAATATTCGGACATTGTGGAACACATATGGCAATGGAATTAAAAACATATATATAACAATGAGTTATAATCGTTTCAGATTCCTCTGTAGAAGTATCAGATTTGATGATGTAAATACTAGGGAAGATCGACGTATGTATGACAAACTGGCAGCGATTAGGGACATTTTTCAGCGATTTGTGAACAATTGCCAGTCTTCAGTGATACCAAGCGCTTTTCTAACCATCGATGAACAACTGGTTGCCTTTCGATGAAGATGCGCCTTCAGGCAATATATACCTAATAAGCCCAGCAAATATGGAATCAAAATATTTGCATTGGTCGATGTCAAAGCCATGTATACATACAGGTTAGAAATATATGCAGGTAAACAACCGAACGGGCCGTATGGATTGAGTAACAGTCCTAAAAGGTACAGGTCGTAACATTACAATGGATAATTGGTTTTAAAGTGTACCTCTTGCTAGGGACTTATTGAAAGATAAATTGACTATGGTTGGTACGCTCAGGGAAAATAAAAGAGAGATTCCATTAGAATTCACACAGACTGCTTCTAGACCAGTACAGAGTAGTATGTTTGCCTTTCAATCAGATCTTACCTTGCTGTCTTACGTTCCAAAAAAAAAGGAAAAATGTATTGCTGATTTCATCAATGCACCACGATGACGAGGTTGATAGGGAATGCTTGAAACCTGAAATAATCCTGGAATACAACAGAACTAAATCTGGAGTGGATGTCGTAGACAAACTTTGTGCCTAGTATGACGTGGCTAGAAATAGCCGACGTTGGCCTCTGACGGTTTTATTTGACATTCTAAATATTGCTGGTAGCAACGCACTTTGTCTATTTGCTATGAATAATAATTTTGAAAAACCAAACAGAGAACATTTCCTGCAAGAGTTAGCTGCAGAGTTAGTATGGCCACAAATAATGAAAAGAATATATATGGATAATATCCCAAGAAATATAAAGAAAAGGGCTATCGCTTTACTGAACATAGAGGAAACTACTCTAGCAACAGACAAGGCTACTACAAAGAAACAAAAACTTGGAAAGGGTAGGTGCTATTTATGTCCCAGATCAGCTGATAGAAAAACGCCAATTACATGCGTAAAATGTGTTGAGTGGATATGTAAAATTCATCAAAATTTCGTATGCCGTAATTGCCTTGATATCAGAGAAATAGAAACCAATTGTGACAGCGAATAGATGCTTTTGCCATATTATACCTTCAAAGACCTGATTTGTTAGTTAGGATTTTATATAAATATTATGTTAGCATTTCTTTCGTAAGTGAATATTTTTTGTTCCGTCATAAAAGCATTTAGAAAAATTGTGTGAATATATTTTTCAAAGAAAAGCTCCAACTATTGTTTTATTTAAATTAAAAAACACAAAAACAGGTTGGGGTACCTCAGTACCCCACGCGAGTACCTACGTGATTTTCCCCGCGCGAGTACTGGAAGGTTAAGTAAATCTCAAAATTACCTCTTGTGACCCCCTGTTATAACATTAATTTATAATATTAGTTGTTTACCTGCCAGTACTGAATGGGTGAATCGTGTAAGGATAATACTTAAGCTGTCGTTTTCGTTCTTTTGAAATAGCTCCAAAACTTCTTAAATGGTGTGTATAAAATTTGCTAATTTCGGAAACCACCTTCAGTCGTACAAAAAATCGTCTGATTTTCGCCCATTTCGATGTTCCTGGGATGAACTGTACGTCATAATCTTCGGCTATGTCTTCTAGAGTACAATCGTGTCCGTGATTCGCAAACTATAAAAATATCGAAAATACGAAGAACGGATAGTGAAAAATAAGTATATAATATAGTCTAAACTAGCTATGTGATATCAATTAAGGCTAAGAACCGTCAACTATAAAAAAATCCAACTTCATTCTGCGGCTGCCTTATTGTTACTTTTTTGCTAACTGCATAAGTAATGCTGGAAAACACATACCATTTTTTGAACCCCCGTTTTGGGTTCAGTGACCTTCGATTTCGATCTCTTTACCATGGTGACGATTATGTGGATATATTTAAAAATGTAAAGAATTTAAGGAATTAATCATATAACTTAAAACCTTTGATCCGAGTATTCAAAATTTGAATCCTTGACAGCTTTGTCATGCGCACATATATGACAGAAAGTAAACGTGTTTCTATGGTTTTATGCTTACAAAAATGAAACGAAGAATGACCACCAGGTGCTTGTTGTGAGTGCTACAATTAAAATTACTCTTGACGGTTTTTAGTTACCTTGTAGCTTGTAGATTTCAGCGTAGCCATATAGGTCCGAGTAAAGATAACATGGCCACGCAAGACAACTGTTGAAATTTATTCTACTAGACTCTAGAAGACTATTTGTAGCGAAATGTTTGCCGAAATCGTTGTACCACAATTAAAAAAATGCAAATGAAACTTGGAAAATTGCCGCTTTGACGATCTAAATGACTCCGTCGGTACCCAGGGATAGACATCCGTCTTGACAGATAACCCTTGTCATTCTGGCCACCTGGATTGTGGCGTTGCCTGCTCATCGCACGATTTTGCTACCTCTGTTATTTTGATAGAATGTCATAAATAAAGAAGTTTTAAAATAAATAATGAGGAATACCAATGAAGATATATAAAATTTGCGATGTAGCAATGTTTGCCAAAAAACCAAACAAAAGCTGTTATTTACATTTTGCGTCGCCTGGCGTCCATACGGTTGAACGTTAATGTCTCTGAACATTTTTCAAATGCCTACTTTTATAGGATAAAATACTTTTTGAATACGGGACTTTTTTCAACAATTGGAAAACACAATATTTTATTGTATAAATATATTTATTAACTATTTGATCTAAAATTACATGATCTTAATAGAAGTACAATTTTCATTTTCCTCTATTATTTATTAGTATCTGTCTTATACACAGAGATATTAGGCATTCCTTTTGAGGAAGCTAAAAATGGACAGCTTGATAACTTGAATCCAATTTATAACTCGTCGATTATGTGGAATTACAGGCAGACGCATTTTGGACGCATCACATCGCTACTCTTGTTGGACATTTGGTGCCCACGCATCATCCAACAACCAAGGCAAGACCTTGTATTTTCCTGAACACCGGGCTGAGATTCCAGGTAAAACGCCAGAGAATCAACGCTTGATGTTTTGCACCATATTTAGTAAACATGTCAAAGCATAATACTGTCAATTATAGTCTATCACCAATTCCTTGGACTAAAAATAGTAATTTGTTAAAAAATAGAAAAAATGACGTTTATTTATAACTTAAAAGTCGTACTTTTTTAAATGTTGTGCACTTCGGGCACATTTAGCTGGAGCTGGAAAGGGGCGTGGCTGTACTAACCAGGCGTACCGTATAGTCACAGCGAGGTACAGCACTCACACGCTTCAGTCTCTCGACAACCGTCGGCGCAGCGGCATGTCTACGCGTTCACAGCTCCGTGCAGAGCTCTATTCTGTTTTTTTAGTAGTGGTGTTCACTATAGGGTTCGCGATTGTGTCTCAGTGGTGCTTTAGTGCTTTGACGTGGGTGTCAAGTGCCTCCAAAGTCGAAATTAGGTCTACTTCCAACTCTTCTGAGAGAAACAGGATACATGTGCAGCAATCTAGGTGAGCCTTGCATACTCATCTACTTGTGTGTTAGGGTTGACATTCTAATTTTTTTTAAATAAATTGCGCACATTGCATACACTGAGAGATTATTCATATACTGAGGTATTTGAGAAAAACTAAAATTTGGCCAAATCGATTTTAGTTTTGTCTGACTTTATTTTAAGAAATGTCAAAAAACTAATGGCACTACATGATGGTGTTTTTAAATGTTGTGCCCGACGTGTACAACATTTAAAAACAGGACGGCACACTATGTGGCGAATTGCCATGTGTCCAACGCTATAAGGCATTCGCCACATCTTGTGGGAGCGGTTTAATTGCGCTAAATTTCATTCAAAAATAGAAACATTTCATTCTAGTTCACAAGTTCCTCTGTGGTTCACTAGTGCTTCTTACTTGTCGTTCCATATCTGCTATTGGCAACAAACGTCATAACAAAAATGTATTTGTTTTCTTAAATAGAACTTCATTTATAATCAAAGATTTAACAGATTCAAACACTTTAGATTTAGGATAAGATAATATATAAATATCAGGATGACGTCTGTGTTTGATCAGTTCGAGCAAGATTCCATGAGAACCAAAAACAATAATTTAAATCCTGCTGAAATGGTAACTTCTAATGAGAGTATCCCTACCCTAGCCCCTAGTTAATTACACTTGCGTTGCAGACTTCTTTGGGGTTCATCAATATGACACTAGAACAGGATACACCAATTTTCACCAAAAGCAAAAAAGATTTTAAACCATCCGATAAAATTACCCATGCTGCAATAGCTAACAAACATCTAGTTTTAGCACTTGCAAATGGTACGCTTTTCAGAATGAACTTGCAAAATCAACAGCACTCTGGTAATTCTATGTTATCAACTAAGATAAAAATCTAACTCTTGCTATTTGCAGAAATATCACTAACAAAGTATACAATGTCTTGTAAGCTTACAAATCTTTTCCTGGATCCTACTGGCAACCATCTACTGATAAGTCTTTCTCCAAGAAATCAAGAAGGTGGTCCAGAGTTGCTTTATCTATCTAAAAAGTCTGATAAGTTGAGAACAACTACCAAGTTCAGAGGCAGTGAATTCACAGAAGTAGGGTGGAATAATATAAATGAATCTGAAAGCACTACAGGCCCAATATTGTTAGGTATACACATGTTTTAGAAATTTTTTCAGTTTGTTATATCATAATAATTATCATCATTGTAGGTACAACAAAGGGTTTGATATTCGAGACAGAAATTGTGTTGGAAGGTGATAAGTTTTTCACTTCAAGTTTTTCTTCTAGTCTAGAACAGTATTGGAGACAAGTAAGTGTACATTTGTTGTTTATGGAACAATTTAATAAATTTACTTTTTTTACAAGCTGCCAAATTATTTACCTTTATATGGAAATAAGGAAGCTGATGGCTTGGTAATATATGTCAAACGAGACATTATTTGTGCTATTCATGTGTTTATCTTTAATAACTCATCAATAAAAAAAATTGTATTTGTGGTTCACTTCTTAAAATTTGTTAATATCCCATACATATTCTGGCTTGAGAAGTGTAGCATAAACATATAAATAAAATATAAATGTCTAAAATTGATGGGAGAAGTAATGACAGAATCTACGTTGCAGGTTTTTGATATAGGAAAAGGTACAAATACTCCCATAACAGGTTTGGCATACTATAAAATACTAGGAACTGATAGATACACTATTTTTGCTGCCACTCCTTCACGTTTGTATTTGTTCACTGGTAAAGCAAACTTCGAGGAAAAGCCTGTACTTCAACAGATTTTTAACAAATATTTGAATATTCCTGAACCAGAAACATATATCCAATGTGAGAGTAATTTAAAATATTCAAGATTGCAGTTTTGGTCTGAAAATCTGATAACACCAAACTCATTTGCTTGGATCACACAACAAGGAATAACTTTTGGACAAGTAAGATATCAACTACTACAAGATCTTATAATTAGCTGCAATCGTGAGTTATATGTGGCAATTAGCTATAATTGTCAGCTACAATTTATAATTAGCTATAACTGTTAATTACAAGTAGCAATTAGCTATAATAATTGTCAGTTAAAAGTGGCAGTAAGATATAATAGTTAGTTACAATTTGAGATTAGTTATAATTGAATAATATATTATTGAAGACCCAAGTGGATAAAGGTGTCGTGTAACAGTTTTTTTAAATTTGCTTTTACCTTAAGGAGTAATTCTTTCATTCTGTGACTACTTTGTTGCAAACACAAGATAATAACAAACTAATAACCAATAAAAAATGTTTAAAGTCAATTTTCTCCATACAATGATTTTGTTAAATGATACCTTTATCCACTTGTGTCTTCAAATATAGCTGTCATTTGTATCTAGCAATTGTAGTTAATTGTGAGTTACATTTCATTGTGATTTCTTTCTAACATTTTTGATGGTTCTCATCATGCCTATAATTTTTCAGCTAGAAAAAAATACTGATTTCCATCTTTTTAGGTTGATTTGTCACTGGATGACATAAATTCCATAAAATCTAAATTGAAAACTATAGGATACCCCAAACATCCATATGAAGATGAAAAGTCTGTATGTCAAAAATATCCTCTATCAATTGCTTTGACACAATTCCATATTTTGTTAGCGTATTCAGATAGTGTAAAAGGTATATGCCTCTTAAATCCAGAAGTTGTTTATGACGATAATTACAATGAAGCATTTGGTAATGGACGATTGATCAACATTGTCAAAGATGCAAGAACAGGTATATGCTTTTTGCAATTTTCACACTTGAAATTATTGGCACTCTTAAAATCATTATTTCTGATTATGTTGATCTTTTAAAAAGTTTTAACAACAATGAATGTTTAACATCTGAAACTTGTGATTATGGACTTTGGAATGTAACTTCATTTAATGGACAGATTCATTATTTCAAATATATCAAAAAGGATAAAATACTAGATAAAATACTTCTATAGAGTTTTACATAATCTCCATTTTTTATGCTGTTCAACCATTTTGTTTACAGCAAATGAAAACATATTTTCATTTTACAAATTCTACAAAATAAAGCTGTGAGAATCATTTTAAATAAAAATAAATATGCTAAGATTAAGTTTATTTTAAAAGAACTACATTTTTATTTTCAAATCAAAATATATTTCTTGCAACCACATTTAGAAAACTTCACAAAATTAATTAGTCATTATCATAACTCTGTAATTAGAGGCATTATAGGTTTTTGTCTACAAAATTGTAATAATAACATAACTAGCAAATTTATATTTCAAAAAAGAGTATTTGAATTTAATAAATTGAATAATAATATTAATAGAGTTCAGATTTAAAAATGTTTAAGGTTAAATTAAGAAAAAAAAAACACTTTATGAATACCCAAATTGCATAGTGATGTAATTTTAATAGACAAGAAAGTAAAATTTCGGAAAATGTATTCAAAAAATGTGTAAACGAATAAGTATACAAAATTGACATTGTAGCATAATGCTAAATAAATCTTCAACAAACAAACAAACAAAAGTAGGAGATGAAACTTTGAGGTGTAGTTGAAGTAAATGACCCTATGTTCTGAATCATTCTACTCAGTTAAAGTTTATTTCAAATGTTTGTCATTTATCTTTTTTCTAGAGCAGAAGAAACGTCTTATCAATTTTATTTGTGTTGTTGTTTATGTAACCTTTCTATCAGTCACGTAATTAGTGATCTTTTCTCGGGGAATTTGCTGGTGTTTCAATGTTTGTTAGCGAAATTTGGGCGATATATGTTGGTTCTTTCAAAGTTGATGAATTTAAAGCTATTCTGATTACCGATTTAACCAGTGACGAGATACTCTAATTGCTTGTAACCTATGTTAACATATCTATAGGTGAAATTTGGGCGATAACAGAATACTCCATATTCCGTTTCAAAGTTACTCGCGAAGAACGAAACGTATGGCAGATATTCTGCAATAACGGACAATTCGAACTAGCGAAGAAGTATGCTAGGAGCAACGAAGTCTTCTACAATCATGTACTAATTAAAGAGGCTGAAATGCTGTTCAACAACAAAGAGTACGAAATGAGTGCTCAGCGGTATGCTGAGACGCAGTGCAGCTTTGAAGAGACATGCCTTAAGTTTATTCAAGCTAACCAACCTGATGCACTAAAGGTAACTATTTCCATTTTTATAGGTACACAATATCAATTCTGGTGATCCACAGTGATTCGTTTCACCTTTAAGATAGATAGTTTCTCGGTTTCTAGTATTAATGAACTATTTTTCAAGATGCCCAACCCTATGCTACGAGTATAACGGGTATTTCAAATTCGACTCTCACCATTAGGATTTCAGAAACAGTAAGGGTTACGATCTCACTCATTTATACTGAGTGACAAAAAAGTTAAACACCTACGTATGTTTATTAGAATTCAAGAATTTTTTACAAATCGACTTATCTTGCCATGAACAATAAGTGATAAAATGGTTCGGTTTTTCTGTTGAGTTTTTGAGCTGGCTGCGTGTATTGTTTGGTGAAGATGTATTCAGTTTTCGTACATTTACGGTGTCAGTTAAATGTTATTCAGAAGCCTTTTTGAGATTAAGCAACTAACCTAACGTGGTAAGGCACAGGAAACGTCAAGTTTTGCTCATCCTAATGACATTCGCAGAGCGACGAATCTTGTTCATGAAGTAAGAAATGCTCTCCATGAATTCCGCTCAGAAACGGAAAGCGAGAACAACTCCCGCACATCCACGGCCCTGGGGGCATAGTCTTCAGGACAGAGGACAATGTCGAGGTTTTCGCTGATGCTATGGAACGACAGTTCTCTCCCAACTATGATCTTGATAATGATCTCGACGAGGAGCAACACATTGTAAGATCCTTCAGGAGATATTTTAGGGCCAACGGCGTCAGTGATCCCGGCGCCGCCATTAGTGATTCTTCCTCAGAAGATCCTTTTTCGGAAGATTCTTCAGCTGAAGAGTTGCACAGCACATCAGCGGCGTCTCCCGAGATCCCGCATTGCACACCAGCAGAGCTTCAAGGTCATATTAAAGACCTCAAGGGTAATAAGGCGCTGAAGCTGCTTTCACGGAAGTCCTTGACTTATCTCTTGGCTATTATCGATGCCATGCTAAGAATTCAGTACTTTCCATCGGCGTGGAAGACTGCGGAAGTTATAATGATTCCAAAGAAGGTGGGTTCGATATTTCCCTAGGACTATCGTCCCATCAGCCTACCGTCTGCTCCGTCTAAGCTCGCTGAAAAGGTGATTCTACGTCACCTAGCGAATTTCTCGTCAGATCACCATGTGATTCCTGACGTGCAATTTTTATTTCGGTCTGAGCATAGTACGGAGTTACAGGCGGTTAGGCTTGTGGAGCGAGTAACCAGGGACTTCACCCTTAACGAAAGTACTGGCATCTTGCTTCTGGATGTCTCGAAGGCATTTGACAAGGTCTGGCACAAGGGCCTTATCTATAAACTAATTCAAAAGGGCTTTCAATTTTAGCTCCTAAAACTTTTGAAATCCTTCCTTGAAGGTAGAAAATTTCGGATCAGAATTAATAATTTCTTGTCGACAGTACGGCCCATCAGAGCCGGCGTCCCTCAGGGTTCGGTTCTAGGGCCAATCCTTTACTCACTTTTCACGCATGATGTCGTCCCTTGCCCTAGCGACTGTGAAGTCTATCTATATGCTGATGACACTGCACTGGTGGCCCAGTCGCGTACCGGGAATCTGGTTCACGACAGGTTACAAAGTGCGGTGGATGAGGTATTGGAAACTCGAAAACGCAGGCTATCTATTGTACTAAAACACGTAGCGGCGCCCCGCCTGAGGTTTCAGTGAATGGAGCTCGCATACCATGGGGAAATTCTGCTAAGTATCTCGGTGTCACTCTTGACAGAGGGATGACCTGGCAGACTCATCGAACCGTTAAAAACTAAATTCCAAATTACGTTTCGGCAACTCTATCCTTTACTATTTAGAACCTCAAAATTAAGTTTGGTTAACAAAGTTCGGCTATACAAGATGGTTATCAGACCCAGCAATCACTTACGCATGTGCAGCATGGTGTTTTCTTGCCAAAACGCATATGCGTAATCTGCAGAACAGAACCTTGCGAACCATCACTAATGCACCATGGTATGTATCAAACGAGACCCTTCACAGAGACCTCGATATCCCTTACCTAAGGGACTACATCAAACATCAGGCGCAGTTACGTTATAGTCAAGCGGAATCGCACAGCAACCCTCTGTTGCGTGAGTCAGTAGACTACACAGTCGAGCAAGTTCGCAAGCAAGCGGCTCGCACTGTGATCAAAATCAAATCGTACAATTCTAGATCCAATCAAAATTACGATTTTTGCCACACAGAAATTCCTAAATTAATTTTTGGATTAATTTAAAATAACCGAAATCCAGTTAACAATAGCACTCAGTATATATAGCATTAATGGTACTCTGAATCTATAGTCTATACGACTTCTCTTACAGGTATTCTTGAGGAGCAAACTTGATACCTTAAAACCGCAAGACAAAACTCAGATCACAATGATAGTAATTTGGGTAGTTGAGTTGTACCTAACAAAATTGGAAGAAATGAAATTACAAGGGCTAGAACAAACTGCGGCTTACCTGGAGATCCAACGAGAGTTCGAAACGTTCATCGCCCTTGAAGAAGTGTCAGACTGTATAAAAAATAACAGAAGCACTATTTACCAATTGATGTCTAGTCATGGGGATAAAAGTAACTTAATTAAACTTACGATTATCAACAAAGATTTTGAACAAGTATGATTTTCGTCACACCAGTTTTTCTTAATATTCATCATACAAATTTCTAGCTGATTCGTCAACACATCTTCAAAAACAATTTCCATGAAGCTCTGGAAGTCCTAAAGAGCCAAAATAACTATGAGTTGTATTATCAGTTTGCGCCGATTTTGATTCAAGAAGTTCCGAAATACGCTGTCAAGATCATAATAGATCAGGGCAGGAAACTTTCACCGCTCAAACTTCTGCCAGCATTGGCCACTTGCAATGGTGAGATGCATTCTCTAGAGGTGATTAGGTATCTAGAGTTCTGCATAGACACAATGAAAAATACTGATAAGGCTATACACAACTTTTTGTTGTCCCTCTATGCCCAATATGACAGCTTCAAGTTGATGGATTATCTGAAGTCGCAAGGACAAGAAATTAGTATGGTAAGTTGCATTATCAAAGGCCATGTTTACACCACAGGTATCCAAGCACTTAGATAGCCTCAGATCACCACAACTTGTGAATCACCCTGTATAGGCACTTAAATACTTGGACGTCATAAGTTTTTGACGATCATATACGAATTCAGCGCCATACCTGTATATCACTTACTTGTAACAATATCTGTCAAGAATGTAAATTTATCTTGTCGTATTCCTTTAGGTTTTTTATCAGAGTTTTAGAAAAGCCCTGTTTATGTCATTTGATTTCAAGAAAAACTAATTTTTTTGCTAGGTTTTACGAGGGGTCCCATTTCCTATGTTAAATCTCAAATGCGGTCCTACGACTTCATGATTTAACCAAATAAAATTTTAACAGGTGAACTATGACGTGCATTTTGCACTGAGATTATGTCATGAGAAGCAATTAACTGAGGCCTGCGTGCAACTCTCTGGTCTACTTGGATTATGGGAATCTGGTGTAGATCTGGCGATAACTGTGGATCTGGAGCTAGCTAAGAAAATGGCGAATATGTCGCCAGAAAGTGATCTTGAATTAAGAAAGAAGTTATGGTTGAAAATAGGTATGAATCAATATTTTGTGCTGGGATAATGGTTTTTGAATTAATTGAATTTGTTACAGCGCAACACGTTGTGAGTAAGAAAAACGATATAAAACAGGCAATGGAGTTTTTGAAGCAATGTGATTTGATTAAAATAGAGGATATTTTACCATTTTTCCCTGACTTTGTCACCATTGATCATTTCAAGGAAGCTATTTGTAATTCACTCAAGGTAAGTCTTATCGAGTATTTCGTATGTAGTTTTCAGCGCCAGAACCGTTGTTAAAGCAATTCTCCTTATCTTGATAACATCCTTTGTAATCTTTCTGTAGGAATACAACCAGAATATACAGAATTTAAAAGAAGAAATGGAAGAAGCCACAAAGTCTGCAGAACAAGTCCGGGAACAAATTCAGTCGTTCAGAAATCATTACACAATAATACAAAGCACGGATATTTGTGAAATTTGTGATGTAACCTTGGTGATCAAGCCATTCTATATATTTCCCTGTCATCATAAATTTCACAGTGATTGTCTCCTGAACGAGCTGTCGCCAACTTTAGGTATGTTTTTTGTTGTATTGAAGGAGCAACGAAATTGAAATATCGGCATATCGAGATTGTTTCAACCGAGTTTGTTTGTTTAAGATTTATTTAGCATGAATGCTACAATTACATTCTTCTAAAAAACTAAACAATTGCATAACATACACATATTTAGAAAAAAAAAACAAAATTTAGTAGTAGACTTTATATCATTATTTAGTTTATTAAATTCAAGTAATCCTTTCTGAAATATTGATTTGCTAGTTATATTACTATTGCAATTTTGTAAATGAAAATTTATATTTCCTCTTGTATAATAATTGTGGTAATGATTATTCGATTCTATGTAGTGTTCTAAATGTTCTGGTAAAAGATGATTTTGGTTAACGTATCTCTAAGGATGTCCAACCCTATACTGAATTTGATCGTTCACAGTCGATTTCCTCATCTATGCGTGCTATTTGTGTCGCGCAATTTGCATGTGCAATCGTACATTTATTATCGGAGGATTTCTAGATCATATAATGTCATAAAAAATACCATACAATGTAAAAAACGGACATAAGGTCACTTTTAAAGTTACGTAATACCCCAGCCCGATTTCAGCTCATAAACTTAACCCGTACAAAAAATATGCGATAAGAAATGTCGGACTAATGCCACATTAAAAAGCAGGTCCATGGCGCGCGGCACAAATCGCTTGCGTAAACGAGCTCTTTGAAGTAAAAAATCAGGGTCAGGTTTGTTGACTGCACTTCATACGCAATGCCGTCAGTTCATAAAGGTCAAGTTCCTGTCAAGCTTAAATGTTATTTGAGCTCAAGGCCACGTTCGGACAAAAGTCCCTCATTTTTCCATTTCCAGTATGAGAGGTTTCCTTTGGAAATGTTGACTTAACCTTCAAGGTTATGGTCAAGGTTTCGGATTCCCAAAACGTCACAACTGTGATTTCGAACATTTTTGTATCGATTTTACGTTGAAATGGCCCTGAACGTGCCTAGATCATATAATGTCATGGCCATGTCCAAGGGGATTTGCAATAACCGAATCACTTACTCGACAGACATTTTCTTCGGTTGATATAGTAGGTGTGGGACTAGGAATGGGTTGACTAAGAGTAGAGCCTGTCTCACGGAACCTCCCAATCCACTTTTTCAATAGGTTCTTACTTGGGGCATGTCTTGGTCGGCAAATGTATTGTGTACAAAATTTTCGAAGGGCAGCTGCGTATGAATCACCACTCTTAAAGTAAGCCTCGAAAGCAAAAGCACGTTGCGCTCCGGTCCAACGTTCCATTGTGACTATTTAAACCGCACGCCGAACGCGTCGATCAAGACTTCCTCGCGTATACTGTTGTCGCGTGATTCAAATTTAAAATGTGAACTTTCCCATTAGAAACGAGCAGTTTTTGCCCCTGGAAACGACTATTTGTTAATTTTTACTTGTTTTTTTTTCGTAGGACCAGCAAAAAGAAATAGGTTATCAGAGTTGGAGAGACAATTGAAAGTAGTGAGTAACCAAACAAACACTGACAGTATTAGCACAGCTTCTACAGGAATGTCAATGAAAGACTCATTGAAGTCTGAAATTGACAATATTTTAGCATCTGAATGTCTGTATTGCGGTGAGAATATGATCAGAAATATAGACAAGCCTTTCATAGAGGATCACGAGTATGAATTTATTATGAAACAGTGGGAATAAAACTACAAAGTATTTATATGCTCTTTTATTTTTACAGACTCAACAGGAAATAAACAATAAAATTGTTTATTTTATCAAACAATTGAGTACAAAACTTAAATATATACAGTCATAAATACAGTAGGCAATTTTTAACGGCAACAATTTTTTAAAGAAGGGTAAAATAGAATATAAATAGTTTGAATTTCTTAAACTACACCAAATATACATAATTCTACACAATAAATAAAATAAAGCACCGATAATACACAAGATTACATTATTTTCAAATTTACTTGCAAAGTTAACACTGAAAATACACATTGAAAAATAATGTAACACCTGAAACTTATCCTGTGAAAATTGTACTTCACAAAAATATACTTGAAAATAGGATTAAAAACGAGAATCACATCACAAGAATGAAGTCTAAAATTAATCTATAATAATGTTTGTATATACAAAATGGACATTATTTTCATTGGTGTTAACGTTTTTATTATAATAGCTACTTTCAACATAGATCGTTACCTCTCTAAGCTAGTCATTAAATAAAACTATACAGATTTAAAACTGGTATTGAAATATACACTTTCATTATTATTGGACTATTATAATTCCACACAGAGTAAAACCAAACAAATAAAAGTACAATGGGTAAATTGTGTAAAAGTCCAGTACTGATGAACATTACATTGTCACGTATACAGGATGTTCCAGAAAAACGTTGCAATATTTCTAGGGCATAAAGTGAATCAAAAAAATTACACGAAAAGTGCAAATAAGCATAGGTCTTAAATGCCCCTTATCGAGATACAGGATGTTGAAATTGTTTTGAATAAAGTAATGAATTTTTAACTTTTTTATATACTATTATGACCTAAGTTTTACTTGGAATATTCAAAAATTATTAAATGAATCCAGGTATTAAAAATATTAAATTTAAGTACTTTTTTCTTTGATTTATTTGAATACAATTTAAAATAGAGTATTCAGGATTCGTATTAGAATACCAAATTTCAGTATTCTACCCTAGAAATATTGCCACGTTTTTTTAAACACCCCGTATATATAGCAACTACTTAAAACGAGTATCCTGCGAACGACTACACAGCGTCAGTTACGCGCCACAATTACCCGTGGCAGCTTCTCGCAGTGTACGCAGCACTCTCAAAGTCAGACATTTGTCCGAAAATTCAACCTAATTTTTGGATCGCCCAGTTGTGTAGTATTTTACAAGCTTATGGTTACAGCGTAAACATGGCCAATATCGAATCGCAAGTTTGACGTTATGAATTAGTGACGACAGATATTTTACGAACTGTGATTTAGTAACTGACATTTCTTAGTGCCGTATCGTAAGTCGTTCCTACAATCGTGGCCTCATTGATCTTCATAGTTTTCCTGTCCTTCAGATGTGCAGGGCTTTTTCTAAATTCCTACTGTTCCGTGTCAGCGCTCTATTTTGAGGTTATGTTACAAATATCTGCATCAAATTGTTGCATCTGTTTTATCAGCCTGAAATTTCCTATTTCACGAGTATCCATCACGGTGGAAGGACAGCTGATTATCTAGTCATATCTCAGAATTCCCCATATCGGCACAGGACACATAATTCTGACGGATCCGTCAACGTCAGGTAGTCTGGGCGGTATTTTGTTTTGGTTTTTTGTACGCTACAGACACATTTTGTACTTGCAAATAGCTGTTTTATTCAGAAAAGTTTATTTGCATACAAAAAACAAAACGCTACAAACAAATTTTACTAGATTTACACCCGATTCACTATTGCCAACGTCGCAGACTAACAATAAAATGTCACTTGCTGATCAGCTGCTCACCTCAGTAGACGCCAAAGCGTGATGGATACTGGTGAAATAGGGTAAATGATTAAAAAAAACAACCTTACAATATGACACCGCTGACGCTGACACGGGACAGTAGAAATCTTGAAATTTCTGAAGGAGCCCAGACTATGAAAATCAAGGAGGTCATAAGGGCGTCCTGCAATTGTGGAAACGACCTAAATCACGAATCAGGACTGTTACCAAATCTAATAAATCAGGACTACCACATGATCTGCATGCAATGTCTTGCCATAGGTTTTGGTAATTCCAGCCATGCGATTTTATCGCGGTATTTTGCTCTGAATAATAGTAAATCAGTATACCCATAACCTCTCCTTTTCATCTTATAGATTACTATGGTCTCGTGACGATTCAGTAAGCTGCCCAAATTACAAATTACTCTCAATAAGCACATGTATCAATTATGCACCCTGCTCTAGCTTCACTAAAAATACCATTTTCTGAACGTCACAAACACAAAACTTTTTAACAAATATCGAGCAATATTATAAATAATTATGTATTTACATCTCACTGCACCTGCATCGGTTACGGCGCGATTCGTTTCCTAAAATGATACCGCGGAACTCGCCCATCGTTATTCAAAAGTCGTGATCACGTCACGCTTTAAATCACTGATATCGGAAAGTAACGGTATCAAATATCACAGATATCAAAAAATAACGATATCGGCCATCTCTATTACGAATCGAGTGCAGTAAACAAGACGTGGACACGGAAATATTTGAAATATATTTTGTTCTATTTATGCTTTCAATTTCACACCTCTCATAACTATGAATTATGCTGGATAATATCTAGAATCTGTGGAGACTTTGATCGATTAGGTGGAAACAAAATTAGCAGGCCTTTCCTACATATTTTGCTTCAGGGCGGTGGTTCAGGGCATATACCCTACCGTCACGATTAGCAGAGTGGGTAAATGAGTTATGTCAGATTTCATTTATCTTTCTATAAATGTATTCGATTTTTACTATGTTTTCGCTGTCCTGCCATGTCCGAAATTTGTCGAGACGTTCATTGGGCTCAATTATGAACTAGCAGAAACTAAAAAAGTATGATTTCACTGTTGATTTGTTGTAAATGCACTTATGCCATTATTAGCCATTTCATCCATAATTTCTGCTACATACGAAGCTACGTCCACCTCTTCTTTTTGCGCCCTCGATATGAACGGATCTTGAAGCAGCTGTTTGTACTTCGGCCTCTGGGTTTCTTGCTTTATCAAACTAAACAGTCATTCATATGCAACATGTTACCAAAAATACCATAAACGTCGAGTAGTATATAGTGTAAATTGCAACAATGATACGAGGGTCACATATAAAAAAGGTGTTTCTTGAGGATCGAGTGTCGTTTGCGGAATGGTATGTCGTTCGATTTTAAACAAACAATAATGCTTTTGATTTTTAGTTAATTAGAAAAACCTGTGATGACACCTGTTAACAGTTTACTACTGTGAAATGCAAATATTAAATCCTCCCATGAACACTTTTTAAGGAAGACATAGGAGATCATTCCTCAAACGGCTATCAATGTCTATAAATGCACTCCGCAGGGGTATGATGTAAAAAAACCTATAAAACGTCAAAAAACCGACTAAATGTCATCTTGCAGACTAGGCAGTTTTTGGTGTGCAAATAGTTCATTCCACGTTTGCTCGCTATGATAGCTGTTCGCTGACGTTTAGGCAACACGTACAACTACAAAACGAGTTCACAACAAGTGTACAACAGTTTGTGCTAAGTTAACATCTTGTAGAAAAACCTACGTTATGCCACAAAAAACCTGCGAAATGTCAAAAAAAAACGACAAAATGTCACCTTTCAAGATACGTAATACCCGTGCCGACACCGCCAGACTAGCGGCGAGACTTGATTCCAGTGTAAACGACTACCTACGTAGTCGCGGGGCAAAAATACGACATCGTGGTACGCTTTCGATTTCCTTTTCATAACTATTCGCTTGAGTGAGGAGTGAAAAGTGAACCAACGAGGATCGTGACTGTTCACACGGTTACGATCCAGTTTGCTCCTCGAAGCCGACCATAAAGGAACTTCTGGTTGAAAGTTATGCAGTTTTGAGTTTATTTTTAGTGGCATGTTAGCAGAGAGGTCAGGAAGTCACGTGAAAAGCTAAAAAAATTGAAAAAAGCGTTACCATATACCTCGCTGCCGACTAGCGTTTCCACGCCTGAAAATTAAACGTGTGCAAGCTTAAAAAACGAGTCCATCGTATCCTCAGCAATAGGATTGCTGACCCGGTGGTCATTTGCAATCTTTTTCAGTATAACTGCGCAGCTAACAGACAGAAAACGAATACCTGCAGTCGCCGATAGTATCGTGACCAATGATTGGCAGGGTGTTCCTTAATGATATACGAATATTTAAGGGTGTGAATCTACATGAAAAATTAATGTTAGTTTGCTGTATAAACTATGTTCCAAACATGTTTCCTTACAAAACTCGGGGTGTTGAAGTTTTAGGAAAAAATGGAGTTTAATTAATATTTTCAGAACCGCTTCAGATATTTCAGATATTTAGTATGTAGTGAAAATTAATGAACATGCATATCTTTCCATGCAAAAATAATTTTTAGCTTCAACAGTGGCGTGCGTACGGGTATTGACTTCAATACTTTTTCAGAAAAATGGTACGCCAATGTTTTTTTGCCAAATAAAAATTATTTTTGAATTCCCCATTTAATTTAAAACAAATGATCTTTCTTGGGTTGCTTTCCTTCGATGCGACATTTTTGAGTAAAAATATCTGAAGCGGTTCTGAAAATATTAATTTCCATTTTTTCCCTAAAACTTCAACACCCCGAGTTTTTGTAAGGAAACATTAATTTTTCATGTAGATTCACATCCTTAAATATTCGCATATCATTAAGGAACACCCTGTATATGGTGCACATTTGAATAGTTGCCACTCAAAGAAATCCTATTCGGATTGCCAATGGTGCGATGTGTGCCATTCGTCCGATATAGATCAGTGGACCAGCTTCTATTTGATAACATACATATAGTCGAAATCACTAAAGATGACGATTACGTCATCATTTTAGTCTGTAGTAAAGACAAACGACAGCGATTTGTGAATATTTTTACTGAAGTTTCAGATATGTTAGACAGAGATAAACATAATTTTATTGTCTAAACAAACTGTATTGGTAATTTGCATGTATCCGACAAAGATAGACGATGTTTTCATGTTGCATGACCGATCATATTTGAAAGATTAACAGTTAGGTTATGTTAAAGCAGGTTAGGTTGTTTTTGAGTAATATTTTGGTCTTTGGTGTTCCTGTCTTGATGTAACTGTAGTTTTTTTTTCAAAACAAAAACTCCTCACTAAAATTATTATCAAGGTATCACTCAAAACCATGAAATAAAATGAAAATAAAAATAATCTGTGAAATAACCTAATTACGCAAAATTATAATATAAGTTTGTTGTTATTATGTTCCGGACATCGTGATTTTATCATAGACCTACGTCTATTGATTACTTCAGTACAATTTATGGTACGACGTAAGAGTCATCTTTCGTGATTTTGACTATACATAGTATTTTTAAATGCATTTAATGTGGAAAGTTTGATGCATCCCAGTAAGTAGTTTGTGATTTTGGTGCCATTACTCAATGACTTAGCCTGGATATTTTATACTGCCCACGTATCATCTAGAGACCCGAGAATCTAATTATGGATCGTTTTACATGTAGGAACGCATCGGAATTGTGAAAATGTAACAGGAAAGTTACCGTATAATTTTTTTATGATCGATGATGTATTGAAAGATGCTCATGGAGAGCATTACCACCAATATGGACTTCAGTATTTGTGCAATTTTATTAACATATATGTTGTAATATGAGCAATAAGTCAATATGGAAGGAGAAATCTTACTTACCAAGTATTTACAAAATGAACAAATTCAGCAGTGAAAGTGTTCGCATTATGGTTGGTGGTTAGTCTCGGTGGTTCTCCATTCACGACTTCATCCAGCTGGTCAAAAACACTTGACCACCGCTTATAGGGGAAATGTCCAGTAGCAACCTCCATCAATGTTATGCCCAATGACCAAACGTCACTTCTCACGTCGTAACCTTTGGCAGGCTGAGGATCTATTCTTTCAGGCTAAAATAAGCCAAGTCAAGTGAATGCTGATTGTCAGATATGGTTTCGAGGTTTTTGATCATTCTACACACAATTTCACTACTTTTTGATGACGATTTTCGAATTCAGTGGCTCAAATTATATGAACCAACCAAGTTTCATTCACTTGTGACAACAGCTGGCAGAAAATGTAGTTGAAAAACAAAATTATAAAATTTACGAGATACAAAATAATTCAATGAAAGAAAAGTTTTACTTACTGCCATGTAAGGTCTACATCCAGCATCCTTAGTCCTGGCAATAGAATCTACCAGTTGACCAGAAATGCCAAAATCACAAAGTTTAATGTTTCCTCCTTTGTCCAGAAGAATATTGCTTGGTTTCACGTCTCTATGTATTATTTTCAATTCTTCTTTGAGATAATTCAGAGCATTCACGGTAGCTAGGGCTACTTTACCTAATATTGGTTCAGGTATTCGTTTCTTTAATTTCTCATAAATGAATTTGTAAAACTTGTCTAAGGATATGTCCATCAACTCCATACATATCCAACAGTCACCCTGAAATAAAATCACATACATTTACCCCATACAGAAAAAAGTCAAGTATGAACATGTACAGGGAAAACCAAATTGGTCTGATGGCTTGAGTTCAATGTGTTCGAGAGAGAAGCGCGAGAAGTGTGTAACAACACATGTTAGAAAGAGATAGAAGCAGACTGAAGAGTGAAGGTCATCACCACATTGCCTAGGAATGGTGACGCAGAAGGTCGTGTAATCTGCGTCGTTGTCAATATTTTACACCATAAAATGTTCGCACAGGCTGCTACAATAGGATAGGTCACTGACATACCCAGCAAGGAAGTCTGTTTGAACATTTAATATAATATTTTGTTTTCATTTTGATTAAAATTATTTATTTCAATTTTGATGCGACTTGAAAATTAACACATCCTGAGTTATCGTTACGTTTTGCGAGAGTGCTGCAGTCGGAAAATGTAACAAATTAGCACTGTCTGAGTGTACGCAGGTGAAACCATTTCGAAGCAGGACGACAGTGTCCTAGGAGTGCTAGATGGGTAATGGTCAAAATCGCTCAACTATGATCATGGAGGTGGAAACCTTGCCTTGGAATGTACAGAATGCTGTGTTATCAAACGAACCAATGATGCAATGTTGCAGAATTTGGGGCGATCCTGACCATTCATTTCGACCTAAAATGGAGCGCCGTTAGGACCGATCGGGAATCAATCCTAAGCAGATTCGACACAATTCACAATTCAAAAATGTGTACGCTCAAAATAAAACCATTATTTAACCATTCATTCAATATGCATCTTAATTCAAGGAACTAGTGTAACATATTGGCAACACGGCATATTGCCGCGTCAGCGTTGCTAGGCAACCCAGTGACGAGCTTCCCTATCCAGGTGGCTTCTATCTCTTTCTAACATATGTGTCTATACTTCTCTCTCGTACACGTTGAACTCAAGCCGACAGACAAATTTGGTGCTCAGTGTATACAATAGGGCCATACAATTGTCCCCAATCCCCGCTCATTTCATAATTTTGCAATTTAGAAATGTCTCTTCTGCCATACTGGCCATATTATAATGTTGCGATCACAGTTGCGATAAGTAAACCTTGCCAGCAGCAACAGCCAGCTGGCAACATGTTTTTTTTATCTTTGTTTCTCGACGCGAACATTGAAAATACTTCATTCTAAGTCTCAAGGGCAAATTTACGTGAAAATCTATGTATGAAATATGTCTAATAGATGTGTCAAATTACTGGGGTCATTCACTGTTTTACTCCTAAAAAAATTTCCAAAAATGTCCTCTGAAACATACAAAACAGTTTGAAGTTTTTGATTTTTTGTTTTTGTGTTAGGCCACAGCTTCACTGTCACTGGATTAAATTTTAAAACCTAGACAGTTTTGTCGTTCTTGGCACGGTAGTAATTTTGTCAAAATTTCATCAAAACCCAAGCAGTGCTTTCAGTTACAACCAAAAAAAATGTAAAACCAACTAACCTCTTTGAACAGAGCACCATAAAATTGCACAATGTACTTATTTTCACTACTTTTCATAATTACTTCCAAGTCCATAAGTAACTGTTTCTGTTCTTTTTCATCTACAGTAGATCTGATACGCTTCACAGCTACAACAGTAGATGTTTTCTTATGTATCATTTTGTTGACTGTGCCAAATCCACCGCGACCTATCTCTCCCAAATCTTGTAGATCATCAGATGTGAAATCATAGGTGGCATTGCCAATTTGCAGTTTGCCAACTGATGTGATTGATGGTGTTTTTAACTTACTGTCCCTGTAAACGCAACATCTGATCAACAAATTGATATTTGAACAAATTGTGAAGATCCCTTCTCAGGGCAACTCTTTGACGTGGCACTCACTAATTTAATCCAGTGTAGTAGAACACAGTTGATTCACTCTCTCTAAAACCCTAGATACCCCAAGCTGCCTACTTATGTCATTAAAGGATATTAAGATGAGAGAGTGCTTATGATAAGTGCCTTCAAGGAGGCAAAATTTAAATTTCCACATGGATCTACATAAAGACATTACTAACAAAGAGCGTAGTCATAACCATCCATTACAGTGTAGTACCTGGATAGCTGACTGGAGAAAACACAGGTTGATACTATGTGAAAAGCTCATGTTAGACAAATTTGTATGGAATAAACTTACAACCTGCACTGGACCAAGTTGTTAGAAGCAAAAAGTTATACACAGTGAATAAAAAACACAAACATTATCACACACCCCATTACCTTGATTTAGTTCTACTATTTCGTTTTCCACTGAAATAATTATAGAGTATTAATAATTGAGAATATTTACACTATAAATTTACATACTTATAAAAATAATATTGTCATGTCCCATCATTTATTACAGAAACTATGACTTAAGCTTTGTTGCCACTCTATAACAATATGAGAGAAGCTGTACTCTCTGCGATATCACTGAAAGGACATCACAGAAAAATATACATAATTTATTTATAATTGTCCATCCTCAAAGATAATTGGCTATAAGTGTCAGCTATAAGTTGCGATTAGCTATAATAATTGACAGCTACAAATGATAAAATTACTTACACTTGCCAATTATAATACAAGCTATACTGCCATCATAAGCCAGAACGCAGTATGTGCACACAATGAGAAAATGAGATATAGTCATTATACTATGCAAGGCACATAGAAGAATCGTATTTCGATGATGAAACACAGTTTCCAGCATTTTCACGATTATCTTAAATTAAAATACAGTATCTGCAGATCAATAAATTAAACAGCAAATGACCCATAGGTACTGCATTCTTACTTAGAAACCACACAGATACTGTGTTATGATCTATAACCAAAACAGGTACTATTAAAGATACACTTAATCACACAAAATTAATAATATTTTCAATTACTTTTCGCAGATTATTTAGTGTATTTGTTAGGACACTGTAGAACATTTTCATAAGTTTCATATACTAAAGTTATATACATTGAATGTGCGATAAACAACACAGCAGATTACTTACTTTATTAATTAAAGAGACAGCAGTTCAGATAATTCAGAGTAACAGTTTTTGCTTTTTTCATGTATAGATAGGCATCTTTGGTAAAATTAATGACTTTGTACAAACCAAAAGTATTCTTTTTCCTTAAAATGTTACAGTTTAAGAAGGGTTACTGGACGTTCTCATCATTCATGTAAAATGTGAAAATAGCAGATACTACCTTCTAGCTTATGATGGCAGTATAAATGTCTGTTACAAGTTGCAATTAAAGAAACCTGTCAGTCACAAGTTTTATTGTCAGTTTTAAGATACAAATTGCAACTGTCAATTATAGCTAATTGGATAGTAGTAATTCAAAAGTGTCCAACATTTAGGTAATTTCAAATTCCAGTGATTTTGATGTTTATGTACCATTGCCAATAGTATACTAAACAGTCTATGTGCTAGTTAACAATCTGCAGTTCTATATACGTATTTCAAATTTGCCAGCAGTCTGATTACCTACCTATCTATACCTGATATGTTTTTCTTTAATTTCTCGACAAAACCTTTTGCTTTTGAATTACCACTCTTCAATTATAAATTGTAACCAAAAATTTCTGTTAAATGCGATTTGTGACTGACAACTATAGTTATTTCAAACTTGTAAATAACAATTACTGCTAAGTGTAACTTGAAACGCCAATAATAAACAATATTATTTTCTTGTAATGTCCTCTCTCGTTATTTCTTTTCTTTTGGTTTTATATGCTACTTTTCAAATCATAGCAGGTAGCTAGAGCACTACTAGTAGCTAAACTTATACAAATATTATGATTGTATACATACCGAAATACTAGAGGAGGTTCTTTGCTTTTGGCTACAGTAGGTAAGACCATTTTAGGACGGTTTATGACTGCATCTTTCCCAATTATTTCCGCACTCTGTATAGGCAATGGACGAAATTGGAAAGAGGTAGAATTACTAGGTTGAGGGAATTCTATCTTCTTTATTGTGGGCTTACGAGCTACAAATAAACAAAGTTATTACTATGAAAATATTTAATGTTGAAGAGAAGATCTGGACATATTTTGACTAGTCTTTTAATATCTTGTTTTAAAAACTATTAGGAAGCAGTGTAACACCTGCCAAGATCTTAAATAACTAAATGCTAGGAAAGCATATAACTAGTGCATCTCACATCCAAATCTCTATTTGATAAACATGATAACTGCTGTAAGGGTGATAATGGTATCATTCTAAATAATACGTATTTTAAGAACAGATCTAATCCAGATCTGCAAACAAAAACAAACCATGATAATGTTTTATGATCAGTCTAATGATATTTCACCCTAAACACTGGGTCTTGTTAGATTCTAATGCAAGAAAAAATGATTAATTACTTCATAGATCCAAGTAAGCGTAATCTATAAGCTTTACTAAGATGCAGTGGGCATTAGTTCTAGCTATATTGTGCATTTTCAACTCGATAAAAACGCTTAACTTGCCTTGGTTTGACTGATTTCCCGTTGGTTCTGCCATTTTGCCAAGATTTTGCAAAGAAAAATCTATTAGGCAGGACTAAAACACGTGTGTGGATAGGTTTAAAATGTATGCTCAAGTATCACAAAACAAATTCGCAAATTTCCTCCATGTGTTTAGGTTTCCCAAAATTATCGGAATTTGGAAATCCAAACAAGAGGAAAACTCACTGCAGAACTCTGCTGTTCAATTTGACACAGAACGATAAAATCACAAAACATGATAAAATTGTGAATCTTCCATAAGGTGTGAGTGGGGCATAATACAACGAAGTTCACCCAACCGCTATTACGCCGTTGCCAAATCAATAACGTCCAAAAAGTGGGAGATTTTCATGGAAGCCAATCACCATTCAAGAAACTCCTTTTTTCCAACGTATGACGCAGCGTTGCCACATTTACAAAATTTCTGGAAACATCAGAATTTATCAATGACGTTTCTTAATTTTTAAATTAGACAAACCTTAAAAAAGTGATACCCTCATGTCAAGAAATCAATTTTTAAATGCTCCTGGGTATGCAGTCTGGTGAGTGACGGTCGATGTTGGGCTTATTAAATGATTTTTACTGGTGAAATCAGCTTTGCACGTTTATCAAACACATCAAAGCAGAGTGGTCGACGTCGTCTGGCGATTCTTCGTAGTTAACTCCCATGTATCACTGCCTGAACTGCCACCTAACAGTAACTATATATTTCGCACAGGTTTATTTGACATACAAGAAAAACCATATGAGGCTTGAGTTCAATGTGTACGAGAGAGAAGCGCAGGAAGTGTGTATCAATACATGTTAGAAAGAGATAGAAGCCGGCTGAAGAGCGAAGGTCATCACCACATTGCCTAGCAACGGTGACGCAAAAGGTTGTGCAATCTGCCGCGTTGCCAATATGTTACACCAGAAAATGTTCGCACAGGCTTCTACAATAGGTTAGGTAACTGTCAAACATTTGATTTTAATATTTTGTTTTCATTTTGATTAGAATTATTTATTTCAATTTTGATGCGACTTGGGGTCTTATTTTAGAATTACCTTTGAATTTCACCGATGGTGATAAAATCAAATCATCCTGAGTTATTATTACATTTTGCGATACTCCAAATGAGCGCTAAATAGGAACTGACCAAAATCGCTCGTTTGTGATCATGGAGGTGGAAACCTTGCCTTGGAATGTACGAGATGCAGTGTTGCCAAGCGAACCAACGATGCAATGTAGCAGAATTTGTAGCGATCCACAAAATCGATAAAATATCAACTTGTGAACCAGCTAGTTGAAGGGTGACTTTGTATAGGAAAACTTACATAATATCATAAAAAATCAATATAAGTTACGTAATTACGTATTACGTATCTTGAAAAGTGACATTATGTCGATTTTTTATTGACATTGTGTTGGATTTTGTGACATTATGTAGGTTTTTCTACAAGATGTTAACTTAGCACTAGCTGACGATGGACACGTTGTGAACACGTTTTGTAGTTGTACGTGTTGCCTAAATGTCATGAGGCTTCAGTTATCAATGTCTGGCTCTGATGTGATGTAAAATCTGCTTTAGATATGGCATTACTGGAGGTCTAAGCTGAAAGTTGTATACTATAGGTAGAAGGAAACGGCAATGCGAGGTGCATAGTGAGGATTTGTGTGCTAATATTTGTTGATGATAATTCCATTGGATTCTTGTCAAAAATACACTTACTTGAGATTCAAAGCTAGAAATTAGTTGCGCATCCGTTTTTTCTTATCTGTTCTGGAAATTGCAATGCAAATCTGCTGAATTTAAAAAATGAGAGACAAAAAATAATTATACTCACTGCACACTGTCGAATTACAAGTCATATACATACTAACAGTAATTACACACAACGCGGGCGCGGTGGTGATTTCCCGTCATTCTCAAAGTTTTTGAAAACACAAAAAACGTAAAAAACAGTAATTTATAACTTTGGACACAACCTGTTTTCAGAAAGGACAACATATAAATAACCCGTCGGGCACAGCTAATAGATATACTTCATTGACAGCATATTCAGAAATGATTTTCTCACAGCAAATATCACGTATTTTATACACATGCAGAACAATACACATAATCATCCAGATGTGATCTTGCTATTTAACAAATTTTCTTCTCAGAGATGAAAACTACACACTACTGGGTTTCACAAAACATATGCCACCAACAATGCATGTAGTTGAGTCATTCCTCCATAGTTGGACGCTCACAATGATCCTAGTGAGCAAACGCAGAATGACGGTTTACACCCTAAAAACTACCTAGTCTGCAAGATGACATTTTATAACTTTTTTTTTTCGTTTTATAGGTTTTTTACATAATACCCGTGCCGGTGCCGCGGTAGTCAAAACGTCGCGTCGGTGTGATTGACGAATATAGTCTGCTGGACTTGACTTTGATTTTTGCAGCATACTGCTGATCTAATAAATCGTAATTCTGTGAAAAATAAAATAGCACATAAAACTATAAATAATATTTATTAATTCATCTGTGCTCCATATATACAATGTACAATAATAAAATCTCCACTTTACATTTAAATATTAAAATGTCTTAAATTATATTAATATCTTATGTAAAAAACTAAAACAGGTCTGAATATTCAACAATGTATGGCATTGCCCTTTTTTTATTTTCTTTTCAATGATATTGCCCTTTACATATAATATTGAGAATATAATACTAATATTGTAAACATTATAAATTCCGCGATAAAAAGTTTTAGGTTGTTATTCGTTCAAAAGTCCAAAAACTGTTGGAAACTTTATAATAAAAAAAAGGTTTTCACTTAATACATAATACCTACGTAGTGGACATTATCACAGTCAGGTTAAAAAGTATACATAAAAGAATTTTGAAACTCCACTCTTAGGTAAAATGAGCAAAAGTTACAGTCTCCATAATCGAGACTGGTTAACAAGCTGTTTTCTCTAATATTTGTTGATATCTTATGCCAACTGCTAAATGTCAAATAGAATCTGCCTGTTTTCAATGAAGTCAGAGCCAGTGAAATGAAATTCAAAACTTCTTGATCATTTAAAACCTAATGATAACAAAATATAAAGAATAACAAAAATGAAACTACCATTCAAAACCAAAATAAAGTAAATGAAGTATTTCCTCCAAAATGGAACTAAAATATATAACTCATTTGGTGACATAATTTTAAACAAATAACATGAATTTTGTCATTCTGTAATTCTGGCCTGAAATCGGTTAAAACAGTTAGTTCTATATGACACTCATAGCACAGAAGCACAAAAATGTTCCTGCACAAGCAAGTTAAATGTGATATGCTAAAATCATGATTTCTTTGAAGTATCAGGAAATGCGTATATTTCAAGCTCATGTCACATGACCTAATATATTTATAACATTTCACATGCTTGTGCATTTCTGTACCACTAAAAATCGAATATCCAAATGAAAAATAAAAAATGGGCGTCTGCTTTTTACAGCATTCAAACTGAGGATATGCACACTCTAAGCATATTTTTGATAATCTGTGGGAATTCTATAGAATGATTGGAAAACTGTCTAAGTCTATTAAAGCAGAGTATTGGTGTGAAATGGGAAAGTGTTTTAACTAGGGTACTAGAAACCATAAGGTAGAAAGGCACCTTAACAGCTGCTATTTTTACAATGATCATAATGTTGTACAAAAAATAGATATCTACGGACTGAGGCACTTTTTTGAAAACTTACAAACAAAATACAAATACCCGATAAATCTTCCTTTTAGGTAAATTAAAAAATCTACTATTTACTTGAGATATTCTTAGTCACACTATGCTGGTATTTTAGACATTTCTTTGACCACGTACACGTGTATAGTGCTTCCCGGCATACCATGCTTCATCCAGACTTACTGAACCAAATAAAAGTATCGAAAATAACCAAATTTACCAGCATAGGGTTACATATAACCATGGAAACAGAAAGTCTTCAAACCAAACCAAATCATTTACCTTTTTCCGCTATATTCTCACCATTTTTAACCTTATTACAACCATCGTTTTCATCACTTGGGACGTTTAACTCAACGTCAATCTTTTTCACATGATTCACTTCACTGCTCTTGGCATCACACGTGGTATCACTGTTCTCCGTAGTTCTATTTGAATCTGTGGTTTTGCTTGAATCATCAACTTTGCTTACACACTCATTGTTTTTTTCCGAATTCTGTTTTTCGTTTTTGTCTGCATTACAGTTTATTTTTGGTTTAGTGGTATCAGATTCAGTTTTCTGAGTGTCATTTGACACTAGTATGTCATGCTTTTCAGCAGAGTCTGTAGGAGTGTCACTAGTGTCAGTGATGGATTTTGTTTCTTTGCTGCTGACTATTTCTTCAATCTTTTTTTCGACTTCCGTTGCTTCTTTAGCTTTGTTAGCGCTGTTTTTAACTTCTTCCATGGCGAGTGCTTTGTCTGTAGCAGCTTTGTCTTCTATCTGAGGCATTTCTTTTGAATCTTTTATAGGGACTTTGGATTCAACGTCTTTAGTTGGTAATTTCTTGTCATCTGGTTTTGGAATGTTTGTTTTTAGAAGTTCCTGTTTATTGGCAATTTCCTTATGCCTATTCTGCGTCAATTTCTCGACCGCATTTTCAAGACTTTTCTCGTTCTTCGCCTCTTTCGGAGATTTTTTGTAGGTTGATGGCAGTTTTGGAGACTTTGGTGGAAGATTTTCCGTTCGAGAAGTGATGGTGGCGTTAGGTGGGTTCATAATAGTTTTGGGCGAACTCTGAAAAAGATGGTTGCGATTAAATGGTTTTATATGTGCTACACAGGCCGACAAAATAAAAAAGCGATGTGCTGGGGTTCTCACTATGCTTTTCTGCTGAACACAAACTTGAAGTCGGAATTGAGGGTCGATGGACAAATATGAAAGTAATTTAGATATTAAGATTTTGGTAAGATGTGAAGTGCTAATCGGCCCAGTTTGATATAACTTTCATATAAAAATAATCGCTATAGTGCCATCTATCCAGCGAAATAAAAAACGTGACCAGGCTGATTATAAATAAGAGAGAAAATATCATAGTTTTGTGGAGCATCAGTGTTGAATCCTCTTTCTTCTTCTATTACAGTGGCGTAGGTGATCTTAATTTACACAACAACCATGTCAACTAACTGTGTCAAATGTCTTATAGACAAAACACAAATCGGTAGTACGGCGGTTACAGATCACTGCCTCAAACTCTACTCCAGGGGTGCCTCAGGGATCAAATCTAGAGCCCCTATTATTTATGGTGTATATTATTGACCTTTTGCAGATGATTGGAAGATATACAGTGAAATTGAAAATTACAGTGACTGTAGGGAATTGCAGCCCTGAATAGGTTAATAGTGCATTGGCAAACGTAGCAAAATTTAAGCTTTTGAACTCTACTCGGAAGCTTGCTACATTGATCCTGTCAGACACTCAAAGATCTAGGGGTAATATTTGACAGTTAATTGACGATCTCTGACTATATAACTGAAATGGTCTCTTCAACAAAAAAAATACTGGGATACTGTGACAGAAACTGGTGGGGTTTTACCGATGTGAACAGCCTTAAAACAATATGTACATCTTTATTTAGGAGTAAACTGGAATATGCTGCACCGGTTTTGTCGCCAATTTATCACAATGCAGTTTGAGCTATTGAATCTATCCAGCGTAAGACACACAATATGCAAATTCAATTCTTGAATTTTTATATATTGGTTAACCGTCGTCGAATAAATGACATTGCAGTGCTTCAAGTATGGTTAATAACAAACTTGATTGCCCGGAATTATTATCTAAAATCAATTTTGTGGTGCCAAAGAGATCATCTCGCTCGAATGCAACTTTTTACAGCTCTACAGGTAGAACCAACATATCAGACATGTCTCCTGTTAAAAGTATGTGTGACTGCCAGGTATGCAATATCAATAATGATACCATTCAGGTGATTTCAAGTCGTTTCAAACAAACGTATGCCGTGCTTAATCAGTAATGTTCATTTTTGCAAATGGAGCTGGAATTTTTAGATATTTATTTTTTGTATCAATTCATGTTTTAAATGCATTTTGTAAAGAGAATTTCGAACTTGACGTTTATTATTTGGATTGGGTGTAAACCTGTTGGAATAAAGATTATTATTATTATCATCTCCTCAGGGATTCCTGAGAGATGCACATAAAATACAAAAACTTGTAATTCCGTCACTTTTTTGACGATGTGTCAATTGTAGTTGAAGGTCACCGTGGGAAATCAAACGTCGCACAATAATGAGGAACTTTAAACATATGTGCATTGATTTGGCCACACAAATATGGGGTATTATCAACATGAAAATCACAGGATCCTCATATTTTTTTAAATATCTACGCTATCTCAGCGTTTAAAGCAACTGTCAACAATCGTTGTCAAGTATTGAAATTCGTAGTCAATCGACGAAATGTTCCAGAATTGTGTTGTACTTACCGTTCTCTTATTCCCGATATTGGACGTGACATGCATATCACCCGTTTTCGACACGCTCGCTTGCTGTTGCGCATGCGCGGCAGCTGCTGCCGCTGCCGCCGCTTGTGCAGCAGCGTGTGAAGCCGCCATCACGTCAAACTGCGCCAAGCCAGGCGGTAGGGGAGCTCCAGGAAACGCCATACGTTGTCCGTACCTATGAAGGTAAGGCCGAATTTCAACAGAGATTAATCTCGATCTACTAAAACTGACAGTCATTGATCCGTGGTAAAATGAGGTATAAGCTTAATGTCAGACGATTGCGGTTAGTGAAGTCGTATCAGTTCCTTGCTATTAAAACCCGACATAACGTTGCAGTTATTACCTTGTAGACCTCAAAATAAGTTATCATTTTAAACGTATAATTACCAGAGGCTGTACTGGTAGGCGGCCATGACCCGTGGATCATAAGGTGGCGGGAATCCTCCAGCTGTCGCAGCAGCGTTAGATGGTGACGTGACGGTCGATGCGACGTTGCCAGCTGTCGCGCCGCCGCTGTATAGAAACGGTGAACCAGTGGGGCTCATGGGCACGAATGGGTTCGGCGGGGTGAAGTTTACCTTTGGCTGGAAAAGAAAGGAATCAATCACTGTTATAAAAGCTAAAATAGGGCTCAATAGTGTCTAGCAAAATCTATTCCCCAGCTTTCAAATTTACGCGAATCGCTCGCATTTGTAAGAACGTGAACGATCAGATTGGTATTCCACTATTAACTTTGGAACAAAAGAAACAATTTTTGGGAATTGTTTAAAAAAATCGTTCATACAAGTTGTGTCGCAATTTTGGGTCTGACAATATGCAGATTCGTTAAAAGGGTTCCTTTTTGAACAAGATTTTGCAAAAGAACCAAATCAGAATGCGAAGATATTTCCTGAGCCACATTATACATTTATCTGGAAAAAGTACCAAAGCCCCTACCTTTTCTCGCTTATTCACACCAGTTGGTGAAGCAGCAGCCGTCTTCATCTTGGGCGAATGCGGGCTCTTGGGCGATTTCCTGTCGCCCTTAGGCGAGCTGCTTTGCAACTTCAAGGGATTGAATATCGACACGGAGCTAGTGTTGATCTTCAGGTCGCCGGTAATACCGCTGGCAGCGCTCGCAAGCGGATCGGTCAGAGTGACGCTCAGACCAGCTGCTGAAAAAGCCTGACTTATGGCTTTGTGATTAGCCAACGCTTGAGCGGCGGCTGTAGCGCTGTTCTTCGACTGAAAAATATGTTATTATTTAAATTATTTATGGTAGTTGTGTGATGTAATTGATACAAAACTTTTTAAAAATGTCCCACCCCTCATATTTATTTTTTGAACGCGTCAAGTTAGCAAGCCGAAATTGGGGCTGCTGTAGTTGAAGCATATTTTAACGTAAAAGTTACAGTGAGCAATTTCAAGATGGCGGCTGAGCGCCACCCTGAAAATACTTTTTGCGTAGAATGGGGGATTTATAACCAGAATCCATATTCTATTTTATTCTACGAACAAAAAGTAGTAATACTTGGCCTTCAAAGATTAAACATAAGATTATGTATCAAAGTTTTGTCCTAAAACGTCCATTGTATGGCCTCCCAGAGATGCTGTGCAGATGGGTGGCTGAATTTCTCTCTAACCCAAGATATCAGTCGTAATTGAAGGGTTCTCCTCTTCATCCCACAACGTCAACGCGGGTATTCCCCAGGGATCTGTCTTGGCTCCGACAGTGTTCCTTTTACATATCAACGACCTCCTTTCCTGCACGATCAACCCAATCCACAGCTTTGGTGATGACAGGACTCTACATGCAGGAATTCAGAGTTGACAAGCCGAACTCTGCCAGTGAGCAATCTTGTTGTGCTGTCGCAACGGGATGTGCCCGCCAGACAGACCCGCCTGGCTTCAGCCTCTCATACTGACCGTATCGAACTTCGTACCTCCAGTATTGGCCGATACGACCGCACCTTTGTCCAGAAACATCCACATAGCAGCCGCGGTGTCCTGGCATTTAGGCTTCTACCTTACTTTAGATTGTGACTGTACTTCTGTTATGGAACTTAGACTTCCGAAAGAGGAGAATAACTTTTATTCTCCATTGTTAACAGATTGACATGAAATCAGGGGTCACATTATATCGGTATTCGGAGTTGAAATCGAATCCTATATGCTAATTTTTCCAGTAGAATACAGCACCTCTATATGAAGTTGTCTTTCATCGTATTTCGAATACTTTTTTTCCAAAGGAAAACGAAAAAACGAGGAATTACATCATGGTTGAAGAAGCGATATAACTAATCTGTTTCTAATAATTTAATTTGCGTTAAACGCTGAGCTTGTTCACGATTCAGGGCTCAAAGGTAAACTGGCGGGCTGTGTTTTCCAATAAAATTCCTAAAGTACTAAGCAACATATAAAACAAAAGTACTGACTGAAAGGGTACTAACCGAGCTAGGGCTGTGCGCACGATGATTGCTGAGGTTCGCCGTATCGGGTGCTTTCTCCGAGATTGGCTTCAGCGTCTTCGGGTCGATCTTCACGATGGAATGCTTCTTGATTTCGCTCTTCTCCGCTTTGAGAGGTTCTTGAGCCTTGTCTTTGTCCGGAGTGACGTGTACCTGGTACATCGGTTTCACTCCTGATGCTGGGTTTCCTGGTGAAACAGGGTATTATTTAGTTTGTTATCAAATATCTAAATTAAAAACACATCAAATCAACCCTGCTAATTTTGGATTCATGAACGGCAAGGACATCGCGAAAAAATAATTTATTTATCATTGCACAGGCCATTAGACGAAAAAAACCCGTGGTTTGCGAAATAATTGTAAAGTTTGGTTTTATTGCTGCAAGTTGTTCAAGGGGGTATTTAAAACATGCTCATAAAATGGGTACACCTATTTTTGTGGGAAAACTTTTTATTCGACAACAAAGAATGACAAAACGTGATTTTGCGATTCAACCGAAAGTGTTAGCAGGAACGAAAAACTCTTCATACAAGATTTTTAGGTATTTATGAGACCTACAAAATGAGATCACACGTAAAAAGATTCTTCAAATTTCTAGAATTGATACTTCTAAATAACTATAACAAAATTTGAGTAGATTGGTCAAGTAGTTTTTGAGAATTTCTGATTGTTTATTCCGAAACACCTGTTTTATGGCCATCACTACTAAACGGAATCCAAATTCAAGATGAGATGTAAATAATAGCAGTTAGCGCGTGATCTCTCGGTAACAGGTGGGGACAACGCCTCCTATTGGTCAATTCGCCATTAAATTTCAAGCGGCCGCCTGGCGGAATAATGCGCGGGGCAGGGGCAGGGCAGGCAGAGTTGCACTCAGGCCACCGTCCGTCGTGTGTATCACTGCGTGCTCGTGTTTTCGTATTCACCTTGCTTGGTTGTTGCTGTTAAGTGTATTTGAGTAATTTGTTAAGTTTCTGTTTCTGTTAAATACTGTCATCTTCGTTTTACAACACGTTGGTGGTAGTCCATCATTCGGAGGTAGCCCTGAATGCGGTCCTGTACGCCGTCCTTGCTTTGGGCAATCACGCATCCATTCTATCTTGGGTGTAAATACACTGTAGTTTATTGAGCAATAAACAGTATCAGTATCAGGCATTTTATATCAAAATACACGAGTTGTGCAAAAAAGATGATAGACCATCCGCTTTGTTTTAAAAATGTGTATACTAATTTATGTATTTCGAAAATCGTAGCGCATTTCCTCAATTACCCACAAATACGAAATGTTTGAATTTGTTTAGAAGAAAAAAACGTAACCCTCGTTTTTCGCATACAAACAACATTTATCTTTCGGAATGGTTTGTGACTCATACCGGCAAGGTAAACTCGTGTATTTTTCTATCAAATGCTCTTTGAACGAATCCTGTATATTGCTCAATAAACTAGTAGTGATGGCCGGAAAACAGGTGCTTTGGGATAAAGAATTAGAAATTCTCAAAAACTACTTGACCAATATATGTACTTCAATTTTGTTGTTGTTATTTAGAAGAATGAATCTTACGGAATTGAAGAATTTCAAGTAGTTGCGTGACATTATCGTCGCATTACCAACAAGTGCCAAAACCTGCATTTTGCCTCGTTTTTCGGCCATAACAGTTTTGCTATTAGTCGGATCTTTTTACGTCTGGTCTCATTTTGTAGGTTTCATAAATATCTAAAAATCTTATATGAAAGTTTTTTTCGTTCCTGTCAGCAATTTCGATTGATTATTTGTGGAAATGTCACCAGATTAACCGAATGCAACCCAGTTTAACAACAAAAATTCGATAAAACAAAATTCTGCTATATAGTAGATTTTGACGTCCCTGGAGAAATCCATTTCATTCATCAGTAGGGAGTAGTTAAAGTCAGTTCAAGAGCTTGATTAAGATCAATGCTATTGATGAAACTCCACCTATAGCTTCTGGGTATGTATTCTACGTGCCTTACTGACTTACCTAAATACCGCGGCATATTGTTCCTCATTTTGAAAAACTTGGCCGGTCTGACGCTCTTCAGATCCACTTTCGGGTCAGGTTGCGGAGACTTGCTCAAATTCGCCTTCGATATCTGCGAGTTCCAACTTTTCGGAGGATCACGCAGCGTCTTGTACCCAATAGGCGTACTTGGTTTCGACTTGATGTTCAGTTTGTTGTTTGGATTCGCGACATTTTGCGGTTGTTGCTGCGGAGTTAGCGATACTGGGGAGTAGTTTGCGTTCAACGTTCGCACTTCAGGTTTCAGAGATGTCGAGACTGGCGTGATGGTGGTTGCGGATGTAGCTGTCGCGCTGCTAGAAGGACTGTAAGTTGGACGTTAATGTTATTTATTTATTTAATCAACGGGCCCTTGTTACAGATACAAAACAGTCTCGATTGAATAATTACATTGTAATGTTCTTAACACTCTGTTTAAACACATAGACAGAAGTTCCAAATACTTCTAAACTAGATATACAGGGTGTCCGCAAAGTTGGGGTTTTCCTTTACACGACGTGTAGATGTTGAAAACATAAACAATTTTTCTTAGTACCATATACACAAATGTCTTAAGGGAACCGAGATAAAGGGCTCTGCAACATCAAAAATATCTGAATACCGTCCTGTAGCCGCGACATCCCCGAGTGGTACTGGGACACTAGCTCAACACGACGACAGAACTGGGTCGGGGTCAGTGTGTCAGGTCATAATGCAACCTTCAACCGACGGTTACGGTCACGCGTGTAGAGGTAATCGCGTAGACGAGAATCCCTCAACAAGCGCTAGAGACGTGGCTAGAGAAGTGCAAGTATCAAAAACTAAAGTGTGGCAAACGCTGCGTGAAGAGGGGCTGCATCCGTTTCACGTTCAACGTGTACAAGCCCTTCAACCCGACGATTTTCCAGCAAGAGTGCGGTTTTGTGAGTGGTTGTTGCATCAACATGACAATAATCCGCACTGTTTGAAGTGCATATTGGTGACAGACGAATCTACGTTCACGCGTAATGGGGTGAATAATTTTCGCAACACTCATGTTTGGTCAGTAGAAAATCCGCACGCTGTCCGTCGGGCACATTTTCAAGAAACATTTTCGGTGAATGTTTGGGCTGGCATGGTGAACGGTATGCTCATTGGACCATTTATTCTCCCAAATCGATTGGACGGGATGCAATACCTAGACTTTTTACGCAACATTTTGCCTTCCTTGTTTGCCTGCGTCTGCTCGGTAGCGCATCAGCGGATTTCATTTTCTGTTGGAGCGGTATGATTTCGGGCAGACACGTACTTAGCCCTTCTCGTCAACTGGAGAGTGAGTACTTTTTCCTTTATTTTTTTTTACTTGGTCGCCCTCGTTTCACTACACATTACCTTTGTTATTTCAAGGGTAGTTGTTTCTGAAAAGGAAAACCCCAACTTTGCGGACACCCTGTATATGTCTATTACTTAACTTAAAAAGACGAGTTATGGGTTCATTTGAAGCAACAGTTGGGGACAATCAATGTGATCATTGATAATTTTGGACAAGAAAAGTAAGTGAAATTCCAACCAGCGACGCTCAAAAGAAATCATATTCATGTAGTGAAGAGTATTAGTATAACTATACTCCTCCCCAATGAAACCCATTTTATATCCATAGATTCTCAAAAAAAAATTATGTACACGTTCTGATTGGTTGATCTGCAAGTTATACTCAAATAACGACCGAACTAAAGAACAAAACAAAATTTTAAAACAAAAAAGAGTATCAACACAATGGCGATTAATAAAACCTAACATATTATACGCACAGTTGATTTTTCAATATGTATGTTAAATAATAATTATGAGTCAAATATAACTACCAAGTGCTTAATCTGGTCTTTAGCTTGTAATGATCTACCATTGATGCTATAAGAATAAGTAATAGGAGAAAGATACCGACTAAATGTAATTTTGAAAGATTTCGCCTCATTTAAAAGTAAATCATTCACGCCACACAGATGACAAATATGATCTAAGTCTCTTTGCAGCAATTCAGCATCATGTTTGTTCCAATAATTCTAAAAATCTTAAAATCATCCAGTAAAAAATAATTTCGCTGTGTACTAAACTTTGCAAGATCATTAATAAATATACTAAGTAACAACGGACCTAAATGGGAACCCTGCGGGACTCCAGAAGTGGTACTGGTAACTTCGCTTACCCTGACCAAGAATGGTTATTAATCTACTTAAATTAGTTACATACGTATTTCATTATTACAAGTGCGCTGAAAGAACACTGCAATAAACATTTTATTGATAATTGTCAGTAAAACGTTTAGCTAAAACTGTCAGGAACAGTATGAGATTAGCTGAGGTTGCCAATTACATTTTGCAACTAGCTATGATTGTGTCACAAGTTACAATTAACTATAATTGTCAGCTACCAGTAGCTATAATTGTTAGCTACAGTTGCAATAATTGTAACTGACAACTCTCAGCTAACAATTATAGCTAATTGTAAGTGACAATTACTGCTAATTGCAATTTTTACATGACAATTAAGCCAATTACTACTTTTGTACCACAATATTATGCAACTTGTAACTTTAGTGACTAGAGTTGCAAGTTGCAATTAGCGATTGTCAGTTACAATTACAATAAACTAATTGTAACTTGTAGCTGACAATTACAGCAAATTGTAACGTGTAGCTGATATAGCAATAGTAACTAATAATAGCTGAATTCAACTCATAGCTGAAAATAAATAACTGTAACTTGGTGCTGAAAATTATATCTAACTAATTCGGACATGAACCTTTCAGTTATGAACGAAATACGAAGTGTGACAGAAAAGTAATGAGATTGGCAACACTGCAAGCGGTCTGGTAACGCTGCGCTGTTGTCGGGTGACCACGTGACTTTTGGGATTGCTGTTAGTGAAGTGGTGCTCTGGTTGTGCGTCACGCAAAACGCAACAGCGGAATTTGAAGCAACGTTGTGTCATTAAATTATGGCCTATGAGGAATATTCCCTATCCTCATGGGCCTCAACTATTTCGCTGGTATAAATTATTTTTAGAAAGTAGAGAATAATCTATTGAAGACGAAGATTACTTCGGGAGGTCTTCAATTTTAAGAGCTACCGAAAACATCGAACTTGTGAACCTTCTTGTAAGATCAGACCGTCGTTTTACATTAAGAATATTGAGTGATCTGTTAAATGTGAACAGATTTACCGTTCACTTCAAAATTGAGCAGAATGGCAATCGAAAAAGTATGTGTCGTGATCTTCAGAAAGAATAGTCAATAACCAAGATTTCTTTAGTCGTGTGAACACAGGTGGATATTAGATTTTTCGGTACTATCCTGAGACCCAGAGGCAAAGTCAGGACTGCCACAGTATGAGGTCTCGTCGACCTAAGGAAGCTCGAATGAATGAATGAGATCAAATCAATGCTGATTTATTTTTTTGACAGGAAGGGAATCGTCCACAAAGAATTTATCCCTTTTGGACAATCAGCCTCCCTATTTATTTGATCTCAGTCCATGCGACTTTTTCCTTTTTCTGAAACTGAACAATGCCCTGAAAGGACATGATTTGGGGACTTTAGAAAATATGCAAAAATAGTCAGACAAACACCAAAACTGAGAACAAAGACTTCATCTGTGAGCAGCTTCCAAGAGAACCGCTTTGAATGGGATAACATTGACCCTCGACACCTCGTACACATTTTTTGCGATGTCTCTAGGTACCTTGGTTTAAAGTCTTTATTGAAGAATAGTGATATAATGTGTGACTAAAAGTTCCTGTAAAACTCACCTCTGCGTCGTGATCGTAGTCACAGCCTTAGATACGGTGATGCTCGGACTATAATGCGGCCTGGGCACGTAACATGGCGCTTTGGAGAGAGCTCCACCCGCAACGTACGAAGACGTGGCGACACTGGCAACCGGCTGCTTAGTCGCCGGAGCAGGGGGATTCCCCGATGTCCTAGTGATTGAGATGGCCGGTTTAGGCACCGTGATGGGTGTTCCTGGCCTGCTGATGCTGATTTGAGCCACTGACAGAGCCTTGTTCTGGAAGATCTGCTGTTTAGGAAACGACGTACCACTCTGATTCTCGGTACTCGATGTGGTAGTACAGGTGCTGGGTTTTGCGGTATTAACTGTTGTAGTGTTGCTCAGCTTGTTCGCGGAACTGCTGATGGTTGTCGCCGGCGTGATTGTTACCTCCGAAGTTGGGATCTTTGGTATCTAAAAAAATATTTATTACTAATATATGTCTGACAAGAGTCGTATCGTTATCACGTAAAAAATTACAGCCCAGCAGAATTCTTACTACGTATCAACAAAATGGTATTCTATACATAGATAACATTGTTTTGATAACTGAAATGTATTAGTTCCATCCATCTAATGGAGCTTCTTAATGGACAACATTTGTGGCCTGGCTATACAGTGTGTCCGCAAAGTTGGGGTTTTCCTTTACACGACGTGTAGATCTTGAAAACATAAGCAATTTTTCTTAGTACCATATACACCAATGTCTTAAGGGAACCGAGATAAAGGACTGTGCAACATCAAAAATATCTTAATACCGTCCTGTAGCCGCGACATCCCCGATTGGTACTAGGACACTAGCTCAACCCGACGACAGAACTGGGTCGGGGTCAGTGTGTCAGGTCAGTATGCAACCTTCAACCGACGGTTACGGTCACGCGTGTAGAGGTAATCGCGTAGACGAGAATCCCTCAACAAGCAGTAGAGACGTGGCTAGAGAAGTGCAAGTATCAAAAACTAAAGTGTGGAAAACGCTGCGTGAAGAGGGGCTGTATCCGTTTCACGTCCAACGTGTACAAGCCCTTCAACCTGACGATTTTCCAGCAAGAGTGCGGTTTTGTGAGTGGTTGTTGCATCAACATGACAATAATCCGGACTTTTTGAAGTGCATATTGGTGACAGACGAATCTACGTTCACGCGTAATGGGGTGAATAACTTTCACAACACTCAGTAGAAAATCCGCACGCTGTCCGTCGGGCACATTTTCAACAAACATTTTCGGTGAATGTTTGGGCTGGCATGGTGAACGGTATGCTCATTGGACCATTTATTCTTCCAAATCGATTGAACGGGATGCAATACCTAGACTTTTTACGCAACATTTTGCCTTCCTTCTTTGCCTGCGTCTGCTCGGTAGCGCATCAGCTGATTTCATTTTCTGTTGGAGCGGTATGATTTCGGGCAGAGACGTACTTTGCCCTTCTCGTCAACTGGAGAGTGAGTACTTTTTCCTTTATTTTTTTTTACTTGGTCGCCCTTGTTTCACTACACATTACCTTTGTTATTTCAAGGGTAGTTGTTTCTGAAAAGGAAAACCCCAACTTTGCGGACACCCTGTATATCTCGGATATATGAGGGTGGTCTGAGATGAGTTGGATTCTGTGTATGGGGACTCTGGGACTCTGCACCATCATTTACCATAGTCAAATTTTGGGCAGCTCCATTTAAACGTGACCGTAACACTTTCAAAGCTCTGTTGGCGCAGTTTATGCGCAATAAATCCGAGCTTCGGTGCCGATTAATTACTTTAGATGAAACTTGGTGACGCCAATATACGCCCGAAACAAACATACAGTCCAAACAGTGAACTGCAAATGGGGAAACCGACTCTAAAAAAAGAAAAACTGTTTTTTTTTCGGTTCGGAAAGTGATGGCGACTGTTTTTTGGGATCGTCATGGAGTAACCTCCATGGCAGGGTCAGATTCTAAGGACGAGATGTTGGAATCCTAATGATGTCATCCTAGAAGTTATTACGTCATAGCTTCGCTGCAAAGGATTTACGTGTTGTACTCTGAAGAGAAAGTGTCACCACTACCCGTACATAGAAAAGACTGAAAACACTCGAACATATTCACTGTTCCGGAGGCGCACACACGAAATACCGTATACAGGTTAGTGTCCGTGTACGGTGGTACTGTGATAAGTCCCCACAAGGCAGCGTAGTGCAACTAGAAAGCGAATGTTTTACTTGAACAGCGATAAATATGGCATCAAGCAGCCTGAAAGAATAGGAAACAGTGGCGTGGGAAGAATAATTGAATATGGCTCTAACAGTCGATACTGAAACTTGGTTGGCAGCTAGTGCTGCAGACTAATTGGTTAGATCGGCTAGACGGAATGGAGGAAATGGGGGTTCGAATACCACCGACGCTTATTTGTTCTGGTTCTCATGTTATGGCTCACTAAACAAACTCGCTGTTGCGGATGTGCTCATCGCATACAGGCTAATATTTTACATTTATCCAACATTTCATTTGTTTTTGCTGCTAGTAGTAGTGGTGAGAGAGATGAGGAGAAACTACGGTATGTTCGTGTCGTAAAAACGACCTAGAAACTTGACGCCTGGACTACCAGTGCAGTGGTGCTTTGATAGGGTTGCCATGTTGGGGGGTTTTCTCCCAAACTTGAGGGATTTTTACCGAGGGGAATTTTCCCCCCGCTCTTTGAAACAAACCTATCCCTTTCCATTTAGTTGACCGCCATTTCGGAGATTTTTTTGATAAAGTACCAATTCGGAGGGGTTTTTATGCTTGTTCTGGGAAAACTCTGTCCTACCCGTCCAGCAACGCTGTGCTTTGCCAGATCCGCCTCATGAACACTTTCCTAAAAGTCTAAGATCCGGTTGCTTGAACCTGCAGGTATCTTTTCTGATAAAAACTTAATATGAATGATAAGTGATAATAGAAGAGGATTGCCTGTCAAAAAAAAACAGGTACCTCCAGGTTCAAGCGGCCATACCTCGTACTATAACCTCAGATACCCTTTGCTTGCACACTAGCTGGTGCTTGCTTCGATCATTGCGCCCTCAGTCAGGCGTGAAGTTTTGGTACGTTTTTTCTCATTTCGCCAGTTCAGCTGGTATATAGACTCCAAGCCATCTTTGCAATTATTTTAAAATGGCACCGCGCAAGACCGCCTGAAGTAGGTAATCCCACTTGCAAAGATAAACAAATCGACAAGCGAGCACGACGTTATCTGCTGAACCACAATGACATGCCTTCCAATTTTATAATAATTGGAATGACGAACTACAATGGTTAAATATCAAAAATTTCACAACTTACTCGGTTTTTCATTTTCATATTGAAGGTAAAAATTACCTTCTAACGAATCACCTTTCCTACTAGGCTTTCATTTACAAAATTGTAGTAGCAATATAACGAGGAAGTCAGTATTGCAAAAGGGATTGTACGAATTTAATATATTAGGGTAATATCAAGATGTGTGCCAGTTTGAAAACGTTCAAGGGAAAATTGGAAAAATACTTCATGTAAAAGCAAAATTCATAGTAGCGAGATTTTGTATAATAATATTTAGTCTTGAAAACATAATATATTATATGAATTACTCTGTAACAGACATTGTAGCATTAATGCTAAATAAATCAGAAACAAACAAACTTCCGCCATCTCGGTATGGTGCAGGATCATTCATATTGTTATGGGAACACTGTAAAGCAGCGATAAAAACTAAAATTTGATATTCCTTCATAAAATACCCATTGCTGATACTTAGTGTCAATTTTACATTTAATCGCAACGGTTGCTGTCCAACTGAATTGCGAAAAATTAAATCGAAAGTTTGATTAACGTGACTCAACTTATCTTGCAGCTTTAATATCCTGCCAAAGTCTAATGTACTTCTCGAGAGGGGACATACAGTGCTCTGTTAATACTTACATTAATATTCTCGCCATTTCTGTTTAGCTTCGAATGCTTCTTCAGCGGATGATTGTTAGAGAGATTCAACAGCCCGATCGTGTGGTTCAGTATCGTAGGCTTCGGTTGCTTTGGAGGAGGTGGTTCCACCTCACCGACCGTATCACACTTCCTCTTCACGCCACTGTTTTGCAGCGGCGCCTTTGGTTCGGCACATTCGTTCACTTTAACATCCGTGCTTTCAGACACTTTCGGCTCGACTTTTTCTATCACAACATCGATGTTTTTCGGTACACTGTAACTGCTTACTTCACTTGTTGTGCTGCATTTCGAGGTATTTATTGTACTGTACACTGTAGAGTAATAATAGTCGTTATCAGACCAAACACAGTATTTAGTACAATATGGGGCAAAGTTATCACCGAAAGCAACTCGCAACCGCAAGCCGACTTATATTGGCTCATACCAAAGAGACGGTAACGCGACTAGATGCCGGAACTGCGGTCGCTGTTCAGTTTGCAGTTGCTCATCAGTTGATTAACAAACTACAAAATCGTGAAATGAGAGTTATATTGAGGTATAATCGTTTGACACCTGTAAGTATATTGCATTTTTATGTGTCGCAAAGAGTGTTTAAAAATGAAAATAGTCTAGTTTCATTCCAAAGCATATAGTCAGTGGCTTTATCTAAAACCCAGTTGTTTCAGGGGGAACACAAAAGCTACACAACAAAATCAAAATCAGGTTGTAATCGTGTTGCTTTTGGTGAGGACAATGCCCAAGGGTGTTCACTGTCGCAAATGGAGGTAACCTATCCTTACCTGTTGTAGTATTTGTCTCAGAAGACAGTGTCGCGCAACCAATGTTCCCCTCATTTGTAGCTACGAGGCACGGTGGCAGCTTCATTTCATTCACCAGAGAATCAGTCACCACTGGAGAGCTACTAGATGCAAGAATACTAGATGCTGTCAAAATGCAGGGTGGGGCGCTGACAGGCTTCAATTCTGGAATTTCTTTTTTGGTTGCTGGTAACACGTTGGAATCAACAACCATCACCACATCGTTTTTGTACTTTGGTTCAGTATTTACAAGCTCATCAATGGAGGCGCCTTGAATATCTGTGATGGACATTTCACCGTTTTCGCTGATACGAAGCTGCACCTCTTTCCAATTGTTGTTGTTTGTGTTGTCTTGTGGTGCAGTGTGTGATGACTCGGAAAGATCTAATTTCGGCTTCTTCGCGATATTTTCGTAGATCCGATACGTTAATTCTATTGGTCCTTTCTGCTGGGCAAAATAGGATATATGTTATATTGGTGGATGTCATCTCTTTTTATATGGAAATTTCTACGAAATTTGGACTGCCGAGTTCGAATATCCGATAAAAACAAAAAGTAAATATTTGGGTGATCAGTATGAATAGAAAGGTGAAAAAATCGTGAAGCATCGCGGGGTCGAATTTGAAGCACACGAATCTCGCGAAACGATCACAAAATGATGCAATTTTTAACTTACCTTTTTCCAAAGATAAATATATACTATATCCATTAATGTAAGGTTAGGGGTAAGGCAATCTTGATTGTAAAGTATATCAACTCTGTGGTTTTCTGTCAGGTCATATTTTGCTCGAATCAATTTTTTCAGGTGATTCACTGTAACTGCTGAAGGGCACCTCAGATATCTGCATCGAGAGTTATTTATAAAAAAAAGAATTTTGGTTTACAAAAACTGTTATTCGCAAAAATAACATAAACCCACCTAGGTTTGCCTCCGGAGTCATGGTACACCATAGTGAGACAAACAGTCTCCTCGGGTGTTAATAAATGCAAATATGCAGCTTCACTACATTGTTCCAAGTTTGACGGTTTAGCTTCAGGATGGCTATTATAAAATTCTCTTCTCCTGCGCATTTCATCTAAAAATAATATGTAATTATGTAAAACCAGTCGCAAGTTTATATATACTGCCGCATTGAAAATATGTTACACCAGAAAATGTTCACACAGGCTTCTACAATAGGTCAGGTTACTGTCAAACTCAAGAAGGGGGCCTGTTCGCACATTTATTTTAATATTTTTGTTTCACTTTGAATAGAATTACTTATTTCAATTTTGATGCGACTTAGGCCCGTATCGTCAGTCGTCCCTACAATTGTAGGGCGCCTTTATGGCCTCCTTGATTGTCATAGTTTTCTACTTCTCCGCGTCAGAACTCTATTTTGAGGTTATGTCACAAACATCTATTTGCATCAAATTGTGCTTGCTTTTGAGTTATATCATGTTTTATCAGCCTGAAATTTCCTACAATTTAAAAAGAAAACATATCTTCACAATAGGAGAGCGCGGACGCTGACACGGGACAAGTGTAATCTAGAAATTTTTGAAGGAGAGAAAGAAGTATGACAATCAAAGAGGCCATAAACGCGCCCTACAATTGTAGGGACGACTGACGATACGGGCCTAAGTGTTTTAACTTATTTTAGAATCACTTTTGATTTCCACTGATGGTGATAAAGTCAACATATCTTGAGTTATTGTTACATTTTGCTACAGCGAGTGCTCGGAATATGTAGGAAATACCATTACGCAATACAAATTATCATTGCCTGCGTGTTCGCAGGTGAAAACCATTTCAAAGCAGGTCGACACTCCCCAATGAGCGCTAGATGGGCACTGACGAAAATCGCTCATCTATGATCATGGAGGTGGAAACCTTGCCTTGGAATGTGCGAGATGCGGTGTTGCCAAGCGAGTCAACGATGTAATGTTGCCGAATTTGTGGCGATCCTGACCTTTCATTTCGACTTAAAATGGAGCGCCGTGAGGACCAATACGGAACCGATCCTAACCATTATTCGCGCGTACAGAATAAACTAACGCATGTTTTCATCATGGATCTTGATTTGAGGAACTGCTGTAACATATTGGCAACGAGGCAGATTGAAGCGTCAGCGTTGCTAGGCAACGCGGTGATGAGCTTAGCTATCCAGCCGGCTTCTTCTCTTTCTAACATATGTGTCTATACACACTTTTCTCTCATACACAATGAACTCAAGCCATCAGACAAATTTGGTTCTCAGTGTGCAAACCCACCAAAAAGTTAAAACAAAAATAATTTAAAATAATCTGGTAAAGGTTTCAAGGTGTGGTGCTATAGTTCTTTCAACAGTTGGTATACTTACTTTGATATAATCTGGGAACCAATTTGTAGACCATGTCCTGTATAGTTTTATCAGGTCTGATGTTGAGTAGAGGCTTTGTCTTGTGAACCAGCACATCGCAGACAGGACAGTATCTGTTCTTTTCTAAATATTTCACAATACAGCTTCTGCAAACTGGAATTTAGATAATATATAGGGTGATTCAAAAAACAATATTTGTATTTCTAGGATAAAAAGCCAGCCTAAAAATAAGATAAAAGGTTCACATAGACATGACTCACTTTCTGAGATACAGTGAGTAGAAGTTTTGTTTCAACATTGAGCAAAAAATATAACTCTGGAATGGAGATATTGACTTGAAATTTGGCATATGCAGTAGTAGCATAAGCAATACTTGCAAACACTTTTGCAGCTCTAACTATACCAGTGCTCTAGAAACTGAGATATTTTGTTGCCTACAGAAGAGAAAAACAGTATCTTTAAGCTACTAGCTTTTCTGAATAACTAATTGCATTTTTAAGTAAAGTGTTCAATTTTAAATTCCTTTCTTGAGAAATTTTTGTCAGACCATTCCTTTCTGACAAAAATTGGTTGCCTATTTGAAGTGAAATCTATATAATAGACCTCAACAGCGACATAAAAAATTAGTTCGTAATGGGACATTTCCGGACCTATGTTTATAAGAACCCATGTTACATTTCATTGTAATTTCTGTATTAAATTGCCCTTTTTTTGTCACCAGCTATTCAATCCAAAACAAACTTATAAAATCATAAGCATAAAGAAAAGCATTTATTAAATCAAGAATCTGGAAAAAAGTAATGCTTAGCATTGGTGAAAGTCTTTAAAGTTGCATAATATCTTTGAAATGTTGGACAACATAAATGTAGTCTTATGACTACATGTTAGGTTTGAATAATTTTTTTGATTCCTTGTGTGCCAGACTCAAACATATTTAGCATACAAACTTTATGAAAATTCAAATTAGTTCCCTCACTAGTACGCAATATAAATTTAGTCTGTACAATTTCTATAGGTTTGTAACTTACATCTATATTACTATTTTAGCTTATCATGTCAAGGCCCTGATCAAAAACTACATTTGCAGGTTGCTTTTCTGAAAAAGCACTTAGTCCAGAGAAAATCATGTTAATCCTTGTGGCCAGGTTTATCTTATTGCTATGAAATTCTTCATTTTACATTATAAACTATATTGAATAAGTACACAGATAGGAGATTAAACTCATAAAGTGATGCTGAAGCCAAAAATGTCAATAATGAAATAGAAATATTAGATTAGACTAATAAACCCACAACGCATGGCAAAACATGAGTAAAATGCAGATGAAGATTGCAGCAGGTTATGTTGATGTTTTTCAATGTACCAAAGTTTTGTCTCTACTCGATTTCTGACAGCCACATGTTCATTGATGAAATATTTAACCCCCTAGCTCTAGTCTTCATGTAGTGAATATAAAAAAACCTTCAAATGACATTACACAGCCAATTATCATAGGTAGTATAAATGACAATACTGGCTTTATGCTGTCTACATAATGGCAAAATTAGCACTGTAACTTGCCACCTGATTTGCCAAATGAGTCAAATCAGACAGGTAATGGTATTGATTAAGGTATACTAGCCAGATAATTCTAACCTAGTTTTGATATGTGTGATACTCATTAAATATTGTATATGAATGGTTGCTACCCTTGAGGATATGTTCTTTCTAAGAAACTAGCAAACATTTATACCAATAAATGGTAAAAATGAAGGTTTTTATTCTTTTTGAACTATACTTATATTAGATCAAAATAAAAATGAAGTATGATATCAATGTTAGTTTCATAGAAGAAAGCAGCGAAAAATCCCAATATTTGATGAAATTCAATAAAACAGCTTTTGTTGTACTTGATAACAAAGTCCTCCATTGGAAAGTAAATTTTTCCATAATACACGTATGACTAATAGCTGAGTTATTTTGTTTGCTATCATTTCATCGCAGAAAAAGCCTAAATTATAGACAAACAAAAATTATTGTGGTAACATCCAAATACCTTCAGGAGTACAGCAAAATTGATTTGAAATTGGTCGTTACACCAGAAGACCAAAAAGGGTTAAACTATTAAAATCACTAATCACTGTATACATTATACTCACAGCTGTGTAAGCACTCTATGATAGTAGTAGCATCAACAAAATATCCATTACAGAGCTTGCAAGTTATGTATGGATTAAGATTGGTGAGCGGTATCTTTTTGGATCCTTGCATGATCCCTAGGATATTTAGGCACACTTTTCACATTCTGACCATTCAAATTGCCTCTGCTCTTGCCGCCTTGGTCCTCATAGGTATGCCCATATTGGTCACAGAGACTTGACCTAAAAAGTCATCAAAGCACACTGCTAATGAAAGAAGGCAAATGATACTTGTAATAAACTGAAGTGATGTGTATTTTATATGCAATTAGAGGAGTAATTAATGTAATTATAGTTTTTCTGATATATATTATTGTTTACTTCTGAAATAACCATTTGACAGACAAACCTTGAGGTTGTTTGACAGATTTTTGCAGAAATGGCGACGCTATATAGCTTTTGCAAGCGATTATTTCACTTTGTAGCGATAGATTTCTTACTTGTGTATTTCAAATAAAACCGTTTGTGTTGGAATATGCTTATCTCTTAACAGTAAATATTTTAAGCGGTTTATTTTTTCGCCAAATTGAATATTATAAATGCCATCAAATCAAACGCACTTTTCAGCGACATTGCCAACCTAAAATTCGTTAATTTGCGATTTGAAAACCGCTAGTGACTTTTGGTGTATTATTCTGCAGGGCACACAAATATTTATTAAATCATCCGCTTATTTGCATTAAAAATTAGTATCTTAGGTATAATAAATATAGTGGTAACTGTTTAAACAAGAAAAGTGTCCAATAAAAAGGAATAAGGAAATATAGTTTTAATTTAAATAAATGTTTGTTGGCCAGACTGTTTATATGTAGACACCATCTGTTGTTTAATAAGAGTACTGCTATCGAACAATCAATTATAGAAATCTGCAAGTATTAGTTCGCCCAACTTGTACCACGGCATTGTCACATCATCGACTTCTTGAGATTCGTTTCCTCATATCTTAAACCGCTCCCACATGATGTGGCGAACGCCTTACAACGTTGGACACATGGCCATTCGCCACTTCGTGTGGGAGAGCGCTGACGGATTGCATGTGTTCAACGTTCGCCATATGGCTCGTTCGGGCTCTTGTCGGTAAATTTGACCGGCGTCAAAGGACGTTACACCGCTGGAAGCATGGTTCGTTACGCTCCCACACGAGATGTCATGTGTTTGATGGTTTTAGGTTTAGAACTAGAAGCGGCGAAAAACATTATTTATTTGTTTGCTGTGATTGTGGTGAAGCAGTGGGATGTCTTCATAATAATGTATGTTCCTCAACTAACTTTTGAGGAGAATGGATTAAATCAGTATACATACAAACCATAGGCTGCCATAACAACACTTTTTCATATTGCTAATATTTTGTACGTTTCGCAGGTGAGTTACTATGGCTGGCCTAAGGATTTGTATTTTAGTAAATTATAAATTATCAAGTGCTTACAGTTGTTTCATTATAAATCAAATCCAAGCGAATAACCAAAATTTCTGTGTTATGTGCCGCGGTTATAATATGTTTCAAGATGACACACGGGTTGATGACGTCAGTTACACGAATCGCTTGAACGCGTTGGTTTTAACCGCGGTTTTGTTGCAAGTTGTTTATTTTAGAAAAGCGCGTATATAATCTCGGATTATTTTTATTATCTCTGAATAATCGGTGCTTTTTCGTCTACAACTGTGTATGGAAGGTTTAAATAAGAAACTTTTCATAATATTCATGGGAGAAATGTTTTTTTTTCAGATTTTTTTTTAATGATGGAACCATGGCTTCGTAGCTATGATAACTTTCAATTCTCTAAATTTTTCCGCATGTCAAAGAAAACATTTATTGATTCAGCAGAAATGATGAAAAAAGAAATTAGCAAAACCGTATACAGGTGGATATCATCTAGTGAGTTTATATGGCCATATTTTAATATTCTTGTGGTATATGGCTACACAGGATACTTTGTTAAGCATAGGAACTACATTTAAAGTGTCCCCAACAACCCTAATGAGTATAACTAATAAGGTGCTCCACTTTATGGTTAAACTGAAGTTAACCTGTATCAATTTTCTCAAAAGTGAAGCTGAAGTACAATCACAATATCCAATACCCGGCAAAATTCTAACTTGTCACATTTCAAATAATAACCAGAAATATAAAACTACTCTTGAGTTGGGTAAATACCACAATTTTGCGGTGATAACTATGACATATAACAGCTGATTCGTGACGTCACGGATCTTATAACCAAACTGATAACTACACTCGCTTGAACGGATCGGAAAATACCAACCCAAAATGGTAAATACTATTTCCATTTGGTTATCCGCTTGAATTTGATTATAATATCCTGTTGCAATGCGAGACTAATTGAAAAATATATTGACGACTTGCATTTCATAACTAACGAAAAAGATTAAATAAACGATAACTCTGAAACTACTTTCACGATTTTGATGAAATTTTGACCCTTGTTTACTACTATGGAAATGGCGAAAAAGCTTTGCAGTTTTTGAAAATCGGTACACTGGCGTTGGAGCTATCTTCGAAAAACAAACAAAAAAGGTCAACCTTCGTTTTTCGACATTCTTGAGGCTTCTGACAGACTTAAGTTTTGGTCGCTGAGGACAGATCTGGAATTATTTTTCGACGCTAAAAAAATTGTTTCTTCGTTGATTTTGTATAATTTTTCCTTCAGTTGTAAAGGTTCAAGCGCGGCACTGTCACCGATAATAGACGTTGGCACCACCATGCGTCGAACGTCCGAGACTAAAAAGTTTATCCCGTCGTGTAGGAGACACACTTGCCAATTGAGAGGAGACGAACGTTGTAAGCATCGTGTGGGACTAGCATTAGACACTTTCCTGCTTGACATCGTAAATTTGTTCTCTGTTTTGTGCTTGATATGATGTTGATGACATGAGTATTGAGTATTCAGTATTGACCTGACGTTCACGTTTGACTTGTTTGAGCCATTAGCAATTTAGGTTAGATTTGAAAATGGCAACGATAAAAACATTTTTCAGCAAAAGTGGCTTATTCAAACAAAGAATATGTGTGATAAAGTACGAAATTTGAGGATACATAATAATATTAGATTATCAGGTACCAACCCATCAAATAATTTTAACATTTTCATTGCAGAAGTTGCATCCAACAAAATGGCATGTCGAGTTATCCAAGTTTCTATATAAATCCTATTTACAAAAAAGAGGAACAAGAGCAATTGAAGAAAGAAGGCGAACTGAGCAAACTGACTCACGTGCCCACCAGAGCAGCATTAAATGATCAGACATGTTCATTTACACAAGATCCAGATCTTAAGTATGTTAACTCTATATTTTTTTATCTCACCTAAACCAAACATCATTTCAGTTTATTCACAAATTACTGCATGAGTGATGGAAAGAAAGTACTTGCAAGATCACAAGTGGAACAAACCTTGGAGAGTATCAAGAGGTTACAACTCGAAAAATATCACAAGTGTAAAACAGATGAAGATAGGGCTAAAATTGAACTGAACCCTAAAGTTGTATTCCATAAAGCTGTTGAAAATTGTAAACCTATTCTGCAACTAACTCCTATCAAGAGAGGAGGAGTAAAGTACCAGGTAACAAAAGTCATAAAATGCTTTTGTTACTTCAATGTAACTTATACTGATGGTTATATCCAATGAATACTTGTAATTGTTATTCACTGTTTTGGGTAATTGGCAATTATAGCTAATTGCAACTTCACATTTATAAATGAATTTTTTTTTAATTTCCATTCTGTATTTTTTAAAGCCATATTAAAGTTTACGTGAATGTTTCAGGTACCAGTACCAATTACAGCAAAACGGGCACAATTTATGTCTATGAAATGGTTGATCAGTGCTGGAAAAGAGAAAGAAAAACCTGTTCGTTTTCATCTGCAACTTGCCAGAGAATTAATAGATGCATCTAATAACTCAGGAAGGGTTGTTAAGAAAAAGCAGGACTTACATAAGCAATGCGAGGCGAATAGGGCTTATGCACATTATAGATGGAGTTAAACTTCTATTTTTATATTACAGTTATTTACAAAATGTTTTATCCTTCAATAAAATTGTTTAAAACACTTTTTTGAATTTTTCTTTGTCTAAAATTATAGCAGCATTCATGTTAAATTTGAAACTGTCTTTGGTAGAGAATCTCCTAAATGTTAAATATAAGCGATCTAATGGAGTAGCAGGCAAGTCTGATAAAGGTACAATATCGCTCGCAGGGATATCAAGATCTTTTCTTCTACCCCAGAAGTCATTGTAAGCTATCCTCACAATATTCTTTTCTTCATTGTAATATATAAATCCAATGAATTTTTGTGTAAAGTATCCAGCAGTTAGAAGAGTTGTACAAGCAGTTAGTCCTGAAAAAAAAAAGATATTTTTCAATTTCTATATTACTATTTTTATGATTGAATACCTAATGCTGCAATGAGTTGGACCTCTGGAGCTCCTATTATACCAGTATACTTCAGTAATAAAGCTACTGGTATACTAGTTGCAGTTAGCACTGTCTGATACAATGCAAGCTTGTTAACAACTGCAAGAGGCCTGACATATGGGAATTTATAAACAGGAACGAAGTCTTTATCTGGGTGCTGAATATTATTTGCACTTAGCAGTCTTATCCCTGTATGTATGGAACAACACTTTTGAAATTCTAATTTCTTCACCGCAGTTAGTGATTTCGGCTGCAAACAGCATTTAACTAAAGATAACATGGTCTTAAATTATAGAAAAAATAAAACATTGGTCCTAGTGGAGCAACAGTGGTCACGCAAGACAACCGTTGAAATAAATATACTAGTTATACTACACTAGACCCAATAAGACAGTGAAGTGAATTTTTAAAATACTTAAAAAAATGAAAATAGCAAAATTGACATGACATTGACATCCGAAGTGAAGCCGTTGATACCCCGGGTTAGTCATCAATCATAGCTGACTTTGTCATTCTTGTCACCTAGATTGCAGTGTTGTCAGCTCTTCGAATGTTTTTGCTACCTTTGCGATTTCGCTAAAACCTTATAAAAAATCATTGGAATAAAACACGGACTAATATTAATGGAGATATATAAGATTTGAGGGGTAATAATGTTTTCACATTGTACGTGCAAGTATAAATAAAACACTGCTGGTGGTGTTTTTGTTTTAAGCAAATGTGTATTTTTTTTAAACTTTTTCTATCACTTATATCTCATCTCCACAATTTGTACATAAGGTAACATCAAAAGAGTATTTGATATTTAAATCGTAGTAAAAAGTATTATGTATAAGAATAAAAATAAGAGTCAAACATAAAACCGGCGTTGAAGAGATACAGGTTGAAAACGAACATGAAGTAATATAGCTTATCAATAGAAGACGACACAGAGTAATAAGTATTTGATGCTCTATATTTTTACATTGTATTGTTTTATAATTCTACCCTTTTGTTTTTTACACTCCAGAAATGACCAGACGTGTTGTTCTATTTTATTAATGACGAGTAGTCACGAATTTTGCTATATTTGTTACTTTTGTTTTAATATATTTTTTATTTGGATATTTTGTTTTCCTTTGGTTTTCGATATATTTGATTTAATTCTTATGTTGTCTGTGTTCGGCTTTACGTCGATGGCCGGCGACAGTTCCGTGACTAAGATATTCTGCGTTCAGACCGTCGGTTGACAGTCATAGTGGCACGGGTATCACGTATCTTGAAAAGTTACTTTATGTCGATTTTTTTGACATTATGCTGTTTTTTTTGACATTATGTAGGTTTTTCTACAAGATATTAACTTAACACTTAGTTGTACATGTTGCCTAAGCGTCATCAGGCTTGTTATCAATCTTTGGCTCTGATGTGATGCAAGATCTGCTTCTGAGATGGCATATTACTGGAGGTCTAAGCTATAAGTTGTATGTGTTGATGATAATTATATTGGGTTCTTGTCTCAGATACACTGAGATTCAAAGCTAGAAATTAGTTGCGCATCCACTTTTTCTTAACCATTCTGGAAATTACATATACAAATTTGCTGAATTTCAAAAATGAGAGAGATAAGATATAATTGTATTCACTGTACACTGTCGAATTACAAGCCATATACATGCTAACAGTGATTACACACAACGCGGGCGCTGTGATGATTTCCCGTAATTCTCCTCAGTTTTTCGTAATTTATAACTTTGAACATAATCTCTCGTCAGAAAGCACAACATAAAAATAACCCGTCGGGCACAGCCAATAGATATACTTCATTGGTAGCATATTCAGTAATGATTTTCTCCCACAGCAAATATCACTGATATTATACACATGCAGACCAATACCACATAATCATCCAGATGCGATCTTGCTATTCAACCAACTTTCTTCTCAGAGATAAAATCTACACACAAGGACCATTTGGCCTCACAAAACATATGCAACCAATAATGCGTGTAGTATAGTTGAGTGCTTCCTCCTTAGATGGACGTTCACAACGATCCTAGTGAGCAAACGTGGAATGACTGAACCCTAAAAACTACCTAGTAAGCAAGATGACATCTTATATGTTTTTTTTTGATGTCTTATAGGTTTTTTACATGATACCCACGCGGCAGGGTTATTACGTAAAAAAACCTATGTAATGTCAAAAAACCGATAAAATGTCTTTTCGCGCTTGCTACAAGTGAAGTGAACGACAGCAATGTCAACAAAGAAGTTTTTGGACAGTGAAAACATTCCTGTGGCTCCTCAGCCTCCTTATCCACCTGACTTGAGTCCTTGTGACTTTTTTCTTCTCAAACTATAAAAATCATCTCAAGGGAATTCATTTTGGGACAGTCAAAAACATTCAAGGGGTGTCTTATAAATGTCCGCATGTTTCCACAACTAAGCTACGCTGTTGGTTATCTTCCCCAACAAATAAATTAATGATGATGGATCCCTCGAACACTAAGAATTCCGCACGTAAAGTGACTCCACTCTCGGAATGTCCGGGTGGAGCGTGGACTCGAGGGAACAACATCGAATATCACTGTCACTATCACTACTTGCAATCCAATCGTCCCGCCACGCTTTTCTTGGCGAAGACAAAAATCTCAGAGTCTGCACCGATTAACCATCTTAGCTTCCCAAATTACGAGGTGCACTCCAATCTGAGAAAGAACGGGGGAGTTGTGACTTTTGTCGGCAGCAGACTTTAATGCACCAGAGATTTCTTTGGAATCATACCGGAAGGACTTTCTGTGGCTTCGCCTCAGCTCCAAAACATCCCCCAAATTTATTTGCTGCCTTTATCATTCTCCCTCGGTCCATAACTGGGATGACCTACTTGAATACATTGCCGTCAAGATCGAATTCCTGAACTTCAATCACCCCATAATGAGCTTTGGTTAGGCTCAAACAAGACCGATGCAGCAGGTCGTGCAGTTGAAGCGTTCGCTCTTACTCAAGGACGAGCCCCACTTTTTTCCCCGCGTCTCGTCACATGCCAGTATCCTGCTGGATCTCTTGCTGACCACGCATCCTGTCTCCTACAGCACTGCAGTCCTGTCCCCTTGGGTAACTCAGACCACGGTGCTATGGAGGTTAGGTTTCCGTCAGAATCCGCTGTGGTAGCAGAAACTCGCCCAGGTCGCAAAATTTGGCATTACGGAGAGGCTCAGAGACTTCTTTTCGACCTTTCCTTGGAGTGATATTTGATTCGCTGACGCGAATACGTCGGCTGTCTGTTCTTCGATAACCGAAATTATTCACAAACGGGATGGAGGAATACATCCCTCATACAGTGAAGGTGCGTATACCAGGGTCCAACGGCGGGTTCAACAAATCGTGTGACACTGCTTGCCAGCAGAAGATCAAAACACACAGAATCTTCTTACAAAACCCCACTGTAGAGAACAAGCCGACATCGAGTCCAGAAACAGACAGGTATAACGAAGCGGTTCGCAATGCCAAAAGCCAGCACGATATAAAAGTTAGGCACAGGGTAATGTCGCAGCGCAATTTAAGTCGATCATCCCTTTGGATGCTGACTAGGCAGATTGAAAGGAACTTCTCACACAGTAGAACGATTGTAACAGACTCAAAAGCCAAGGCGGAAGTGCTGGCCAAGATCTTTGCTGCCAACTCCACCATGGACGTCCCCCTCCAAGGCGCAAGTGCCGACGATTCAAAGGGCTACACTATGCGGGAAGTAACATTCATGCATAAGACCGTAAGATGGGTGCTATTGTCGCTCGACATCAACAAAGTTGCTGGCCCGGACATGATTCCTGCCATTGTACTGAAGAAGTGTGCAGCGGAGATTACTTCAGTTCTTTCGCGTCTCTTGCTCATGTCCAATCTGTTGCCCAAAAAAGGATCTAAGGCCGACCCTTAGAACTACAGGCCTAGCTATGCTTTCTGCTATAGGTACGGTGACGGAGATGTGCATAAATTGCGAGCTTCTGGATTATCTCGAACGTCACGGCTTGATTAGCGATAGGCAGTGTGGTTTTCGGCACCAGCGATCCACAGGGGATATCCTAGCTTACGTCACGCAATTGTGGAGTAAACTCTTCCGCGAACTTCGTACATCCAGTGTCACGTGCTAAAATCACGTGAATGGTGGTTCTTCACAATGGCTTTCCACTAAAAGGAATCAGATATTCAACAAACTTCTTCAGATCAAGCATTAAAGGACGTAGTCCAATGGTATACAAAAGAGAACTTACCGCTGGAGGTTAAAATCTCATTACAAAATGGACGGGGTACCCTAACCAACACAACTAAACGTAAGGTACAAGATAAAGGGGTACTACTCCATAAACTGGTGCTTGGGGCGTTAATATCCCAAAATCTGGAAGTTAACGAAAAAAACGCCCGCACACAACCAAAATCACAGCGGAAAAGCAAAAGTAAAATGGCGCTGGATGCGTAGGTACGCAATTAAAAGAAGGTATCTTGATAGTAAATCACATTTCAAAAGAAGGTAACTTGATAGTAAATCAAATTTTAACAGAAGGTATCTTGATAGGAAAGTAAACATTAAAAGAATGTTAAAATGAATGGCCTTGAAGAAGGTACCTTGATAGAACCAAATGCCCCTATACTGCTAGTACGTGTAAAGTCACAAGGTGGCTCGCTGATTGTCAATGGGCAGATTCTAGGCAGAAACAAATCTGTCTACGAGGGACCAACAATATTTTATGAGGAGATTTCTCAGATAGAAGAAAGATTTCAAAACAATATTGAGTCGCTGAGAATCACAGATGTAATACGTGTGAAATTCTACAATCAATAAACTATGGAATTTGACAAAAGAAAATCATTAAAAAGGGTTTGGTCTAGGAATGGGCTCTCTATAATCAATAAAGAGAAATTTAAATTACTCATAAGTGATCAAAATAGTAAAAAAAAGGTTACGTGATTTTAGCACGTGACACCAGAACTGGCCGATACGACAGCACCTTTGTCCCGAGGGTGTCGAGATTGTGGAACAATCTACAAGAGGAAGTTTTCCCAGTTCTACAAACCTTAGGCAGTTCAAAAAGTCTGACGATTTAATTTACAGACCTCTTATGTATATAAAAGCGACGGTAAATGTGACAGTCTTTGTGAGACATATAAGAAAGATATTTATAGAAAACCCTTTTTACTCGGTTGAGGAACATCTTATTTAATATTTATTATGTATTTATTTTTATTTATTTATTGCGTACCAAAGTGACAAAGTTGTATCAATAGAATAATAATATTTACCGGTGGAAATATTTACCTACATTAGGCTTGTGCTGCTCTTTGCAAATTATGCATGGAGAACCATGTCCTGAAATCCTCTAACACCACAATTATCTGATAACACTCGCACTTTCAAAAAATGATGTTAAAAATACGAATTTGTGAACTGTCAAAAAATTAACGTATGTCTAGTAGTCTTGAGACATAC